GCCCACCCCATGGCCTAATTCCCCTACTCTCTGAGCCTCCCCCGCCCAGCCCCCCATGCCTAGACTTTCCCCTTATTCCCAGAAACTTCCCCCCCACGCTCAGAGCCCCCCAAGCTCCAATCCCCTGTTCCCTAGCCCCCCCAATACCAGAGCCCACACCCATGGTCTAATTCCCCTACTTCCTGAGTCCCCCCCCGCCCGGACTCCCTCAGAACCCCATGCTCAGCCCAGTCCGCCATGTAATCCCCCTGTTCCCAGAGGCCCCTACTTTCAAGTGCCCCCGCACCCCCGACTCTCTTTCTCCCACTTCCCAGAGCCCACTTTATGGTCTAATCCCTTTTTCGCCAAAGCGCCCCCCCCCCCCCCCCGCCCAGAGACTTTCCCCAGAACCCCCATGCCCAGATTCTCCCAATGCCCAGAGTCCACCCCATGGCCTTATTCCCCTATTCCCAGCCCCCCCCCCGACTCCCATGCCTACACTTTTCCCCTACTGTTGTGGGTGCTCCATCACTGGAGGTTTTCAAGAAGAGACAGGACAGCCATTTGTCCGGGATAACAGAAAGTCTGCTGCTTGAACAGGAGGGTTGGACTAGAAGACCTCTAGGGTCCCTTCCAACTCAATTCTGTATTCTGCCCCCAGGAAGGTAAGTCGAGGTGAGCAACTGTTACCTCACCCAGGTATTGAAGTGTTCTGAGTCCTGCTCATTTACTGGAGAGGAGGAGGAGGAGGAGGGTTGATATTCTAAGCCACTAGAGGACTTTGAATGGTTTTCTACTAATCCATGTTCTGGATCTTGAGATGCTTGCGGTCCAATGTTAGGTTGGCCTCCCTGGCAGGCTTGTTGGGGGAATGAGTTGGAGGGGAGTGGGCAGGGCAAGGCCTTGCCAGCCCATGTTCTGATAAGAGGGAAGGTGGCTTAGAACTCTTAAGATGAGTGTGTGAATGTTTTCAGAGTGCTGGTTTTTGGGGGGGTTTGGGGAGTTGAAGTGGATGCAAGCTGGCTGGGGGATTCTGGGAATTGAAATCCAGCCTTCTCAAGATTGAGAAACAGCACCCTAGACAGTCTGGAGGACGGTTTAAGGCAGGGGTCATCATCATTTACTGGAGTCGTCATTCCCATGTGCTGTGCTTCCCTGCTCTCTGCCAACGGACGGAGGCGAGTTCTAGTCCAAACATCCAGAAGGCAAAGGATGCAGGGTAGATACCAGCACTACAAATACTCCGAATGCTTGAATTATTAAGAAAAAACTCCCCTTCTCTCCCCGGCATGCCTTTAAGAGCTTTTGAAGTTGAATCCTCTACTTGTGCAAGGTTCCTGCCCAATTAGAAACACTTTCTCAAAATAGATGTTTTGGATGCTGCTAATCCTGTCTGGATCGGTGCTCCGGGATAAAAAAAAGATTGTATAGGGTGGGTTTCCTTATTTTCATCTGAATAAGGTGGCTGAATGTACATTCAAAAATGTTAGTAACTAAGGTTTCTTTTGTTGTTGCTGAAGATAAGCAGTGTGAATGAACTTTAATAGATGTCACTTTGTCCCTGATTTGTTGACATTATTATTTTTTTTCCAGAGCATAACCATGCCTGAATGGAGTTTAAAATCATTGGCTAGTGCTCTACTACTGTGTTTCCCCAAAAATAAGACCCTGTCTTATATTTTCTTTTGAACCCTGGAATAAGCGCTTGGCCTTATTGCCATGCACTCAAAAGCCCGATTGGGCTTATTATCAGGGGATGTCTTATTTTGGGGGAAACAGGGTAATATCATAGGAACTAGAACCATACTCTGAAATTTTAGGGTGGTTTAGGATCCAGCAATCGTACCATTCATGTAAAAAAAGAAAAAATATTAACAACCCTTAAGTGTTGGGTTCCATTTCTGCTGAACACGTTTTGAATAATTGCCTTAAGCAATTCAGGAGAAACTTTGAAAATATATAATCTATGGCAGTTCATATTATATTTACACATACACACACACACACACACACACACACACACACACACAGTCACAGTTATTGGGAATTTTAGATATCAAAGTAATTGTCTAGTGACTTCTGTTTTTCTGCTATAAATGAAATAATACCTATGCTTTTCAGAACGCTGCAGTTACTAATTCACTTAGTAAAGAGAATTAAGCATTATTTTCTGCCTGATCCCTTCCAGATTAATAACACTAAATCTGAACGAAAGCCTTCCTAACATTTAATTTCATAATGGGGTGGAACTGCTGCTCTCAGTGTAGGTATGGGTAAGCAAAAAGCCCGTAATCGGCTTATGTGGAGACACTGGATCCCATCTAAGGTTTGCAGCTTGGCTACATGGGGTTTATATATATATCTCAAAAAAATAAAGGGAACACAAGCAAAAGACATCTGAGATCTGAATGAATGAAATAGCCTTACTAAATACTTTGTTCTGTACATACAGTAGTTTATACACTGCTCAGACAACTAAAGGGAACACAAAACTGCTGTATGTAACGAATAAAGTATTTAATAAGGCTATTTCATTCAATCAGATCTCGGAGGTCTTCTGCTTGTGTTCCCTTTATTTTTTTGAGCAGTGTATATCTATATCTAAAATAATAAACTCTAAACCAGAATGTTTTGGGAAGATCTAAACTTGCCAGTGCATGCTTTCTAATTGCTGATGTCCAGGAGTGATTTTTGCTATAGGAAAGAGAGAACATGAGTAAATCATTTCTTTGAATCCAAGCCAGGGTTCCTTGGCTTCTTGTAACATGCAGAATGGCTTATTTTGAATGTCCGAGCACTCACTTGTGATTTTCTTATGTGGTCCTATTCGTAGCACTTTTAGCATATCTGGCAATTTTGTTTAGCTATGGGCAAGTAGTTCTTTTAGGGGTGATATTGCTCCTATGTTGTTGCTGCTTTTCTGAACAGTTAGTTGGTATGACTATATATCCTACCCTGTTTCCCCCCAAATAAGACATCCTCTGATAATAAACCCAATTGGGCTTTTGAGAGCATGGCAATAAGGCCAAGCGCTTATTTCAGGCTTCAAAAAAATATAAGACAGGGTCTTATTTTCGGGGAAACACAGTGTGTTTCTAGGACTAACAACAGTTAATACGACTAAAGCCTATTGCATAGAGGCTCTAGACTTAATTCAGTGGGGTTCCCTTTAAATAGGTGGTATCATTTTCTTTATATTTGTATTTTTATGTGCACATTGCTTTTTTTAAAAAAAAAAAACTAGTTCATATTTCTCTTTAAAACTAGGAATCTACAGATTTCAAGAAAAAAAAATACTGCTGCTCCAAATCAGAAAGCATTTAGCAATAGCGAATTAATATTAATATTAATAACTAGCCCCTGTGAATTTGCCTTGCCATGGATTGCATTCTTAGCGTTTACATTGAGCCCCTGTATTATTTTTCAACACAATGGCCACTGCTGCGAAAGTGAAACCCACTATCTGCTTACTTGAAAGTGTAGTTAACACCACAAACATTCATCACATCAGATGAGCCAGCTTTGTGCTTCCGTTTATATCTTTTCATTTTCTGACTTTATTTTATTTTGGCAGCTCTCAAGGCTTTCTTTGTTCTGGCTCGCTTTTATTTCTCTACTGTACTTAATAAATCATGAAGGGTAGGAGCAGGAATAAAATGCCAAAATTGGATCTGCTCTTAAATGGGGGGGGAAATAATAATCCAGTGATGGGAAATGAGTCAAAGTGCCTGGAATTACCAAGTGACTGAGCGTGTGGCAGGAACTGCCTCCTGCCTTTTTTATTTTTAAATATAAAAGTTTGCAGGTAAATTGCTGCCCTAGTGGATGTGTTAGTAGTTGTAAGTGAAGGGATGAATGAAGCAGACGTCACAAATCCAAAAAGGGTTGGTGGTTTCATCCTTTATTTTGGAATACAGGTACATGGAACTGCTTTGGGTATTGGCTAAGAATATACCGTATTTTTCGGACTATAAGACGCAGCTAAATTTAGAAGAGGAAAACAACAAAAAAAAGTTTTTGGCCTCTCTTTTTCCGGACCTTTTCCAGTCTTTTTTTGGCCTGTTTCCTGGGCTTTTTGCGGTCCGTTTTTGCAGCTTTTTTTGGCTCGTTTTGGAAGCTTTCTGAAAAACAGAGCCCAAAAAAGCCTCAAAAATGAAGCCTCAAAAACAGGCAGAAAAAAGCCTCAAAACGGGCCGAAAACGCCCCCAAAATGACCCAAAAAAGGCCTTGAAAATGGGCCGCAAAAAGCCTCAAAAATGGGCCAAAAAAGGCTCGAAAATGGGCCTGAAAAAAAACCCGAAAACAGGGCGTGCAGAGGCCAAAAAATGGCTGGTGGGTGGGTGGGGCTTCAGCAATATTTTGTCTATAAGACGCACAGACATTTTTGCCCCCTTTTGGGAGACAAAAAAGTGTGTCTTATAGTCCGAAAAATATGGTATATTTATGCAGGCTGACATGTTAGCAACAGAATCTGGTGGTGTTTGATGCACACACTTCAAATCAGCGTTACAATTAAGTCGAAAACAAGGTAGTCCTCGACTTACGACCACAATAGAGACCCAAATTTCTGTTGTTATGTTAAGTAAGATATTTGTTAAGTGAGTTTTGCCCCATTTTTGCAACCTTTCCTGCCACAGTTGTTAAACGAATCACTGCAGTTATTAAGCTAGTAACCCGGTTGTTAAGTGAACCTGGTTTCCTCTTTATCTTTGCTTGTCAGAAGGTGGCAAAAGGGGTATCACATAACTCCAGGACACAGCCACCATCATAAACATATAACCACTGGCCAAGCATCCAAATTTTGATCGCATGACCACGGGGAACATTGCAACGGTCATTAGTGTGAAAAACAAGTCAAAAGTCACTTTTTTTCCACTGCCCTTGTAACTTTGGACGGTCACTAAACGGTTGTAATTCGAGGACTGCCCGTGGCTTCCATTTGCCCATTGCTCTTCTGTCTTTTCGAGATAGTAAATGCCATGAAGGAGACGTTTGTGCAGAGCTGAGTCCGTTGCTTTGCCCATCTGCTGTGTTTAATGCAAGAATATAAACTTCAGGTTCTTGCTTTTAGGAGGGAACCCCTGGCGCTCATGAACTTGAAGAAGAAAAATGAAGAGACGGGCGAACAGGAGGTGTCATCTCGCTTAGCCCACTATAAAACAAAAGCTACCAGGCACATATTCCTCGTACGCCATTCTCAGTACAATCTGGAAGGGCAGCAGGATAAGGACAGAATCTTAACGAAGCTGGGTAGGTATGATGGGGTAGTGGGTGGAGGTACAACTTTCTGGAAAGTCCAGTCGCCTCTTGAAAAAGCACCTTTGGGATACAATTTATGCTGAAGAAGCTGCTTGTTCGGTGTATAATCGATGGAGAGCCTTCCGTCCTTTCTTAAATGTAGATTTTTCTTTGTACGTTCAGTCAAATGCCTCTGCTTGTTTTAAGCATACTTAGCCCATTAACCGGTATCTGCTTTCAAGGCAAGGAGACTCAAATACCCTCCTTATTCAGAAAAAAATGTTCTGCTTCCATCGCTTGCCAACTTGCAAGTTTCTGTCTGAATTGCAAAATAATCCTTTATGTGAAGAATGCAAACAGGACTGGCGCGAAAAGCAGCAAGTTCTGATTTTAAAATACTGTGCCAAAACATGTTTTTTAAAAAAAACCCTCTGTGCCTTATTAGGAATTTATCCATAAATGTACTTTTTAGGCCGCGAGCAAGCTGAGCTGACCGGGAAGAGACTTGCAAGCCTAGGGCTGAAATTTGATAAAATTGTCCATTCCTCAATGACCAGAGCAACGGAAACAACCAACATTATTAGCAAACATCTTCCTGGTGAGTTGGAACCGAGTTTGTGGTGGTAAGCAACATTGATATAGTTTTTACTACATGCCAGCAGGACCAGTCTGTCTGATTTGCTTATACTTTGAGCCGTTATATCTGAAGGGTTGGATTCAAAGTCTGTGGCCAGTAGGGATCTAAGTCTCAAAGGCTTACCGTATTTTTCAGAGTATAAGACACATCTTTTTCAATTTAGGTGCATCTTATACACCGAATGTAGCCCCGCCCACCCACTGGCCCCCACCCTTTGGCCTCTACCTTCCAGGAGTTTACCTCCTTGCAGCAAGCAACAAGAAGAAACGGTTCATTTCAGCTTCAGCACATCCTGATTAGCACAAGTTGATTGGCTCTGCCTCCCGACTCTCAGCTGTTTTGCTCTCAGCTTTTTTGCAGGGGCCCCTGCTGCTTGCTGCAAGGAGGTAAATTCCTGGGAGCAAATATTTTTTTTCTTGTGCTAATCAAGCTATGCTGAAAATGAAAGTAAAGCAGGCTGTTTGCTGTTTGCTGCAACAAGGCAAAATTGCTGGGAGGCAGAGGTAGAGGCAGATTTCTTTTTCTTGTTTTCCTCACCAAAAAAGGTAGGTGAGTCTTATAGTCCGGAGCGTCTTATACTCCGAAAAATATGGTAGTTGAGAGAAGACAAAGTAGATCCAGGTTAGGGATCTTGCTGTATATTTGTGTAACTGGTGTAATAAAAACAAAAAAAACCCCACCCCAGCCTCATTTGTAAATTTTAATTTGTTTTTAAAATTATTGGGTGTTTTAAATTTGTCTCGGCCAAATTGTTTAATTTGGTTTTATTCTGTTTTTAAATTTTGTATTTATGTGTTTTATTCTGTGGCTGTTCACCGCCCTGAGTCCTTCGGGAGTAGGGCAGTATATAAATCCAAGAAATGAAATGAAATGAAATGAAATGAAATTTTAAACGTAGGAAAACTAAAGAGATCGCTATCAGTTTCAGAAAAGGCAGCCACAGCCACACACCTCTACATATTAATGATTCACCTGCGGAGGTGGTTCGTAGCATCATGTTTCTGGGTGTGCAGCTAACAAAGCTGGCTTGGTCACTCAACACTGGTGAAGCAGGCACAGCAGCGCCCAAATTTTCTGTGTCACTTGAGAAAAGCACATCTTCCTTCCCCCTGTCCTCACCACTTCCTATAGAGAGCCTATTCTGTCATATTGCATTACTGGTTTGGAAGCATTCCTGTTTTCAGACAGGAAGGCGGTGGAGAGAGTGGTGAGGACAGCAGAAAAGATTATGGGCAGTCAGCTCTCTTCTATCCAGTACATGTCATATAAGCGATGCTTGAGCAGGGTCCACGGTATTGTCTGGGATGCTACACCATCCTCTTCATGACCTGTTTTCCATGTTACCTTCTGGGAGGTGCATCTTTGGGACTTCTCCTCAACTGTTGCAAACTTATTTTTCACAAGATGTGGTTGCAGTTAGGAAAATATCTTTTCAGTTCTGTAAAACAGTTGCAACGTTCATTCTGTTATCCTTGTTAAGATTTCATCAAGCTTTTGGAATGCATTGTGTCAGATTAAATCCTGACCTTTTACTGGTCTCTTTTTTTCCCCCAGTTGCGATACGGATTCTTTGTGTGTATCAGAGAAAGATAACATTCGAGGACATAATGCCTGAGTCACATATATTGTTCCTACTTCTAATCTTAGCTAGTTTACCCCTGCAATCCCAAGTCAGCCAATTCCCTGAGCATCATACAAAATGACCTTGAAACACATGATGTGTTTTCGTAGATAGGCAAACAAGCATTAGTCCAAAGGCCCTTTAGTTAAGGTTGGTGCTGATTTAATTGCTGATTTGAGAGGAGAGAGAGAATATTATGTCAAAGCGACCTCAACTTGTTAACAACATTAACTTGGAAAATCGAAATGTTGCCTTGGTTTTGCTTGTTCTGGCATATTTGTGAAGAAGGTATGACTGATTATTGGAAGATAAAATTGGGTTGAAAAGAAAATATAGTACCGACCAGAGAGGCCTAGTTCGTGACAAACAGGAGAAGGAAACAAAATATTAAAATATAAGGTGAGGGAGATAAGTCAATTTCAGCAAAGAGTGTAGCAAGGAAGCATCTAGAAGGGTTGCAACCAATGTTTCACAGGGAGTTAAGATTTTATATTGAAAATACAGGAGGAAAAGTGGTGTGGAATAAGTTTTAGGAGCTGTGACACGAGCGAATTTTGGGGTCCATGCTGGTCTGTGACTATAATAAAACAATGATTGATTGGAGTCCATCATAAGTTATAACAGTCTTTCCCTGAAGGCTACAAAGCAACACAGAGCATTTTAGAAAGCTGGCACAGATTTGCTAATATCTAAGATTGGGGTTAGGGACGCGGTGGCTCAGTAGCTAAGACGCTGAGCTTGTTGATCGAAAGTTCGGCAGTTCAGCGGTTCGAATCCCGAGTGCCGCGTAACGGGGTGAGCTCCCGTGACTTGTCCCAGCTTCTGCCAACCTAGCAGTTCGAAAGCAGGTAAAAAATGCAAGTAGAAAAAATAGGGACCACCTTTGGTGGGAAGGGAACAGCGTTCCATGCACCTTTGGTGTTGAGTCATGCCGGCCACATGACCGCGGAGACGTCTTCGGACAGCGCTGGCTCTTCAGCTTTGAAACGGAGATGAGCACTGCCCCCTAGAGTCAGAAACGACTAGCACATATGTGCGAGGGGAACCTTTACCTTTACTTTTATCCAAGGTTGGTGATGGCCCTCTTTCACTTCAAAAGTGAGACTTGTGTTGGAGCATTGACAGTAAATGTCTCTAGGAAATCTGTGTCTTAAGTCTGTTATGGAACTGTGTGTGCCTATGGACATGAAAAATCACTAAGACCAAAAGGCCTGTAAAATCCTCTTGTGTACGTTGCCTTGTGTATAAATCAGATCACACAAGGGTTGCACACATCCTCCTTTTCTGTCTTCCTCAGGTGTGTCCAAGCTGAGCACGGATCTCCTGCGCGAAGGAGCTCCCATTGAACCAAATCCTCCCAGTTCTCACTGGAAGCCTGAAGCTGTGGTAATATCTACTCCAGAATTTAGCTTTTGTGGGTCTAACTTCAGGGTTTCTTTTTAAGACCGGCTTTTCTCCCCAGGCGCGCACGTGTCATCTCATGAGAAAAGGCAAAAAGTTTTGCACACTGATAAGCGGGTCATCGATTTGCAAAGTTTACCATTCGCTGGTTCTTTTAGTGACAATAAACGAACAGTAGCTTATTGACAATGCTAAATCAAAACTGGTGTTTCTTAAAATGGGCATTAAAAGAATAATGCATTAACAGCAAAAAAAAAAAGTTCAGATATTGATAGTATTACTTGGAAATCCAAATGTATTCTACTGAGAGTTCGCTTTTTTTTTTTTTTTTTTTTGCAATTTGTCTATTCTGTAATTCGGCAAATATAAGAATCTAAAGCTTTGCTTGCACTCTTACAGAATATTGAAATATAAGCGAGATGGTTCTGGGACAGCCAAAGCCCTATTTAGATAAAAGGCAAGGCTCAGCAACTTAAAACTGGATTTTAAGGATTTGCATAGCCAGTTCCTTTAATTCCTGCTGATTCCAGCAATCCAAGTATAAATATTAAATATCTAAGGCCTCTAGTTTTTTAATCTGTTGTGGGAGCCGATCACTGTTTCCAATTGGTTAAAAGTGGGGGGGGGAGAAAATGTGTGCGGATTTTAATGATCTGCCCCCTCTCACCCAACTTTTGCTTTTAGCAGTATTACGAAGATGGCGCTCGCATTGAGGCCGCCTTCCGAAGCTACATTCACAGAGCCGATATCAAGCAGGAAGTGGACAGCTACGAAATCTTCGTTTGTCACGCAAACGTTATTCGCTATATTGTCTGCAGGTAACCCAGGCTGCGGAAGAGACCGCACCGGGGGGGGGGGGGGGGTTGTTGGGGCAACACTCCTAAATCCTTGTGGTTATTAAGTCGGGTTTTAACACGTTGTACTGTTGCATTAGACGGAGAGATCAGATGCTTTTAGCACATGGTTGGGAATTTAGCAAGTAATTGGAACAGTTGTCTGCAGGATTAACTCAGAGCTTTGGTTTTTCGCTCTTTTAAGTAGCGGGATTTAAAAGAATCGTTTAAACAAATGTAATATTTAAAAACTGGATGGGGGAAAGAAATGGAGAGAATGTTTAAATTCCTGGGTTTGGAGCCCTTCTGAATTAACATCGGTAAATTTCCCCACTTCACTTGGCTTCCGCAGTCTCCTCCAATATTGTTGATAGCTTTGGTGTGTCAGCCAATGGCCGGGGGGAGTGGGTAATGGGAGTTGTAGTTCCTTACACGAAGGGTTTGCAAGGGAAGGGACAAAAGGAATGAATAGATGGATTGGAATCACTTTCTGTCAGAGGTTATTTCAGTCGCGCTAGAAGCTTTGTATGTACCAGGAATTGTACTGGTGGCCTATTAAATTTAAAGCTGTGCCAGTTTCAATGACAATCGATCTAAACTTGAACCCATGTTTCTATCTAGCTGTGCAGACTATGGACAACATTGTCCATTATCCATAGTCTGCACAGACTATGAGACGAGCTGTTTTTATTTATTTAAGATTACCCTCACTTAAGAATGCTTTTGTGTGGGACGTGATGGCTCAGTGGCTAAGATGCTGAGCTTGTCGATCGAAAGGTCGGCAGGTCAGCGGTTCAAATCCCTAGTGCTGCATAACGGGGTGAGCTCCCGTGACTTGTCCCAGCTTCTGCCAACCTAGCAGTTCGAAAGCAGGTAAAAAATGCAAGTAGAAAAATAGGGACCACCTTTGGTGGGAAGGGAACAGCGTTCCGTGCGCCTTTGGCGTTGAGTCATGCCAGCCACATGACCACAGAGACGTCTTCAGACAGCGCTGGCTCTTCGGCTTTGAAATGGAGATGAGCACCTGCCCCCTAGAGTCAGGAACGACTAGCACATATGTGCGAGGGGAACATTTACATTTACCCTCATTTAAGATTGCTTTAGTATTTGCTAAATTTATTTTGAGTTGGAGGAGGGTTCTAGAAGCAATTAACACAAAGAGAGGAGACAAAAGCCGGGCAATGGCTGTAGAAATATTTATAGTCTTGCTGAAACAACAATTCCTTCTTTTAAAGATTCTTTTAGCTCTCCTCGGGGCATGAAAAGCTTGCTGAGTTAATTATGATTCTTCATACGGCTCTTATTTAATCCCAGCATAATGAATTCCTGAAAAATGCTAGTCTCAGGAGACCAGTTCGCTTTTGACAACAGTTGAAACTCACAAACTCGGCCTCCTACCCCGAGGAAAGCGCATCCTGGTTTTATTTATTTTTATCCCGTCTTTTATTATTTCTATAAATAACTCAATAACTGTTTTCCTTTTTTTTTAAAAAAAAAACATTTTTATTTTTTTTTGGAAGAGCATTGCAATTTCCTCCGGAAGGTTGGCTTCGGATATCCCTCAATAATGGCAGCATCACTCACCTGGTGATTCGTCCCAACGGCAGGGTGGCCCTGCGCCTTCTTGGTGACACGGGGTTTATGCCGCCAGAGAAGATCACCCGCAACTGAGTAAGCCTCCTTTGAAGTTTCCCCATCGGCCTTGAACCCCTGCAACAATATTGGGACACTATACAGGCAGTGATGGGTTGCTACCTGTTCTCCCCGGTTCTTGCGAACCGGCAGTGGAAAATTTGAGCAGTTCAGAGAACCGGTAAATACCACCTCTGCCTGGCCCCGCCCCAAATCTATTCGCTGCCTCCCGAGTCCCAGCTGATCGGCTAAAAGGAAAAAAATCAGGGCTCACTTGACAAAGAAGAGAAGAAAAAAAAAAAGACACTTTAGCTTTAAATTGAGAAGCCAAGAAGCCTCCCAACTGATCGGCTAGAACCGATCCGCTCCTTGTAAACCGCTCAGTGGCGATAGATTGACGGGTGCTTCCCTTCTATTTTCAAACGGGGAAACCAGATTCACTTCACAACCGGGTTACTAACTTACCCACTGCAGTGAGTCACTTTACAGCTATGGCAAGAAAGGTTGCAAAACGGGGCAAAACTCACTTAACTTAGCAACAGAAATGTTGGGCTCAATTGTGATCCTAAGTTCGAGGAACACCTGTAATATTGGAACATGATTGTTGTGAAGGATACCGAGTTAATTAACTAATGCCTCTTTCTCGTCCGTCCTCTTTTCAAGCTCGTGGTAAACAGGGAGGGTCTCCAACCAAGAGGACAAAGCTACTTTCAGATGTGGCCAACACTTCCCCTCAAAAGCTCCCTCGAACTGGACTTCGTTCGTCTCAGGCCGTTTATTAACACGTTAAGATTTTGCACTAGTAGCTCTCGTGGCGTGCGATGTTGACCGTTGAGAGAATTGGAGAGGACCCCCCCCTCCTTCGCGGCTTCAAAACTACCATGCCGGTGGCCTCTCGCCAAAGCCTATCCAAGGATTTGTTTTTTCCCCTTTCCTATTTTGGGGCGGAAAACCCCCCCCAGAAATACTGCGAAGTCCAGGGATACACGTTGGGTACTGAAATCAGGCAGGGAAAAGCCCAAAGCCACCAGATCCAGTAATTCTGAGGACGAGGGAGACAAAATCTCGAAAATAGCGCCTTCTCTTATTATGCAGCTCCGATTTGCACACTATATATATATATATATATATATATATATATATATATAAATCGGAGGTGGCATCTGTAGTTAAAGAGAGTTGTCATCCAAAGCAGTGCTTGAATATTAAAAAGCATAGAATTGTCTACGCTCTTCAAGCCCTGCCTATTTACTTGGTCTTTTAGTTTGAGACTTTTTGCTACAAGTGTCTATTCCTAAATAAATAAATAAATTAAACCCTAAATAGGAGCCTTTCTTGGCTGTTAATAATTGTCACAGGTTAATTCATCACTCAATTACAAGTGAAGCCGCCATCAAATTAGAAGTTAAGGATAAGCTGTTCTGTTTTTCCTGTGTGCATGACCCAGGTGGTCAAGGCAAGGCAGGCCTCTAGAGAGTCCTAAATTCTCTCAACAAATGGTCTGGCCAACGGCCCTCCAACGACTGGTAAGTCTCCATCCCCACTCCCGTACCCTGAAGGCAGCCACCCTCAGTCCGCCAAAGAGCCCCTATAGTACAAAGAGAGTAGCATTGAGTAGGAACACGCTTGCAGGGTTCCAAGTTGAGTCCACAAGGCAGAGTCCAGGCACAAGACAAGGGTAGTCCTCCGGGCAAAGAGAAGGTCCAAGGCAAGAAACCGTCTACAAGAACAAGGTCAAGGTCCAAGACCAAAGGTGAAGAGCAAATCTTCCAAGTGGTGAGGCAAGGCAAAGCAGTGAGAGGCAGGAGTCTAACTCCCCACGGCTTCTCCTTAAAGTTACTACCCTTGTGAGGAGGGGTGGGGATAGCCTTGTAGCCCTTCTCTGGGCTTGCCTACACTCTGTTCTCGGTGCCCTTGGATCAGTGGAGGAGGCAGCTGTTCCTCATCAGAGGGGATCTGCTGCCTATCAGCACCACCGCCTGCCAACAGCGATTCCTCCCGTGTCTTGTGAAGGCAGGCAGCTCTCCGTCCGGTCAACCACCTCCCCAGTGTCTGAGGGACCCGGGACAAGAATCGTCCTCAAGCCCTCTCCAAGGTGGCCGGTCCATCCCTGTCGGACGGTCCCAGTTCCAACTCCTCCTCCTCCTCCAAACCGGACTCCGATGGGTCCACGACGCTTCTGTACTTCTTAGAGCAAAATAAAATTTTTATGGGGAAGGGGAGGGAAGCCGAATCCTCAGCCAGTAACTGCCACTTTAGATTCAAGTGCTGCTTGTGAATTTTGTTATCTTGTGGAACTGGAATAGGAGGATGTTGGGGTTATTCTGTGGTCAGAATAGAAGACACCACTGGATCTCTATGTCAAATCAGTGTGGAAAAAATGTAAGTTATTTCTATTTGTCTTTTATCTATGAAAATAAAAAAAATAATTGATTTTCACTTCGAGACTGCTTTAAAATTTTAAGAGTCCCTAGTTTTTTTAAGTGAAGGGTTTCAATTCTGAGATTGCATACCAATACTGAGAATACCAAGATTCACACAAGGCAAAAAATAGAAGCGTGACATTTCTCTGGGTCTTTTGCTACTTATGCAGTGCGACATCCGATTTTATTTTGCGGGTGGGAAGGTGGAATTGAAAATAACAGGCCTTATGAAATGCATTCCCGGTTAATTTCAGCTGCTTGCTGCTGTTTTGGGTCAGATTCTAAAAAGGCTTGGAACATGAACATGTGTGTCATTAACAATGTCTTAGTCATCTGTAGTGTTTCTAATCTTACACACGTCGGAAATTTTAAAGGCTGTACTTCAGTTATTTTTTAAAAATGGCCTGATCCTTTTCAGCATCTAAGATCTGTAGCTGAGTAGAATGGGATTAACCTATTTCCTGTGGCCTGCACAGCTGTCTCCAGAGTCTAGGGTTAGTCCCTTCTACCAACAACCCACTGATTAATGGAGAGAAGACTTTTTTTTTTTTAAATAAACAAATTTAATAAGCTTGTTTAAAATTCACATTAACACATTGACCAAAAAAATAATAATACACAAGTCCGTTTTAGACAATATTTTCAAGAGCAATTCTTTGAGCTTTCTTCAGACATCTCAACAAAAGAGTATTAACTGAATGTTTGTGCTCCCAGAAACATCTTTTGAGTACAAAAGTATTATTAACAAAAGCAAAGGAAACTGGTCAGTTGCCTATGGTTTTAATTTGCAGTGGCTGGCTAAGCAGGAATGCTTTCCTTTATACTGTGGAGTAAGCTTTACACAAGACCTGTAGCGGTCTACAATAGCCCTATCCGGCTTTGTACCATTTATGTAGACAAGGTGTAATGCGCATAGGGCACCTTTAAGCACAAAGGCTGAATTTCAGAAACCGTGCTACACTAAAGGGATTTTTTTTAAAGAAACTGCCTTTTTATCGCAACATTGCACTACAGAACTCTGGCACATTCCTCACAATACACATCTGTCTTTAGGACTTACAAGAAATTCACTTTGATACAGGGGTGAAATGCTACCGGTTCATGCAAACCGGTAGTTTAAAAAAGCTAATGGTTCGTCTGAACCGGTATTTCCAACAATCAGCTGTGCCGCACAGTTTATATTCGCTAGAAAGCAGGAAATCCTGCTTTCTAGCGAAGCTAAATTGTGCAGCACAGTTGTTCCCTCCCTCCCTGTTCTACTTACCTAGTGAAGTCTATGTGTGAAGCACGCATTTGATGCACGCTGCACATGCGCAGACAGCAAACCGGTGGCAAACCAGTTCAGATTTCATCACTGCTTTGATATGTCGTTTAGTACAAACCTGGAGGTTTTTATACTTTCTGGAAAATATCGATCGCAAAAGCTGGGTGACCGAAGAGGGAGCTGCTCCCAAAGCTGATTTCTATTCCAAATGATCCTTAAATCAATCAAATTTTTGTCTTATGTATAGGACACACTTATATTACATATATAAAATAAATAAGATGGTTACAGTACTTCTCGGAATCTTTTAAACTATAAAAAAACCTGCAAAAGTGGAAAGTTAAAATGTGTTTAATACATAAGGGAACGTTACCCATTGAAAAGCAAGACAGGAATACCAAACGTAAAAGTTACAAAAGGCACTAATAAAACTGGAAGAGTCTTTTGAGTGTAGTTCTGAAGTTTTAGTACCAAAAACATCAAACAGGTAGTATATAAAATGTGGGTTACACGTGGGTAAGGAAACCACCGGTGCAGTTCCTGATGCTGTGATTATTTCAAGTTAGTGTGCTGTAAATAATGCTCTCTTCAAGCCCTATGATTTAACAATTTCTCTCATTTTGTATCCTTTTTTTTCCTCTCCCTTTTTTTGCACAAGAATGGAAGTATGGAACTCCGTTTTATATATATATATAAAATGGCCTGCAGTGAATATAAGCATTATTTGGGACAGGTTTATTCTTAAATGTTGGAAACTCAGAAATTAGCCATCATTAAACAGCGTGGGATTTAAAATTAACAGCAGAGTAGCTGTAATCTGTTCTAGCGATTTCATCAAACACGGAGTTAATATCGATGCTGTATACGCTCCCGTGAGATGCAGTGATGAATTTACCTGTGAAAGGAAAACTGCTTTATTGCTGCTTAGCTTTTCTGTGGAAGCTGCAAAGTCTGCATCCCCTCACAACAAACCAGAAACGAAGTTCGAATGGGGGAGGAAAATAATTCACTTGTGTTATTTATAACTTTTATTAGCTTCTCTTAAAGGTTCAACCCCCTTATGCTTAACGAACCTAATTAGACCAGATTGCAAACAAACTGCGAATCTGCACTCGATATCCACTGGGATTGAAGTGACTTTATTCCTGTCTCGGCCCAACCGGGTTACGATCATGGAATTTCTCTTTACAGGTGTTTTAGTCACGAGGATCCCCAATATGTGAGAGAGATTGGGAGAAAAGACAGATTGAAAGTGAGAAAGAGAAAAACGAGAGAGAGAGATTTGGAGAAAGATATTGAGTGAGAGAGACAGATTGAAAGAGAAAGACTGAAAGAGATTGAGAAAAAAAGGGGGGGGAATAAAAAACAGCTTGAAAGAAAAATTGAAAGAGAGAGAGAACAATGAGAGAGATTGGGAGAAAGATTGAAAGAGATAGATTGAGGAAAGAGAGAGAAAGGAATAAAAGAGATTGAAAGAGATTGATTGAAAGAAAGAGAAAAAATTACAGGTAGACTGGACCTCAATAATTTGTAATTCCTTGAGTCCAAGGCCCCTTTCTATCCATCAATCCCTAAATTTCCAAGATTTAGGTTTCCCATCCAGAGGCCTTTCAGGTTTAACTTCCTAATTACAAGATTCTGACGATCTGGTATAAATGGAATGCTTTTTCTCCCCCACCCCCCCCACTTCCAGCAGCCCCCTCTTCCAAGAATAAATAAATTAAAAGTGGTCACAAAAACCATCCCGTCAAAGGTTTCCACCATCCCAAATTTCCTTCACTTCCAACATTTTCACGGCCAGGGGTGGCTGAAATCCCCCCCCCCTAATGATTAGGCAATCCTGAGAAATGTTGCCTCTTGGACAGGAGGATGTAGTTCACGTACGCTGGCGTATACCGTCCCGGGCTCCCTAAATCCGGAGAGAAGCCGCCGGCCGCTGCATTGTATTTCCCCGGGCTGTTCTTTCCTGGGCTGAAGTATGGAAGGCTTCTGGCAGGGCTGGGGGTGGCTTGGCCCTTGGGGAACCCTTTCAGGGAAGGGCTGGACCACCTGTCGGGAAAAGGCAGTGGCTTTGTTAGAACTGAAAGCAAAACTGGAGAAGCGGCTCTCTCACTTTCTTGCAGAGCGATGGGTCGTCACGGGACTGATAGAAAAAGAGAGCCAGAAAAATGTTTGCTGTGGCTTTTATAGATTATTTGTAATTAAGTGCAGGTCTTAACTAAAGGTAAAAGTTCTCCTCGCACACATGTGCTAGTCGTTCCCGACTCTAGGGGGCAGTGCTCATCTCCGTTTCAAAGCTGAAGAGCCAGCGCTGTCCGAAGACGTCTCCGTGGTCATGTGGCCGGCATGACTCAATGCCAAAGGCTCACAGAACGCTGTTCCCTTCCCACCAAAGGTGGTCCCTATTTTTCTACTTGCATTTTTTACCTGCTTTCGAACTGCTAGGTTGGGAGAAGCTGGGACAAGTCACGGGAGCTCACCCCGTTATGCAGCACTAGGGATTCGAACCGCTGAACTGCCCACCTTTTGATCAACAAGCTCAGCATCTTAGCCACTGAGCCCCCGCGTCCCTAAATGCAGATCTTGTTGTGGTCCGCCAGCAGCCTGCGGAGCTGGATAGTGAGGAGGTTGGGGAAGTCCTGGAGGCTGAGGAAGGCCCGGAAGAGGCAGAGATGGGGCCAGGGCCATCTGGGAGTGATGCGTGGACTCCGGAGCCTCCAAAGTCAAACAGCAGAGAGGCAGAGGAACAAGAGGAGCCTGTTCCTAGTGCGTGCATGCTCAGAGCTGCCAGAAGGCACAAACAGTTAAAACAAAAGGGACGACTCAGGAGTAAGGCCTGGAGATGATTGGCCCTTCCCATAAGGCTTAAAAGAAGAGCAAAGGCCCTTGGCAGGAAAGCAACGTTGCTAATTCTGTTCCCAGTCGGCATCTCTGTTTGATTCTGGACTCCATGTGACTTTGCCAAGTAGGTCTTTGGCAGTGTGTCAAAGGACATAAAGGTTGGTGATTATCCCGAAGGACTTTTTGCAACTAATTGTGATTCAGCTGTGAATGAAAGTAATTCACAGCTGTTGCAATAAGAGGTTTTTGGGACTACTCGTGTGTTTTAATGACTCGGGAAGCCTAGGTCACAACGCATCTTAAGTAGGAAGTAATCAAGAGTTTCTTGACCGTAGCAAGGCAACAGAGAAAAACATGAGAGATGCAAACACTGGTGTCTTTGCCCAAAATAATGTTTCTCAACCTTGGTGAGTTGAAGATGGGTGGACTTCCAATTCCCCAGAGTGCCCCAGCCAGCTGGGGAATTGAAGTCCACCCATCTTCAAGTCACCAAGGTTGAGAAACACTGACCCCAAAATTTGCTCCAACACCCTTTCCTTTGCTCCTTAAAATGTTATCTGGAGGAGGAAGCAGTTGTGTCCTTTCAAAACTGTGTTTTTTTTTCAGAGAAGAAGATAGGTGGGTTGGGTTAGCAAAAACCCAACTAGTGGTTAATTTTAGTTCGGTATCTTTCACAACCACTGCACACATATCAAGTTCTCAAGAAGATAAATTAAGTCACCCGAGTGGTTTTAATTAATGGCGAGGAAGAGAAAGGACAACCGACAACACTGGTGTGGTGTAGCTTTTTCCTCCCGGCATCCTAGAATAGATGTGACACGGGGGTGAAATGCTCTGGAGTGTACTACCGGCTTGCTTCGCATGCACAAGCACAGTGTGCGTCAAACGTGTGCTTCACATGCAGGCGCAACGCAGGCACTACCACAGTGCTGAAAAAGGAAGATCAAGAAGCCTTTTCTGGGTCTGCAAAAGTAAATAGAACGGTGGGTGGGTGGGTGAGACAGCTGTGCCACGCGATTTAGATTCGCTAGAAAGCAGGATTTAAATCACACGGCACAGCTGATTGCTGGAAATACCAGTTTGCCCGAACCGGCAGCATTTTTATTTACTACTGGTTTAGGCGAACCAGTCTGAACTGGAAGCATTTCACTCCTGATGTGACACCAACGCAAAGGGGTATGTGCTCCTCCCACCTGCCTAACAAACTGTTTCATGCTTCACATGATGATGTACCTTCGCCGTTCAGAAGCAGGATAGGCCCGCACGGACTCGCTCCACTTGTAAATAGCAGGGTACCTCTGGGGGTCGATCTCGATGCCAACTAACGCCGTTAAAACGTCTTCGTCCCATTTTGACGGTTGATCGCTAAGCAGAGGAGGACAAGAGCTGGATTAGCAGCTGTGCACCACCCAAAGGCAGAGAGGCTTACTCGCTAATCTCCCTGAAATATTTCAGCATTTAAAAAAAAACCTGTCTGGGCTTTTGCTGAGAGAGTGCCCCAAGTGAGCAATTTTTCACCTCGGATGACCCCCAGGGGTGAATAAATCACACACCAAGAGGCTCCTAAAACTGGACAAGCTCTCTTCACCTTGAACAAACTTAAAAGAGCCGTGGTGGCACAGTGGTTAGAATGCAGTATTGCAGGCTAATTCTGCTCACTGTCAAGAGTTCGATCCTGAATGGCTCAAGGTTGACTCAGCCTTCCATCCTTCCGAGGTGGGTAAAACGAGGACCCAGATTGTTGGGGGCGAGAGGCTGACTCTGTAAAACCGCTTAGAGAGGGCTGTAAAAACATTGTGAAGCGGTATAGAAGTCTACGTGCTACTGGTATATCTTTTTAATTTTTTTAATTTTGTGCACATGCATCAATTGGCCACAATACAGAATGACTTGCACAAAGAGCCTGTAGTACAGTGAACTAAAGCACTGTTATTAACATCTGCTTGCAATTACTGCAAGTTCAAATCTCAAGGTTCAAAGCTCAAGGTTGACTCAGCCTTCCATCCTTTCAAAGGTAGGTAAAATGAGGACCCAGATTGTGGGGGCAATAAGCTGACTTTGTATAAATATACAAAAGGATGAAGGCTATTGCTTAACGCATTGTAAGCCGCCCTGAGTCTCCGGAGAAGGGCGGCATATAAATTAAAGAAAAAAAAAAAGATGTTTGAGGACTACAGTAAACTAACACAGTTTCAGGATTTGCATAAATTAATTTAGAGAAGCAACCTAGAACTAAGAAGAAAGTTAACAGAACAATTAATCAGTGGAACAACCTGCCTCCAGAAGTTGTGAATGCCCCAACACTGGAAGTTTTTAAGAAGAGATTGGACAATCATTTGTCTGAAGTGGTATAGGGCAGGGGTGTCAAACTTGCGGTCCAAAGGCCAGATGCATCATATGGTGGCCACCCCCACTCCCATTTTAGCGAAGGGAAAAAAAGTTGCAATATGTCATGTGACGACAATGTGACATGAGTTTGACACCCCTGGTATAGGGTTTCCTGCCTCAACAGGGGCTGGATTAGAAGATCTCCAAGGCTCCTATCCTACCCTACCCTACCCTACCCTACCCTACCCTACCCTCTATTCTATTCTATTCTATTCTATTCTATTCTATTCTATTCTATTCTATTCTATTCTATTCTATCCTACCCTACCCTACCCTCTATTCTATTCTATTCTATTCTATTCTATTCTATTCTATTCTATTCTATTCTTCTATTCCATTCCATTCCACTCCACTCCACTCCTCTCTACTCCACTCCATTCTATTCTATTCTATTCTATTCTAATAATTATTTTCTACTCTATTCTATTCTATTTTATTTCTAATTCTAATTCTATTCTCTATTCTACTCTATTAATTTTCTTATTCTATTAACCAGGTCAGCGGGTTCCCACAATACACTGAGCCCTAAAGAAACTAATCCAACGTAAGAATCATACTTAACGCATGCAAGCCCCACAGATGTTTTGAGCCCAGCGTTAACCATGAATGGGTCAAACCCATCTTTTCCGTTTTACAGAAACAGATGTCCATCACACTATCATAGCAGTGAAGCTACACATTCATGTCAACACAGGCAGTCCTCAACACACAACCACAACCGGGAGCAGAATGTCTGTTGTTAAGCAAGTCTGTTATTACACCAAAGCTGATTTTATGACTTTTTTTTTTTTTTTTGGTCAAGCAAATCTCTCCAGTTGTTAAATCAATCGCTAATCATCATTAAACCATTAAATCATCATTAAGCGACTCTTGCCCTCCCCCATTGACTTTGCTGGTCAGAAGCCAGCTGGGGAGGTGGAGCAAATGATGATCAGGTGGCCCCAGGATGCTGCAAGTGGCAGAAATACACGCCCTGAGTTTTGATCATGTGATCATGGGGTTGCTGTGACAGTTGTACAGCGAGGATCAGCTTTAAATCATTTTTTCTCAGTGCCATTGTAACGTTGAATGATTGCTAAATGAATGGTTGTAGCAATAGCACTTAAGACTTATATACCGCTTCACAGCCCTGTAAGTGGTTTACAGAGTCAACCTATTGCCCCCAACAATCCTCGTTTTACTGACCTTGGAAGTCAACCTTCAGTGAGTAAGGATTGAATTCTTGGCATTGGGCATATCCATCCATGGATGGATGAAGGAGCAATAGCAATTAAGACTTATATACCGCTTCACAGTGCTCTACAGCCCTCTCTAAGTGGTTTACAGAGTCAGCCTGTTGCCCCCAACAATCTGGGTTCTCATTTTACCCGCCTCGGAAGGATGGAAAGGCTGAGTCTACCTTGAGCCAGTCAGGATTGAACTGCTGGCAGTGGGCAGAGTTAGTTTGCAATAATGCATTCTAACCACTGGGAGGGAGGGAAGGAAGGAAGGAAGGAAGGAAGGAAGGAAGGGGAGGGGAGGGGAGGGGAGGGGAGAGGAGAGGAGAGGAGAGGAAGAGTAATAACACTTAGACTTATATACTGCTTCACAGTTCACAGTCACCCTCTTGCCCCCAACAATCTGGGTCCTCATTTTACCAACCTCTGAAGAATGGAAGGCCGAGTCAACCTTGAGCCTTGAACCAGTGGTGGGATTCACTTACCTTCCCTACCGGTTCGCAAATGTGAGCATTTGTGCACGCTCACGTCACTCGTACACACGTTGGCCTTGTGCGCATGCACAGTGCTCGTGGATTACATCCGGGTGGGTGGGCGGAGCCTCCCGCAGTCACTGCTCCCGGTTCGCCCGATCCAGAGAGAACCGGCTGAATCCCACCACTGCCTTGAATGCTCAAACTTCCGAACTGCTGACAGCCAGAATTAACCTGCAAGTACTGTGTTCTAGTGTTGTGACACCGACCCCGGAGGCCGACTTATCGTGTGAGAGACGGGGAACAGAACATCTAACCACTGTGCTACCACGAACTACCTGTATCTATTTAAAGAACATTACAAGTTAGCAGTTGGCTGTAGAAAATGTCCCTAAAATATATTTCCTACTGTGGAGTCCACAAAGAAACCCACTTTCTGTACCCGAAACCTCCTTTCATACCCTAAAAGGAACATCTGCTTGCTTTTCCCGTTTGAGGAAGGCGTTTTCAGTAAACCGGGAACGGACGACTCGGGTTGCGATTCCAAAGCGCCGGGCGGCTTTCTCTCGCCAGGCCTGACCTCCGTTTCCGCCGAGCGTCTCTCTGCCTCTTGGGGGTCCCCGTCTTCCTTCCTGTTCTTGACATCCTTGCTCTTCCGGGCAGCCGCCCCTGCCTTAGAAAGCATTTTAGGCAGTTGCTCCTGGCATTTCCACGTTTTTGCCACCTTCTGGCTCGGCTTGCCCGAGGACGAGCATTCCCTCGCCACGGCCAGATCCTGGCAAGAGAGTTGATCAAATTTATCCATTAAGTTGGCCACGGGGGACTGAAAGTTTTCTTCCTGGCTGGGGTGCCTCCTGTGCTTTCCTGTCCTATCATCGCTAGTGGTCGGATTGCAATATCCGTTTTTACTGACGGGGTCTCCTTTTTCGGCCGGCCGGATGGAGGTTTTGGTCCTTGGCATGATAGTGCCCGTGTGTTCGATGGAGAGAATGTCGCACTTGGAGCTTTCAAAGCTACCGATGGTCGGTTCGTTGGGTGCTATGACGGGGCTGTAATTCCTGGCCGCGTTTTGCCTGTTTTTCACTTCTTCCAAACTCATATCGTCGTCGTCGAGAAACGCTCCAACGGAGACGGAATTACAGTTTTTACTTTTACCTGTGACGTCAACAACAAAAACAAAAAACGGTGTGGACCAAACTGTAGGCTTTTGGGTTGACTAGGTAGCAGGGGTGGGCTGCTGGGGGTTCGGGAGAACCTCTAGCTAAGATTCTGTGCAGTTCGGAGAACCCCCAAATCCCACTCCTGTCTGGCCCCGCCCACCCCACCCCACCCCTCCCAGGAGTCCCCACACAGCTCGTTTTAGATGCAGGTAAGTGCAGGGTGCATGTGGGAGGCACGGGGAGGGTGAAAAACAGGCCTACCGGAAGTCCAGGAATACCTCTGGAGCCTGGGGAGGCCGTTTTCGCCCTCCTGGAGTCTCGAAGAAAACCACTGGAGCCTGGGGAGGGCAAAAATGTCTGTCCCTCCCCCCTGTGGTACAGGAGGCTGACTAGGCAATGCCCACCATGGCCATGACTGTCACTGCGTTCTTTTATTTACCAGTTGAGCTCTCATTTCTGGACTATCAGACTTTCCGTAGCTTGCCAAGAATCCTTATCAGTAAGCTAAACTGCGCATGTCTCTCCACCCACATTCTTTCTCACACTTTTCTTTCTTCTCTTGCCAAGAGACGTCTGGCTGCTGAGAAGTAGCCGATAAGAACTTTTGCAAAAATGTAACAAGTAATTTTTAGATAGTAAGATGTTTTATTTTCTTTATAACAAATAAATGAGTTTTCTTAAAAGATATATCTTCCGGTTTGTTTTGGCAAGGAAAGGTCTCGATCCACTCCTCTTAATCAAGGTGCGATTATCCCAAAAGCAGAATGGGATTAATCAGCGCCCTGACAATGACCACCCAGCAACTGGGCAGAGAACCCCTTGCTAAAATTTTTGAAGCCCACCCCTGCTAGATAGCCCATTGATCTTGTCAATAGTGCTTCTGTTTCTTAGTGCTCCTATTTAAAGAGAGTGGAGTTTTCCTCCGAATCTATTTTACATTTAAATTAAAATCTCTCCCATCCGTTCCCTGCAGTGTGTTGCGACTACAGGAGAGGCACCATTCTTTGATTTGGCAGGTATCCTTTATTTTTAAGGGAGTATGCCTAGAACAGGGTTTTGAGTGGTACGGTGGCCTAGAGGTGGCTCTCCCGCCTCACAATCAGGAGGCTGTGAGTTCGATCCTAGGTAGAGGCAGGTATTTCTCTCTCTGTTCACGATGAGAATGTATCTGCTGAATATAACTCCACACTGGCGACAGGAAGGGCATCCGGCCAGTAAACCCTCAGCTTCATTCAGTTGCCCAGACTCCACCCTGCAAGGGATTATGGGGTCATTAAAAGAAGACGCTGTCTAGAACAGGGTTTCTCAATCTTGGCAACTTGAAGACATGTGGATTTCAACTCCCAGAATTCCCCAGCCAACCATGTTGGCTTTCTGGGAGTGAAGTCCATACATCTTCAAGATGTCAAGGTTTAGAGGTGCCAGCTGTCCTATTCCCCAAATTTAATCTTACAGGTCCAGGTCTGAGTTGATTGCAATGTAAGAATTTATTTTTTGCAATTACAGATTCAGAAAATGATGGGGATTTAATGAATAAAAACACAATTGGTTACACAGATACCACCAATGCTTTTTAACCAGGGGTGGGCAGCTAATAACTCCTTTGTCCCAAAGGTGTTTTTGTCAAGAGGCAACTGGACTTTCTGGTTTTTCTTTGAAGGCGTTTCGCTTCTCATCCAAGAAGCTTCTTCAGCTCTGACTTGGATGAGAAGCCAAAGGTCTTCAAAGAAAAAAAGAGAAAGTCCAGTTGCCTCTTGAAAAAAAAGGCACCTCTGGGACAACCATGACCTGGACGACTGAGAACCTCCGTAGAGATTTAACAACCTCATTTACGACTTGTGGATTTCACCAACTCCCAGAATTCCTGAGTCAGCCATTGAATTCTGGGAGTTATTATTATTATTACATGTATTTATATGCCGCCATTCTCCTGAAGGACTCAGGGCGGCGAACACAAGTTAAGAAACAAGTACAATAAAATCATAATTTAATCCAAATAATTAGTAGTAAATAATAAAGCCCGGAATCAGTCTCAGCCTATTTGTTTGAAAAGCCAAGTCTTCAGGTCCCGACGGAAGGAACGGAGATCAGGAGCCGTCCGGAGCTCGGTAGGTAATTCATTCCAGAGGGTGGGAGCACCCACAGAGAACGCCCTATCCCTGGGCACAGCAAGACGACATTGGCTCGCCGTCGGAACCCTGAGGAGAGCAGCCCTATGTGAGCAAACAGGATGGCGAGAGACAGGCAGGAGAAGGTCCTGCAAATATCCCGGACCTAAGTCATGTAGGGTCTTATAGGTGAGGACTAGCACCTTGAAGCGGACCCGGAGAACCACTGAGATGAAGTCCACAGGTCGTAAAGGGGCCATTTTGTACTCCACCAGCTAGCTTTCTCCTGGGATTTTTTGAAGCATTAGCAGGTTTGGCTAAATTTGCTTTGCAGATTTAAAGTAATGCATTTAAATCACCCAGCCCAGGTCCCTATTCAGCCTTCAAATCTTACCGTGAGACTGTGGAGGTTTGTTGTGGGCCTCGTTTTCTCCCAGCTGAGCATTACTGCTCATTTCCTGCTGTTGACTCAGGTGGTCTTCTAGGCGTCCTAACCCCTCCTGGGAAGACAGGTCAACAAAACAGCCCAGGAATTCCCAGTATTCGACCCACGGGAACCCCAGCTCGTGAGCTAACTCCCTGCAATAAATGAGACAGAACAAATCATTTGTGACGGTGTGAAATTAATTTTTGACAACAGATTCACTGAAAGGCGTTTTTTTAAAAAAAACGATCCGCTTCAGGGCTGCGCTTTAGTTACAAAAACTATCCCATACCCAGTTTTCTTCACACACTAAAATGTCAGTTTGTTTTATGCACTTATAGAACATCAAGGAAGAAACCACCACCAAAAAACAACCCCTCTAGATCAGGGGTCCCCAACCTTTCGGACCTCAGGGACCACTAAATTCATAATTTAAAATCCCGTGGGCCACTAATATGATCTGCCTAATGACTGACCGGGTGGGCGTGGCGAGGTGGTCATGTGACTGGGTGGGCGTGGCCAACTCGATGTCACTTGCGTCGAGGGGCGACTCGCTGGCCTCTACTCACCTCTCCCTTCCCAGCCACTCCTCGTCTGCCTGCCCGGGCTCCTTAGAAAGCAGTTGTTGGAGCTAAGCAGCCACCAGGAGAAAGAGTTGGCAAAACAGCTCGGTTCAAATTGGATCTGGCCGAGAAGGAGGCTCAGCAGAAGCACCTCACTGAGGACTAGGAGCATAGGCTTTCCAAGCAGAGGGAAGACCTGCGGGAGTGCAAGGCCAGCTACCAGCGCCTGGAGACTCAGCAGGCTGAGATGGTCAGCCAGTTCCAGGCCATGATACAGTCCCACTGGAACGAGGCTCTCTACTTTTCACCTCTATAGTCGGCTCTATAGATTTTCAATTGGGTGAAGGTCTGGGCTATTCCCAGGCCATTCCAGCAGTGGAATAGGATTATCTTGAAACTCCAAAAAAAAAAAAAAAAGTGGTGCTATTATAGCCATTAAACCTCAAAAATACACTTTTCCCAAAAGGTTTCCACAATTTTGGCCACTACTGTAGATTGTTTCCAAAAGAGAATATTTTAAGACAGAAATGCTGAATACAGTGTTTAAGCCTCGCAGACTAATCCCAATGCATTTTTTCCCCAGAGAAAACATTCCAGGTAGCCCTCGACTTAACGACCACAATTGAGCCCAACATTTCTGTCGTTAAGTGAGACATTTTTCAAGTGAGCTTTGCCCCATTTTGCAACCTTTCTCACCACGTTTCTTAAGTGAATCGTGCTGTTCTTAAGTTAGTGACACGGCTGTTATTGACTTGGCTTGTCAGAAGGTCGCAAAAGAGGATCCCATGTCCCCGGGACACGGCAACTGTCAAAAATAGGAGTCAGTTGTCACACCTCTGTATTTTGGTCACATGACCTTGGGGATGCTGCAAAGATCATAACTGTGAAAAACGTAAGTCATATTTTTTTGGTTCTGTTGTAACTTTGACTGGTCACTAAACGAACGGTTGTTAAGTCAAGGACTACCTGTATTGTAGTTAGGAATATTCCACGGCGATGTGTCAAACCACAAAGGTGTTTTTAGAAGAAAATGGCAACCATCTCAAAACATTTAATCTCTGCAATAAATGGCCTGTAGATACACCGTGTGAATGTAATAACTAGCTTCGCTATGTGATCGGGCGTGATAAATTGACACTTAAAAGCCTGAAACTTAATGTAGAATGTGTAACTCTGTAATGTGAGTGTGTGTTAATATAAGGCAACTGGCAGTTGGAACAGAGGGGGAGGGGGAAGGGGAGTAGAATGTTCCAGCCCACAGGCCGGATGAGTCATGCGGTGGCCATGCAGACACCCGGTTCAGCGATGGGGTAGCATCAAAGCGTGCGAATATAAGGCAACTGGCAGTTGGGACAGAGTTCCTTTCAGGTGGGGAGGGGGAGTAGAATGTCTAACTCCTCAGCATCAGAGCGTATGAATATAATACTGTATATGAAATACTAATGTTCTGATGGTCATTTCGAAAAATCCTTTCTTAGCGAGCACCTAGAAGTCAAGAGGAACATACGTGCCAAATTTCAAGATTGTAGGCTTTACGGTTCTGGAGATTTCGTGATGATGCGTGAGTGGTTTTCGTTTTTATATATATAAATAATGATTACTTGCAGCTCTTGCTAGTCTATTTGGTGCTCATGCTTGGTTTAAAAGGTTTTTTTTTAACGTGTTGAAACAGGACTCTTCCCTGCCTTTTGCCATCTGTCTTCGGGCACCGAGTCTGAAATACCTTCCAACTCGCTCGACCCCTCTTTCCAAATCAGATTTTCGGAGGTGGTAGAAATATTCCGCCCTCTCGCGAGGTGGAGTCTTCCAAAGCCTGCGGAAATCTTCTGCCTGTCAAAAGGGAGAGGAGAGATGAAAGGAACAAAATCCCAACTTTTACAGCCAGCTGGCTTCCTGATGCTTCAGGGAAGAGAAGTAGTCCCATGTGGAGGATTTAGGGACCTGTGTGTCAGCCCCTCAAGCTGCACTTCGTTCAGGGCTGACATAGAGAAGGGGGAGCATCTGGCAAGAGACCTTTGGCATTTCACCCAGTTAATTCCCTGGAGAGATTATTCCCTAGGAGATGAGATGGGAGGGGGGGGGAATTCCTGTGAGCTTAGTTAGTAGATAGGAGAATGACTTGGAAGATGGCCAATCAGAACAGGAGAGCAAGCCAGGAAGGGAAGGGTTTTGGAGCAGGAACTCACTGCTGGCTGCAATGAGTTTTGGAACAGAATGTCGTGCTAATAAATGAATGGGTTTCATAAAGAACTTGGCTGAAATGCGATTTATTTTGAGACGACTTCGAACCTTGACACTGTGTTACTCTCAGGGTAGCACAGCCCTGCCTGTTAAATTGTTATTATTAATATAATACCGTGTTCTCCTGTAAATGATATTTTTTTTGAACCCCAAAATAAGCGCATGGCCTTATTTTTCGGGAGGTCTTATTGTTTTGGGGCGCGTGGAGCAAGACGGGGCTCCTCTTGCTGTCTTACCTGATTTCCAGCTCTGTCCCCTTAACCCTAACCAGAGAAAATGGCAGGGACCAGCTGCGCAAGCGTTTAAATATTTTCGGGGAGGGCTTATTTTTGGGGAAACACGGTAATATTTTTTTTTTGTTTTTTTTTTAATTTGATTTATATGCCGCCCTTCTCCGAACACTCAGGGCGGCTTACAATGCGTTAAGCAATAGCCTTCATACTTTTGTATGTTTTATACAAAGTCAGCTTATTGCCCCCACAAACTGGGTCAATTTACCTACCTTAGAAAGGATGGAAGGCTGAGTCAACCTTGAGCCTTGGAGAGATTCGAACCAGCAGAAATTGCAGGCAGCTGTGTTAATGACAGGGTGCTTAGACCACTGTACCATCAAGGCTCTTGTTAAAGTTATTATTATTATTATTAATTAATGTACAGGCAGTCCTCAATTTATGACCATTCATTTAGCAAGTGAAGTTACGACGGCACTGGGGAAAAAAGGGATTTATGACCAGGATTCACACGCAACCCCATGGCAGCATCCCCATCGTCACGTGATCAGAATTTGGATGCCTGGCAACTGGCTTATATTTATGACAGATGCAGTGTCCTCCCTCCCTCTCTCTCTCTCTCTGTGTGTGTGTGTGTGTGTGTGTGTGTGAGACGTGATCACTTTTTGCGACCTTCTAACAAGCAAAGTCAATCGGGAAGCCGGATTGGCTACCATGCTACTAACTTCACGACTGCAAGGAGTCGCTTAATAACGGTGGCAAGAAAGTCATAAAGTGGAGCAAAGTTCACTCAGCGCTTAACTGTCTCGCTAAACAACAGAAATGTTGGGTTCAATTGTGATCATACATGGAGGACTGCCTGTACCTCCCCTGCCCAGCACACTTCCATGCCTGCTTCATCTTTAGATACGGCATCTTCATCCTAATTTCACAGTCCCACAATAAAAATAATTTCCTTTTTACGATCCTGTAATCCCTTAATTCAGGGTAGAGTCGGGTGACTGGATGGAGCTGAGCGTTTACTGGCCGGATGCCCTTCCTGACACCTACATGGTGTTCACAGCAATTTTCTCTTTGCACCCTGAGAAACACCTGGGATTTAACACTCCACCTTCCGAGTGGGAGGCGAGAGTCTTCACCACTAGGCTGCCATGCTGCTCCTTCTCACAGTCTCGCAATACGACATCAAAAACGGAAGAAGGCGCTTCAGCGAAGAGCCTCTTTGCTCTCCTTACCTTGGAAGGACTCAGTGGCCCTGCATAAGCCCTCACTGTCAGCATTGGATCTTTGGGGCTGCCGAGGTATCTGGGCAAAGAAGCGAGCGGGCTGCTGTCAGTTTGATCTGGGGACCAGGGGGCGCCAATCATGGGCGAAGTGGCGTTATCTTCCGCTCTGAAGAGGGGCACGTAACATTGACCTGATTCACAAAGGAACAAAAGGGAATATTCAGGTGGAGAGCCTCCGAGGAACTGGTAGAATTTTCTACACATCTGCCCCCATCTCTGCTGTTGGTGTAGGAAATATTTCTCAACTTCATCACTGCCTGCAGATTTTTAAATTTTTAAAATATTTATTTGCTTCAATACGGCTAGGTTTGATATCAGTCAAAAAGAAAAAAAAAACTACACTAAATATCCTTTGGGTCTTGTGTTGTGCCATTTGCTTTTCGAATCGCCCCAAAGCAGATGTGGTAGAATGAAGCCCCGTAGACAGCCAATGTGAAATGCAAACCTTCCAAGTGTTCCCTGATTTTTGTTTTCAGATCCGCCGATTTATTTTTGCTCCTTTCGCAGATGACCTGTTAGGCAAGAAGGCGTAAGGTGTATTAGTTAAGCTAAGTTGCCTCGTATTTTGTACTTAAAAGGGGAACCGATCTATAAAGCAGCATTTCAAAAGCCTCAGCAACTTTAAGACATGTGGACTTTTCAGAGTTTCTTGCAAAAATCAAATCCAGAAGCACACACAGATAACTGATTCAGCAGGATTCATTAACTTCTCTTTATATACATAATAACAGATGAAGTAAATTTTACAATACCAATATAGATTCCTCTTACAAGCAAAACACAAGGCAGGAGAGAACAGTTAGTTTCATTTCAGCAGAGCAGACAAGCACACACACTCTGGTTTCAGTTTCAATCCTCTGCACAGACTCAGAAGCTGCAGACTAAGACACGCCCTGGCTCCAGTCTGTCTCAGCTTCCAATTGGCTGACTTAATTGCTATGCCTATTTATTGGCTGACCTAGTTACCATGTGTTCTGCCAGTTCATGAATAATCTGACAGACTTCAACTCCCAAAATGCCTCAGCCTGCATGGCCGGGGCATTCTGGGAATTGAAATCCACATGTACATGTCTTAAAGTTGCTGAGGTGTAAAGTGTTTTTAATGTGAAATCAAGACATTTACGACATGCTTTGAATGTGACTTACATCTGCTGGAGTTTGACTGTATTTATTTTTTGGATTCTTTACGATGCCCGGATGGGAAGCGAGAACACTGACCACATCTGGATTCCCAAACTTGCAAGCGAAGTGCAGCGGAGTATCAAATACCTACAAAAAAATAAACATTATGAATAATCCATTATTATCCACTGTTCCTGTGCGGATTGGGCGGATCTGCTTTCTACCTCCCAAAATTTGTTTCTATTCTAAAATACTATTTTAGGGACAATAGCAATGGATTCTTGAGGCTGGTAGAAACGAGTGAAGGAATGCAGGAAGCCAAAAATGAGTGGATATTAGACAACTCTCCTTCATATTTCCAGGCCTGTGCTTAGATTGATGATATTATCCATTCAGTCATGTCTGACTTTTGGCGATTCTGTGGGCTGGGTCTCTCCACATCTTCCAATCTCGCACTAATTCTTTCAATTGTTCTATGCTCTGGCTGGGATCAGCTTCGATGGTGTCCAGCCACCGTGTTCTTTGTGGTGTGGCCTGTTGGCTGCCGGCCCCTCCAGCAGCCAAATCGGATGAGGAGGAGGAGGAGGCATGGGAGTCAGGGCCAGCATCAAGGTAACCTGAGAGCTCCAAGGGAGAAGACGGGATGGAGCTGTCAGAGATAGAGACAGAGGCCGTCCATCAGCCCTCAAATGGAGAGTCAACAGCCCCCAGGTCTGAAGGTGGCTGATGAGGAAGAGGAGGAACAGCTGGGTCCAGTGCCTGAAGCAGGGATGCGCAGAAGGCAGAGGAGAGGAGAGCAGTGGAAATCTATGGGACGGTCCTTGGGACGGAAGAGCCACCGCTGCTAGCGAAGCCTTAGCCTAGCTCTGGGGATAAAAGGCAGGGAGCGGAGATAAATAGGTGTGGCAGACAACTATTCATCTCCCTGCTGGACAGACTTGTTAGTCTGCGGTAAGAGAGAAACTTTTTGCCGGGGCTGCTGGCGCTCCTAATAAAGGAATCATTGATTTAACTTCAGAAGATTTGCCGTGTTTGGGAGCCGGGTCAGAACACTTTGGTGGCCTGGTTTCCTTTTACCGCTGACACTTCCAAACATAATTGCTTTCTGCAGTGAATTCCCCCGCACGACATGGCCAAAGTAAGTGAGAGGCAGTTATGTTTTGCCTTCCAGTGACATCTGGTGTTATGGAGAACACTGTATCGGGCAGAATCCAACTGAAATGAGTAGCACTTTTCCACTCAAATTCACAGAGGGAATTTACCACTGCTATCTTTCGCTGATTTCCTAGGATAAATGCGAATGGTCCCACTAAACCTGAGTTGCTTTGGACAGCAGGATGGGTCGCATTATCATCGTCTTTTAATGACCCCATCATCCCTTGCGGGGTGGAGTCTGGGCGACTGAATGGAACTAGCAGAGTGTTTTAATGGCCGGATGCCCTTCCTGTCACCAATACGGAGATTTGTTCAGCAGATATAGCCTCATCGTGCCAAGAAAGAGAAATATCTGCCTCTACGTAGGATCAGAACTCCACCTCTAGACCACCACTCCTATGGATGGCATTATGTATTTATAAATAAATAAACTGAATGAACCTTGGTTCTAAGCGGAGATGTGTCCGGCAGCATCTTTGAATCTGTCCGAGATGGCCCTTGGAAAGGAACAGGGTTTACTGCGAATATTTCAGCATGAAAACCGAGGGAGGCTCACCATTTTATCTGGCGTGTTCAGATAAAGATCCACTATGTAACTGATGCGCTTCTCCAACATGACGGTGTCGTCGTCAGGGTACATCAGCCGCATAAATTCAGGGTTTTCCAGAGTGTCCAACAGCAGCCGGCAAATGCCGGGTTGATTCTCTTTGGCTGCCACATGCATGACGTTGTATCGACACCCCTCCTAGAAAAAGAACAGAGGGTTTTTTTGGATTCTTCCATTTCAGCATAAACCCAACTTCCTTTTTTCCTGGGGGGCTGTTTCCCAGACTCTGCTATCAGCCTCAAAATTAGTTGATGAGGAGAAACCGGATGTCACGCCGAATTGGTGTATTTGGAGTCAGTTTGGTGTATTGGTTGGGGTGTTGGCCTAGAAACCAGGTGGGAGTTTTAGTCTCACCTTAGGTATGAAAGCCAGCTGGGTGATTTTGGGCCAGTCACCAGGTGACTGGGTGTTCTAGTCTCACTTTAGGCATGAAAGCCAGCTGGGTGATTTTGGGCCAGTCAGCAGATGATTGGAAGTTCTAGTCTCACCTTAGGCATGAACGTTGGCTGGCTGTCTTTGGGCCAGTCTCATTCTCTAAGACTAATCCACCTCACAGGGTTGGGGTGTGTGTGTGTGGGGGGGGGGGGAATAGGAGGAAGAAATATTAGGTAGGTTCACCACCTTGAGTTATTTGTAAAGATAAGGTGGGATACGAATAAAGAAATAAACTGCTCTGATGCCAAGACAGACCCACAAGGCAGCTACACATTTCCTTAACAATCATGTCTGGAGGGGAGAGGAGGGAAAAAGGGGATGTGTTTGTCCTGCAACTGAGAGTGGCCGTAGCACCTTTTTTTTTTTTTACCTGGACAATTGTCGGATTGTCTCCAGAGCCGATGAGATAGCGAGGATTACTCCAGATGAGTTCTAAGAAAGCACTTTCGTCTCCTTTCTCCACGGCTTTCCGAAGCTTTGCCGTCAGGTCCTGGGTACGAGGGCTTTTGTAACTGTTGGCTCTTTCTTTACTGACCGTTTCCAGTTCAGGAGAGCACAAACCATCTGTTAAAAAGATATAAATAGCATGGTGCACGCTCCTGATTGAATACAAGCTGAAAAAAATGCACATTGGCATCTGGCAAAATGCAAACTTACTTCTTACATGCAAAGGTCTGAAATGGCACCCGTTAGAGCTTTTGGTTTTCATTTGTCCACTTAACGTGTGAATTTTTAATTTTTAAAAATTAAAGCTTAAGCATCCGTGGTCCTCTGTAATAGGATTAAACGCTTTCAGCATTCTTACCCCCCCCCCACACACACACACTTAGAAGGTAAGCCTACGAAGCAGCTCTCACTGCTGACTTCACCTCTATTAGCTGCTCTCAAGATTCAGAGGTGGCTCTTTTTTCACAACCCTGCAAGTTCATTTTTAAAGCACAGCTCATCCTTCTCTATAGTAATGGTCAGGTGTTTAAAGCAGCCTAAAAGGCACTTAGGGACGCAGTGGCTCAGTGGCTAAGAATGCTGAGCTTGTCGATCAAAAGGTCGGCAGTTCAGCGGTTCGAATCCCTAGTGCTGCGTAACGGGGTGAGCTCCTGTGACTTGTCCCAGCTTCTGCCAACCTAGCAGTTCGAAAGCACGTAAAAAATGCAAGTAGAAAAATAGGGACCACCTTTGGTGGGAAGGTAACAGCGTTCCGTGCGCCTTTAGTGTTTAGTCATGCCGGCTACATGACCGGAGACGTCTTCAGACAGCGCTGGCTCTTTGGCTTAGAAACAAAAATAAGCACCGCCCCCTAGAGTCGGGAACGACTAGCACATATGTGCGAGGGGAATCTTTACCTTTTACTAAAAGCCATTTAATTCTAAAAGCCCTTGTGGAACACACTTAAGCCTCCCGCTTACCTCTACCGAAGACCGAACAGACTTTGACAGGAGACAGAGAGATGGTAGACTTGTTTGGAGACGGGAAGTAATCACAGACGCCTTTCGCAAATTTCTCTGCATCTTCTCGGTTTGAGAACGCTTTAAAACGTGACCCCTTAATCATTTTTACAGCTTGCAAAGCTTCCTTTTTGTCCTCATAGACATGTACCCTTTCTGGGAGGGGGGGAAAAAACAGCAGTGAAGGAAATTCATTTCCGATGAAAACAGAAATCTGTCCTTCAATTTTTAATCCCAAATCCTGTTTAGCTACTTTATGAGATGGCAATTTACAGCAGAAAACACTCAGATCAATTACAGCAAATCTGCTTTTTGGTGAATTTTACTTTGGGGGGAATAACTGTGATACCACAGAACAACCTCTGCAATTTGTTTTTTCCAGGGCCTTCCACCTAACTGATCAATTCTAATCAAAACTGCAAAGAAGTATCACATTAAAGCCGCAGGACACACCATCAATACTGGAAAACAACTGCTAACTCGAGTTAAAATCACCTAAGATTATGATGCAACTTGGGGTTGTTTTTTCATCAGCAAGTCAATTTTGTTCCTTGCAAAACTAAACAACCTTTTGAAAGGAACTTAATTTGCTTAAAATCATGGCTCCAAGTCAGAGACAACATTTTTTTTAAAAAAGCGATTAGATTTACAGTATATGTTTTGATGTCCTCCGGCACTGTTTTAAGGAGCCTCAAAGAATCTGTTGCATCTTCTGGGTCCTTGTTATTGCTTCCATTTCTGCTCAAGATTTTATAGTTCCAAAACAGGTTGTAATTAACAGCTTGATCTTATCTTGTTGGAACAAACCGATCCTTAATACAGAATTGGGAATTCAGCCTGAAGGGCCAATTAAGGTAAGAGCTAAGAATTGGAAGGAGACTGTCTTTCAAGAAAGCACGTGTTCCTGGAAAAATTGGGCAAGGTGGATTTAGCCCAGGGGTCAGCAACCTGTGGCTCTGGAGCCGCATATGGCTCTTTCACCCCTCTGCTGTGACTCCCTGTCACTCAAAATATGTGTCACGACCGCCAATATGCGACACCCACCGGCACACGATTTATTGAGTTTTTCAACCCCCAGTCAGCCAACCATGGATAAATCCATGAAAAGAAAAGTTTCTGAAGAAAACAGAACGTTTAATTCAACTACATAGGCTAGTTTTGTGGCTGCTCAAGAAATAGTCAGGCACTGGAAGGGTTTTGTGGCTCCCGGTGTTTTCTTTTCTATGGGAAATGGGTCCAAATGGCTCTTTGAGTGTTTAAGGTTGTAGATCCCTGACTTAGCCTATGGGGCTATCCCTGAATTCAGCAAACTGAAGATTGCCAGTTTTGGATATAACAAACAGCTGGGTTCCTTTTAACAAGAGAAACAAATATTTGTGATTCCAAAAACAAGCAAGGTGGTGGTGGGTAGGGATGGAGGCACCTTGCAAGCTCAAGATTCATGCAGAATTATCTCCTTCCTCTTAAAAGCTCTACTAAATCATCATTAATACATCCAGCTGATCTCTTTGGTAAAGAAAGACATACACCCTAGTATTTTTGTACCCCAAATGTTCCAATTTTGCATGGGGGGAGGGGGCACACATGAATCACCAAACAAATTCAAAATCATAATCCATAAACATTAAGCTTTGGGTACCACATCCCTGGAAAAAAAAAATAGTATCGATCCTTGAAAAATGCAGCACTGCTATTTTTATGCCGAGTATTTATTGCTATCACACTAAAAGGTCTCCTCCAGCGGCCATTTCTTCTCAAGTAATTTGACCGCACTGGCGTTGGGTGCACATTAAGCGCGGGAAATCAATGCCCTCCTGTTGAATTTTTCATTTGCTGGCTGTAAGAAAGCCATCTATTAAGCCTCGTTGCCATTTGTCTCACATGAAGGAGTCTCGGACTCTTAAGGCAGCTAACCGTCTGCTGTCTGTCCTCGCAGTCGTGCTGCAGAAAGTCAGATATTGCTGGGACTGCAAGATCCATCGGCACCAAGCAGCCTGCCCAATTTCAGGGAGATGCTGTCAAGAGTTATCAGGGGGGGAAAAAGATGTGTTTACAGGACGACTAGTCCTCGACTTGCAACCACAACTGAGCCCCAAATTTCCATCCACCAAGCAAGGTGGATGTTTAAGTGTGCTTTGCCTCATTTTATGACCTGCTTGGCTATTGTTAAGCGAATTGCTGCAATTTTTAAGTGAATCAAGCAGTGCATGGTTTTCCCCCTATGGACTCTGCTTGTCGGAAGTCGACTGGGAAGGTTGCAAATGGTGACCACAGGGCCCTAGGATGCTGCGTCATAAATATGAGTCACGCCTGGTGTCTGAATTTTGATCACGTGACCATGGGGACACTGTGACAGTCTTAAGTGTGAAAAACGGTCATAAGTCACTTTTTCAGTGCCATTGTAACTTTAAATGGCCACTAAATGAATGCTTGTCCCAAAGGTGCTTTTTCAAGAGGCAACTGGTCTTTTTTGTTTTTTCTTTGATTTTGTTTCTCATCCAAGAAGCTTCTTCAGCTCTGACAGGATGGTGGGGAATGGAAGGATTTATATTCCTTGCAGGCAGCTGGTCATATCAACCTCCAAGTGGCCTCAAGGACCCCCTAAAACAGCGGTCATCAACTGGTGGTCTGTGGACCACTGGTGGTCTGCGAGAAAAATTTGGTGGTCTGCAGAAAAATTATTTGCATTTTTTATATTGCACTAAATCAGGAGTCAACTACGGCCCCTCGGCCGGATACGTGCAATGAACATTTCTGTTGCTGCAGAGAGTCTCCCCCTTTGGGGTCTTCTTGTGTGGGTCGGAGAGGGGCAGAAATTCCAACTTGGGGTCTGCTTCAGCCTCTTGGTGCAGGGCTTTGGGGGAAGGTTGGAGGGAAGTGCCGCTGGTGGCGAAGAGCCGGAGGGCTTTGTTCCAGTGGGACTGCCTCATGGCATGGAACTGACTGACCATCTCAGCCGGCTGAATCTCCAGGCACTGGTACCTGGCCTTGCACCCCCGCAGGTCTTCCCTCTGCTTGGAAAGCCTATGCTCCTAGTCCTCAATGAGGTGCTTCTGCTGAGCCTCCTTCTCGGTCAGATCCAATTTGAACTGAGCTGTTGTGCCAACTCTTTCTCGTGGTGGCTGCTTAGCTCCAACAACTGCTTCCTCTTGGGGCCCTAAGGAGCCCGGGTGGGGAGGCGAGGAGTGGCTGGGAGGGGAGGGGCGAGGAGAGGAGAGGCTGGTGAGGCGCCCCTCGATGTGAGTGACATCAAGTTGGCCACGCCCACCCAGTCACAAGACCACCTAGCCACGCCCACCCATCTGGTCATTAGGCAGATCATATTAGTGGTCCGTGGGATTTAAAATTATGAATTTAGTGGTCCCTGAGGTCCAAAAGGTTGGTGACCCCTGATCTAAAAGGATTCAAATGACTAGCTGTCTGCCAAGGACTATCAATCCTTCCATTCCCCACCATCCAGTCAGAGCTGAAGAAGCTTCTTAGATGAGAAGCGAAACGTCTTCAAAGAAAAACAAAGAACGGTCCAGTTGCCTCTTGAAAAAAGCATCTTTGGGACAACCATGACCTGGAGGACCGAGAATCTCCATAGACATTTAAATGAATGGTTATTAAGACACCGTCAACGAAGGAGGCCCTGAAGGGACCAATTTCAAGCGTATTTATAAAAGAAACTCTTACCATTTCTGGTCAATATGTCATCGTACACTGGGCACACCCCGTAGTAGAGCAGAGGCTCCTTGGAGAGATTCTGGGAACGAACAGGAGCGCCGTTCGCGTCACGCAGCAGCGCTTCCTCCTCGGGAGGGTTCAGACCCATGCTGTAGCCAAAATCACCCTCCTCGGGAGGGGAGGCAAGGTGGCCATTCGTTTTTCCAGATTCTGGCTGATTCCCATCAGTTGCAGCAGTTCCAGGGACGCCGTTCGAAAAGGGAGCTGTGGCCTCGGAGGGTCCTTGCTGTTCCCATAAAGCCTGGGCCAATCTTTTTTCAAAAATGGACCTCGTGGTCAGGGTGATGGGCCCGCATTTCAGGCCAGCTTTGATGATCTCGTCTCTCAGCTCATCGGGGGTCAGTTGTTTTAATCGGGAGAAGATTTCATCCATTGTTATCCTCCCTGTAAGCCAAAAAAAAAAAAAGTTCAAGTACATCAGAAGTACAGGTAGTCCTCGACTTACAACAGTTCATTTAGCAACCCAAGTCGCAACGGCACTGAAAAAAGTGACTTATGACTATTTTTCACACTTACGACCCTTGCGGCATCCAAACTTTTAGACACTTGGCAACTGACTTACACTTATGACGGTGGCAGTGTCCCAGGGGTCATGTGATCACCTTCTGACAAGCAAAATCAATGGGGAAATCAGATTCACTTAACAACCGTGTCACTCACTTAACAACCACAGTGATTCCTTAACCACTGTGGCAAGAATGGTGGTAAAATGGGGCAAAAGTCACTTAACAGATGTCTCGCTTAGCAACAGAAATCTTGGGCTCAATTGTGATCGTGAGTTGAGGGCTAACCTGTATGGTTAAAAAGCTACGCAAATATAGGCAGAGTCAAAAGACGTATTGGTCCATTATGTTCCACATTGGTTGGATCAGTGTTTTTCAACCTTGGCAACTTCAAAATGCAAGGACTTCAACTCCCAGAATTCCCCAGCCATCATGTTAATGGGGCTAGACACCCCCTAAAGCACTGTGCACACTTATGGACATCATAAAGACTCAGGAAAAAAAAAACCCTTCTAGATAAGACAAGTTTGATAAGCTCAGTTACAGCTGGATTGAAATATATTTAATAACTAATTAATTAAACATGTTCAATCTTCAAAGTTATTGTAGTATTTAAAAAAAAGCAGATTAGATCATTAATGGATGCCTTTAATCTATTTCTCTTTTAGCACAGGATCTAATGTTAGCAGCAAGCATGCTGAGAATTATTCTAGATCTTAATCATTAAGCATCTGGCAGAATGCTTAAATCCACTTCTGCTCCCTTATTTAAAAATAGAACGAAGTAAGAGCAAAATCTCAACCGTAAAAGGAAAGCTGCCGTTGAAGACTGGAAATAGACATAAATAAACAGAACGTTTCAGTGGAGTAAGAATATTGGATATATTAATTTTACCAATATTTTAGAATAGAAAAATTGCTACCAACTCCAAAAATCATGGATTTCGAAAGCGAGTTGGTTTCTTTTAAAATGGAAAATAAATCGGTCCTCCTGCCATAAGATTCTTTTAGGGATTTTTTTTTCCTCTGTATTGTTTCAAATTGAAGACACTGATGCATTTAACATGTATTTAGTACTTTCTTGGGAAGCCTAAATACTTCAGACAATCTAACCAAAATCTCAAATCATCTTGAAACAGTTCCTCTGGACTAGAGATACATCTTTGCATTCAACGGAAGTTGAATACTCTTAAGATATGTTGACATCTTTGCAAATTTTATTATTGTTGATCACAAATGGAGAATACCATGCAACAAAAATAGTTTTAATCTAAATATATAAATACGTATTGCTTTCATGTCATCGATCACATCAGGTGCAACAGCAAAATCAACATCCAGAAAGCAAACACTTTGCTAGTGACTCAAGCAGCCTGAATAAATATTTATTAGGAATGCTTTAATTAATCTAATTTCACCAGGGAACTAGGATTTGGGTTTATATCCAAGCATGTTTGGCTTTCTCAAGAAAAAGCACCGGCTTTGATGTAAAACCAAAACAAATACAAGAGAACAGAAATATTGTAACTATTTTTATGCATTGGTGCTTTTTTTCTTTATTATACTTGTATGTTACCAAATCTAAACAACTGTGTTTAGCGAGCCTAAGAATCTAAATTGGAACTACCATGGAGTGTCTTTTCTTTTTTCTTTAAAAATTCTGCATTTCCATGTGAATATCCCTTAAATATGAAGCTCCTCAGAATTACTTGACATTTGGGCAGCCCCATCTGCCCACATAGTGATAGTCTGTGCATCCCCAGAGGCTTCATACCCAAAATAAATATAGCATGGGAATCCACAGGAGGGGTGGGGGGCAAGTGAGGGCACAGGCATCCTGACAACTGGCAAATGATGCAATTTGTGTAGTTGCATCAGATGTCATAATTGCTATCTTTTTGCAATTGATAGCTGGTCCTGGGCGCTGCGGGATATAAGAAACAAGAAAGGAGGAGGAAAAAGGAAGGATAATTTTATGCCACGTTTTTCATAGTAGTGTGTGATTCAGCGTGTATTTTATTTATTTATTTGTATTCTGCCTTTATTATTTTTATAAAAACTCAAGGCAGCAAACATATCCAACACATCTTCCTTCTCCTATTTTCACCGTAATAACCCTGTGAGGTGGTTTGGGCAGAGAGAGGGACTGACCCAAGGTCACCCAGGCGGTTTTCATGGCTAAGGCAGGACTAGAACACCCAGTCTCCTGATGATTGGTCCAAAATCACCCAGCCAGCTTTTATGGCTAAGGCAGGACTAGAATTCCCAGACTCTAGTGATTGGCCCAAAGTCACCCAGCTGGCTTTCCTGGCTAAAACTAGAACTCACTGTCTCCCGCTTTCTAGCTCTATGCCTTAACCATTAAACCAGGGGTGTCAAACTCACGAGCTGCGGGCCGGATTTGTCACATGCTGGCCATGGCCATGCCCACCCCTCACCCCCCGATTTAGCAAAGGGGGGAAAAAAGTTGTGATACGCCACGCGACAAAACCTTTATGTTTCTCCTTGAACCTTAGATGGGGTTAGGGCTGGGAACAACGGCTCTCTTTCAGATGCTTGGCAGGAAAACTCTAAAATAGTAGAAATGAGGTATAGAGCATGTGTGTGTGTGTGTGTGTGTGTCCCCTGCTTATAAAACATATAAAGAACGGTTGCAGGAACTGGGTACATCTAGTTTAATGAAAAGGAGGACTAGGGGAGACATGATAGCAGTGTTCCAATATTTGAGGTGCTGCCCCAAAGAAGAGGAAGTCAAGCTATTCTCCAAAGCACCTGAGGGCAGGACAAGAAGGTGGAAACTAACCAAGGAGAGAAGCAACTTAGAACTAAGGAGAAATTTTCTGACAGTGAGGACAATTAACCAGTGGAACAACTTGCCACCAGAAGTTGTAAATGCTCCAACACTGGACGTTTAAAAAAAGATGTTGGATAACCCTTTGTCTGAAGTGGTGTAGGGTTTCCTGCCTAAGCAGGAGGTTGGACTAGAAGACCTCCAAGGTCCCTTCCAACTCTGTTGTTGTATGAAACGCACAGAGGCTTCCCAAATGGTCGGATGCCTTTGACAGGCAAGGCGAGGAAAGCTAACCCAAAGCCCTAGGAGAAGAGCAGCCTTGGCCCTTCATCCAGGCCTCCCTTCCGCTCGCCTCCCTTCCTGCTGCTCCAGGATTACCTGGTGGTCTCCCATCCCCACATTTTTCTCCCCTCTCTTCCCTTATTCTTGAGATTAACCAAATCTCTCTCTCTCCCCACCCCTCCCTTTCGAATCGCAAGACACCCTCCCCCCCTTCATCCAAGGCGCTTGGGGACTCCAGCTCCCATCATCCCCTGCATGGGAGGGGGGGGAATCCATAGGCGCCTCCAAGCGGCCTACCTGGCAGGGAGGAGGCGGCGGCGGGAGAAAGGAGCGGGAAGGCAGCCGCGGGGAAAGGCCTCTCACCTCCGTCGCAGCGGTCGAGGCAGCGCGGAGGCCTCTCCTCAGGAGGCGTCGCGTTGGGCCTACTCGGGCCTCGGCCTCCTCCCGCGCGCGGGCCTCGCTCCAGCACCCGCAGCAGCCAGCCCAGCGCGCCGATAACAGCACAGGCGGCCAGTAGCTCCCAGGCGGGCCAACCGGCCCAGCCGGCCCGCCACAACCCGGCCCAGCTTGACCAGCCGGCCGACACCCAGCGCTCCATCGCTTGCCCGGCCGACGGACGCCACTGCGCAGGCGCAGAGCAGCCTCGGCAAGGGGTGAGGAGAAACCCCGGGCGGTACCTCGTGAGGGATTTCCCGGCGTCCTTCGCGCTTTCCTTCTCCTCACGTCCGCGCAGGCGCAGACGGGCTCTCGCGGCGACTCCAGGCCCCGCCCCCTTGTCGACCCCTCCAACGGACGTCCGCGCGCGGGGATGGCCGCGCCGAAGGCATCGGCTCTCTCTTCGGCTCCCCCCGCCGAGGGGCTCGGGAGGAGGAGGAGGCCGCCGCCGCCTCGAGGCCCGGCGCTGACTTCTCCCCGGTTGGCCTCGACGGCGAAGCGGGCCCCTCTCTCTCTCGCGCGCGCGCTCAGGAGTTTGAAAGGGGCGCCGAGGTGACCAATCGCGGCCCTCCACGTCACACGCAGGGAGGGAGGTGGGGGTCGCGCGTGCTCACGTCACACGTGCCGCGCTGCATGGCGGGAAATCGGATGGTTGAGTTCTGCCAATGAATGGGAGAAAAAGCCCATGATCCCTGCGGAGCATGGGAGGTGTAGTCCAATCTTGTCCGACGATTCCCACCCCTCGCCTTGAGAAAGTGACGGCTCGGTTGCCCCTGGCAACGGCTTGAGGAGGCGGGGCAGAGAAAGGAGTCGCAAGAGGGAAACACTTCCGGTTTCCGATTGAAGCCGGCGAGAATGCCACGCAAAGGCTTAAGAGATGAGTGGCGTAAGGCGGAGTCGCATAGCAACCGGAAGTGGAGAATGCTGCGAAGTTCTCCAGCAAAGCCACGTTGCGCTTAACTCTTCGAGCATAGGGTTTAAAAGGTGGTTTAACTTTCTAGCTAGCATGTGGTTTGCAAAAGTGGATTTACCTTTGCAAATGGCTGGCTTTGCAAATTATTATTAGTTTTCAGTTTACTAAAATTCAACTTTCTGGCCAATTTTTATCTCTGATCTGTTTTTTTTTTTTTAATCAGAAGTCACTCCTTGTATTGTTATGTCAAAGAAACAGAAAACAATCAAAGGGACTCCCTATTATTAAAATCAGTTATTCAAAAAGGCCTCTTTAACAGTCACAGAGTTGGAAGGGACCTTCAAAGGTCATCTAGTCCAACCCCCTGCTCACGCAGACCTGTACTAGGGATTCAAACCAACGAGCTGCCGGCCTTTCTGATCGACAAGCTCAGTGTCTTAGCCACTGAGCCACCTAATCAGGATTTAATAGATCATCTATTGGGCCTATCAGGATGTACAGGTGGTCCTCGACCTACAACCACCACGGAGCCCAACATTTATGTTGCTAAGTGAGTTTTGCCCCATGTTACGACTTTTCTTGCCACGGTTGTTAAGTGAATCACTGCAGTGCAGTCGTTAAGTTAGCAACCCAGTTGTGAAGTGAACCGGGCTTCTTCCCCCATTGACTTTGCTTGTCAGGAGGTCACAAAAAGGGAACGTGTGATCCTTGGAGGGGGCAACCGTCATAAATATGAGTCAGTTGCCAAGCGCCTGAATTTTGAGCATGGGGAGGCTGCAACGGTCATAAGAGTGAAAAATGGCCCTAAGTCACTTTCTTTTTTCAGTGCAGTTGTAACTTCAAACGGTCACTAAATGAATTGGACTACATGTATAGTTGATGGGATGTAGATTTAAAGGAGAGCTGGACGCAGGAGCATTACAATGGGCAGCCAAAAAAATCAATAGATCACTGACCAAACCACCCCAGCCTTCCCACTCGAGGTACAAATGATCAGACTTAAATTATCCCAGGCAATATATGCTGTAGAGTGTAGACTTAACATGCCTCTCCTATAAAATACACACTATAGAGTTAAAATACGCAATGGGCACACATATTTTTTTTAATGAAAAATAGTTTATTGCACAAAACCTTTCAAGGATGTTTAGCGTATCTTAAAGATTTTTCTTAAATTAACATGCCCTGTTTTTTTTTAAAAGCACAATTATTACTCTTTAATCAAACACATCTAACTCTTCTTTTGGAACACTCACTCAAACATGTTATGAAAATGACATTTCCCCCTCCCCCTCCTCATTAAATAGAATCAGACGACCATTTGCCGGGAACAAGAAAACATGTGAGAAACTGATATGCATAAGATTCTCTTTTTGGAAAGGAATGCTCTGCGTGGCTATTGTTACAGAAAGGATTCCTATGACTAAGAATCTAAAAATTTTTTTTCCATCTCCGAGGGTAAGCATTCTGCGTTTTCAAGCAAGAGGGAGAAAAACACTACTTTGAAACAGATCCTCATTATAAATGGGACAGTTTGACCAGAGTTCACTTTCTAAATTAAGGCAACTTTCTACTTTTATTATGTAGCGGTCACTCGAAATGTCAGTGACCTAATTTGGTTTGTAAAGATGACATCTAGCATCAGTGCTCCCTTTTCGCTTAGTGCAGCTGCTTACACACACACACACCCCAAAATAAAAATTACAGTTCTGATATAGAGAAGGGCCAGTTTTCCCAAAGCATCTTTCAAAGTCTGCTTCTCTCTGGAGAAGTATTTTTCTTTCAAGCAGAATTTTTTTTTCCAGGTAGAATGAGACAAGGACTGCCTGATTGGAAAACGAAACCGATGAAGTCTCCAAATAACCTGGAAGACTGTAAGGTGAATTAATATTCACCATATTGTTGCACTGCAAGAAATTTGCTATGAACAATGACAGATTTAAACCTTCGGAATCACCGTCTGCTAATATACAGAAAAACACTTAACAGTCACATCTAGCTTCCAGAGATGAATAAACAGATATATTTTTTTAAAAAAATGCAAGTAACCATAAAGGCTCTATTATTTATTTTGAATATTTTTTTAAAAAAACCAAGGGACCAGTCCGAATGATTTATAGATCTTGGCTAATCTGAAAATATAAACAGAAAGCCCTGGTTTCTTGAAGCATGAATTAAATGACAGCACTTTTTTTAAAAAAGAGAGACTGACACTAAATATTTTTGGGGGAGGAAATTTGCTGAGTCAGGGATTCCCAAACTTAACACTTCTTTCCCAGCCAAAATGACAATTCACGGGAAATATAAATAAGATGGTCTGGAAAAGGGAAGCGGGAGAAATGGATTTTTTCATTTAGTTCACAATGGCGTTTTCTCTCTATTCTTGTTCTTGTCCCTTCACCTTCCCCAAATTGTTGAAGGAGTATTTTTTTTTAAAAAAAAAAATCTGATTTTATAATACGTACATTGCATTCAGCTGTGACTGTTGATAGGATGCTCAGAAAAATCTTCATGGGTAAATCAAAACTTGTGAAATGCAAAGAACTAAGTGGAACAGCAAAGTCTGGAAGTGATCATATACATATTATTCATTATGTAATATTAACTTTGGTGTTTAAATACTACCGTATTTCTCGCTTACATTAGCAGATACATAAGCTTCACAGATATGAGCGGCAAAAAAAAAACATCATTGCTATTTTACTGTATAAAACCAACTTTATAATAAAAGTTACCACCTGTCTAAATTGACCCATTAAGCCTTCAAGATGGTGTCTTGATAATTTTGGATTAGTCTTGTCAAATAGTTAAGTATATTTTGAGATTCCTTCCCCTCCAAATTTAGAAAGCTTTCAATTTTAAAAAACCACCTTTCCTTCATGTATGAAATGAAAATAAAAATTAAAAAATGCCTCACAGAACTTTCAGAATCAGAATATTAAAAATATTGAAACTCAGGTTGGAAAAAAGAGCTGAGCAATCAAAGTGTGCATCTGTTCTGAAAAAAAGCAGAATACCTAGAGAGAGAAAAAATGTCTTGGCTTTAACAGGAAAATCAGAGTGACATTTCTACAAATACTGGGGGGAAAAAACATTCCTTCCGCATTCAATCAATCCACACCACTCACAGTTGGGAGCTTTCTTTGGTCAGACTGTTGAAACAAATTTAATTTATAGATTGTGTCCATCTGTCAGGTCCTGCTTCGAAATTTCCTTCATCACGTTTAACGGAGTTTAACACTCCGTGAAGTTATCTAAACTTGAGGTTTAGCCCTGGGAACCAGTTTTTCCTTTGCTTTTCCTCTTTCTCTCTTTCCTCTCTGTTCTCCAAACATCATTTACCTTCTCGTTTTCTTCATTTGAGACTTCCCGCCATGACAGTTATGTGCTGTGATCATCTTCAGTTAGGATACAGCTCATTAAAGATCCGAAGTCCTCAATCAGGTTCATAAAATAAGATTCGACTAAGGTTAGGTGACAGAGGACACTAGATCGGTGTGGCATTTTAGGGGAAGCCTGGTATGCTCCCGTAAATATGATGTGCATGAACACAGGATGAGACTCACAGTTGCTGATTTCACAATTGTATCTGCTGAGATCCCTCACCTGATTCTCACCTAACTTCCAGCCAAGATCACAATACTTCCTACATTTTTGTCCTCCGTTCACACTTCCTTTTATTTCCTGGCATATCCTACAGTGCAATTTGGCCAGGGTAAAAATTCTGTGTTTCCACCCAGAGCACAAAAAGGTGCTGTCAGTTGTTGAGAAACAATTTAAAAAAAAACAAACAACCCTATTATTTCAACAGATTAATTATAAATGAAGATGCCTTTGCAAAAAAGGACATGAGTTCTGGCTCCTGGTTTAAGTCTCAGGAAGAAGCCACGGGGTAGGGGATGGCATTAAAGCTAAGAAACTAGGATTTTATAGGCAGAATACAATTGGAAGATAAATACGTGAATTAATTAAATATCTAAAAAGCTCTGGTTTTAGTTTTCTCGGGCCCGTATCCACAACACGTTTTGCAGGACACCAAAACTTAAGAAGTCACCTTAGTAAGACCAATATATATATATATATATGTGTGTATATATATAAGAGGCTCCACAACAAAGCAACATCACCCACAACTCTTGTCCTGCAGATGTCTGCAAAGACAAACAACACAAATGTGCAAACAGCATCTGTCAGAACATTTTACTGGGAAAATTATTTGCTTGGGAGCCAAATCAATCGACGCCATTGGAAACGGCTTCGCTGCGGTTTTCGAGACGAACAATTTGGTTGCTTGATTTGTCGGAATATGAATCAAAGATACGATCATAAAAATACTGGATTTGGTGGCGTAACAGTCACGGAATTCCCAAGCTTGAAGCGGATTGAACCGTCACCGAACGAGTTTAGCAAATATTTTTTAAAAAAAGTGGGAACTAAAAGGGACCCTGTTTTGTCTTCTCTCTGCAGCCATCCTAATTCGAATCCTCGGTTCTCAAAATTTTAACACGGCAAACCTCGCATCCCTCTGTTCCAGCCCACCATCTCTACCTCTGTTCAAGTACGACGAACAAAGGTCGGATCAAGCCATGGCCTTCACATTTTTTCCCCCCGTTTGCTAAAACGAACCGTAGACCGAGGACTCTAAAAGGCTTAAGAACAAAATATAAATAGGGGTTTTGATAAATACTTTATCTCTCTCTCTCTTTTTTTTAAACCTACTTAAAGCAGTTCTGACGGGAAATCCGTGGGCCTTGGGGATCACTGGGCCAACTCTTCCTCGGCGTCCGTGCTTGGCTTATGATCCTGGAGGTCTCTGTGAGGAAGGCTCTCATTAGATAACAGAGTTACAGAGAGGTTACTAGTGAGGTCCGTCCACTGGCCTTCGATCTGCGTCCAGGAAGACATCGATTCGTGGACCGTCACGGTGTGCTCTTCCATTTGGCGCTGCAGGCTGTCCATCTCTTGCCTTTGAGAAGGTCAGAAACACGGAAGAGAAACACGGAAGAGAAGGTCAGAAACACGGAAGAGAAACGGAACGACTGTTTAGAGCCCCTGGAGGCGCAAGGGGTTAGAACTGCAGTATTGCAGGCTGACTCTCTGCCCACCGCCAGGAGTTCGATCCTGAGTGGTTCAAAATTTGACTCAGCCTTCCATCCTTCTGAGGTGGGTAAAATGAGGACCCAGATTGTTGGGTGGCAATAGGCTGATTCTGTAAAACCGCTTAGAGAGGGATGGAAAGCACTGTGAAGCAGTATATAAGTGCTATTGCTATTGCCTCAGCCTTCCAAGGTTATTTTACCGACCCAGATTGTTTTTTATTTTTATTTATTTATTATTCAAATTTCTATACCGCCCTTCTCCTTTCGGACTCAGGGCGGTGAACAGCCAAAATAAAACATTTATACATAAAGTACGATTAAAAATAGATTTAAAATAATTAAATTTGGCCCATAGTTTAAAATTTATCAATTTAAAATCCATATCAAAATTTAAAATGTTGGGGGCAAGATGCTAACTTGGAGAGGACTCTAAAGCACTATCAAGCAGTATATAAGACTAAGTGATACTGCTAACTATTTATGTCTCTATCTCTCTCTCTGTCTATCTCTCTGTCTCTCTCTCCATGTCTGCCTGCCTGCCTATCAGAATTCAATATTGCAGGGTAAATCACTGACCACAGCCTGGAATTTGATCCTGACCGGCTCAAGATTGACTCAGCCTTCCATCCTTCTGCGGTCAGTAAAAGGAGGACCCAGATTGTTGGGTGACTCTGTAAACCGCTTAGAGAGGGCTGGAAAGCACTGTGAAGCGGTATAACTGATATTGCTATTCCTTCCTTCCTTTCCGTCCATCCATGGTGCATAGTGGTTGGAATGCAGTATTGCAAGCTAATTCTGCCCACTGCCAGCAGTTCGATCCTGACTGGCTCAAGGTTAACTCAGCCTTCCATCCTTCCAAGGTCAGTAAAATGTGGACCCAGATTGTTGGGGGCAAGAGGCTGACTCTGTAAACCGCTTAGAGAGGGCTGGAAAGCACTGCGAAGCGGTATATAAATCTAAGTGCTATTGCTAATAAGAAAAATCCTGCTGGACCATCTGTCTTCATTTCCCAGGTGCTTCTGGATGGCCACCAGAATCGGGAAAACAGCCCCTCACTCCAACCCTTTGTTATAGGAATATAAAGATATTCATTGGCAGTAAAAACGTGTCAACCTTCAAAGCAGAACTAGTGATTCTCAAATTAATTTAGAAAAAAAACCACCCTCCACTCATGTACAGGTAGTCCTCGATTTAACAACCGTTCGTTTAGTGACTGTTCAGTTTCAAGCTCTCTGAAAAAAAGTGATTTATGACCCCCCTCCCTCCTCCACTTAATGACCTTTGCAGCATCCCCAAAGTTACATGATCAAAATTGAAGCACTTGGCAACTGGTTCATATTTATATGATCACCATTTGCGACCTTCTGGCAAGCAAAGTCCGGGGGAGGGGGAAGCCAGATTCCACTGAACAAACCGTGTTACTAACTTTTAACGACGGCTGTGATTCGCTCAACCGCCGTGGCAAGAAAGGTCGTAAAATGATGCAGTGGTGAAATCTAAAATTTGTTACTACCGGTTCTGTGGGCGTGGCTTAGTGGGAGGTAATGTGACTGGGTGGGCGTGGCCATTTTATTTTAACTTTTAAAAGCATTTTTTCTACAACCTCTTTGGCGAAGAGGTTGTAAAAAATGCTTTCAAAAGGCTCTGACGATCCCAGCTGAGTTGCCTGATCGGCAGAGGCTTTTTTTCTGTTAAAAAGCCTCTGCCAATCAGGCAACTCAGCTGGGATCATCAGAGGCATTTAAAAGAACCTCTGAGGTTGTAGAAAAAAATGCTTTTAAAAGCCTCTGACGATCCCAGCTGAGCCGCGTGATCATCAGAGGCCTTTTTTTTAACTTTTAAAAGCATTTTTTCGGCCGAAGAGGTTGTAGAAAAAATGCTTTTAAAAACTAAAAAAAAAAAAAAGCCTCTGATGATTGTGCAGCTCAGCTGGGCATGGGGGGCAGGGAGCAGGGATTTTTGCTACCGGTTCTCCGAAACACCCGCCTCCATCGCTACCGGATTGAGCGATCCGGTCCAAACCGGGAGCATTTCACCCCTGATACAAAGTGCTCACTTGACAATCGTCTCACTTAGCCATTTTGAATTCGACTGTAGGGTGGTCGTAAGCCGAGGACTACTTGAACTAAAAAAAAATGCAGAATTCCTGGCACCGAGAGGTTTCGGCAACAACATCCGAAATACAGAGTCTGTTTGCCAGAGTTTTACTGAGGAGGCAATCTTGGGAGATTTTTTTTTAAGCAAACTGGGAAGGGTGTGTGTGTGTGTGTGTGCACTTTCAGCATAATTTGAGATTCATTCTGTCTGCGTATTTTTCGTGGCCCTTTTTGATGCTTGGTGTTGAAAACGACAGAAAAACATGACTCACCGGAGTTGCTGGAGGCAGCTGTTGAGGTTCCTCAGGGGCTCTTTACTCACGGCTGATGAGGGTTTCAGCAGCTCTTCTAGCAAAGCAGCTGGGACAGGACAATCGGGAATCTTCACCGGGGTCACCGGATTCGAACTGGTCTCCCCCTTGAGTTTCTTCTTTTCAAAAGAAAACAAAAGACCCTCAACCAACAAACTGAGTTTCAGGGTTACAGTTAACGGTGGAGAATGGTCAACCCTGAAGCTGACCTGACCGAAGCCATCTTGACCGCTTCGGTGTTGCCACACGGGAGCTGAGGGATAGGGAGGAGGAGGGATTTGAGATAGCCGGGATTTTGTAGCCAAAGCAAAATACTTTCTCTTGGGGACCAAGGACGTTCTCACGCCTGGTCGGAAGGAAGGCAGAGTGATATCACCGGGCAACCAGACCGTGCTGTGATTGGACCCACGTGACTGATTGTTTTGAGAAAGTGACAAACTTTTAATTCGGTGAAAACCGCGGGAACCTTCAGAGTCGGGTTTTCACCAGATACGTGCTAATACGATAGATCCAATAAAGCTGTTCTTTGAGGAATCTACCCAGGGGTGGGCTTCAAAAATTTTAGCAAGGGGTTCTCTGTCCGGTTGCTGGGTGGGCGTGGCCATGGTGGGCGTGGCCTAGTTGGTCTCCTGCACCAGGAGGGGGGCGTTTTTGCCCTCTCCGGGCTCCGGAGGCTTTCCTCAAGCATGCAGGAGGGCGAAAACAGCCTCCCCAGGCTCCAGAGGCCCTCTGGAGACAGGAAATGGGCCGATTTCTGGCCTTCCCACCTTCCTGTAGGCCCTATTTTCACCCTCCCCAAGCCTCCGCGCATGCCCTGCACTTACCTGCATCCAAAACGGGCCGCGTGGGGACTCCTGGGAGGGGCAGGGTAGGCAGGGCCAGCCAGGAGTGGGATTTGGGGGATCTCCAAACTGCACAGAATCTTAGCTAAAGGTTCTCCCGAACCCCTGCGAACCCCCAGCAGCCCACCCCTGAATCTACCTGCCTCAGAGTTTTGCTTGCTATGAGTGTATTACTTGGAACCCCGACCGAGAACTTAAGAGGTCTTAAAAGTCAGGGCCTCCTTAGATCCAGAGACTGCAATACAGGTAGACCTCGATTTACAACAATTTTTTTTAGTGACCGTTTGAAGTTGCCACATCACTGAAAAAAAGTGACTGACGACTGTTTTTCCAACCATTTGCAGCATCCCCCATGGCCATGTGGACCAACATTTGGACGCTAGTACGGATTTGTGACGGTTGCAATGTTCTGGGGTGGTGCAATCCCCTTCTGACAAAGTCAATGGGGAAGCCAGTTTCACTTAACGACTGTCTTAATAACTTTAACAGCTGCAGTGGTTCACTTAACAACGGTGTCAAGAAAGATCGGAAAATGGGGCAAAACCCACTTAACTAATATCTATCTCACTGTGTGGGTCATAAGTCGGGGACTACCGTGTTTCTTCGAAAATAAGACTGGGTCTTATATTAATTTTTGCTCCAAAAGACGCATTGGGGCTTATTTTCTGGTTAGGTCTTATTTTTGGGGGAAATATAGTATTAAAAGCATCCATCTGGCTGACAATCTTAACTGGGTCTTATTTTGGGGGTAGGGCTTATATTACGAGCATCCCGAAAAACCATGCTAGGGCTTATTTTCCGGTTGGGTCTTATTTTCGGGGAAACAGGGTACCTATGTACAGTCCATGGACTGCAGCAACCAGGAGGTCCCTCATCAGTCTAATCTCACAAAGTGGCTAAAGCAGAAAAGCAACTTCCAGATCAAAACGTCATCTGAATTGCAGGCTTGGCATCGAGGCTAACGGGAAATCCACGTGCATGAAAACGGAGGGATCATCCGTGTTTCTCCAGATACCTTTTTCATTTTCCCCTGTTTCAAATCCAGCTTCAGCTGCTGGTTCTGTTGAAGCAGAGTCTTGATGCTGTTCTTCAGTTCAGACATTTTCGCTTGGAGCATGAATTTATCTTTCTGAGTGATAGATAAATCGTCCCGAACCATCTCCAATTCTGTCTTGAGGTTCTAGAAGGAAGTGTGGATAGCCAAGAAACTGTTAATAGAATTCTTTATTGGCCAAGTGTGATTGGACACACAAGGAATTTGTCTTTGGTGCATAAGCTCTCAGTGCACATAAAAGATATAAGTGATAAATCATGATCACAGTCATCATAAAAATACATTCATCATAAGATACAACACTTAGTGATAGTCATAGGATACTAAATAAGCAATCAACCTAATTGTGCTAGGAAACTAAATAAAACAATATAAATTGTAAGGATACAAGCAACAACATTATAGTCATAAGTAGAAAAGGAGATAGGTAATAGGAAGGATGAGAAGAATAATAGTAATACAGTCTCAGTAAATAGTTTGACAGTGTTGTGGGAATTATTTGTTTAGCAGAGTGATGGCATTCGGGAAAAAACTGTTCTTGTATCTAATTGTTCTAGTGTGCAGTGCCCGATAATGCCATTTTGAGGGTAGAAGTTGAAACAATTTATGTCCAGGATGTGAGGGGTCTGTAGATATTTTCACAGCCCTCTATTTGACCCATGCAGTATACAGGTCCTCAATGTAAATTTGTTGTTAATTGTTAAGCAATGATCATCACAAAAAAAGTGCTTTGCTTCTTTCAAACCTAATGCTTTTTAACTTGCCAACGATCTAGAGGGAAAGGGGAAGGAGTTGGAATGTGGAGAATGTATGCAGAGATCGCAAGAGCTTGGAGCCACCAAGGTCACCGCTGCAGGTGCCTGAGAAAGAGACGGACTTTTTCTCATAACAAAAGACCTTGTAATTGGACAATGTGATCAAACAGGGGCGGGGAGAAGGAGAAAGGATTGTTTAACAGGGCAAGCATCTGCGTGGGAAACCAGAGCTGGTTTCGTTTCTTCAGTACCAACATTGGTGTATCCAATAAAGTTTTACTTTTGGGAATTCAATTCTTCCGAGAGTGTTTTGTGTTTGCTAATTGGAGACAGTTGACAATAAGTCTAATTTGAGCACTAGCCGAGATCACATACTTGTATTAAGGCAATATTTATTTTCACCAGGATGTGTTGACTACATCACAACAGGGTTCACACAACACACCAAGTAATAAGCGGTGGTTTTCAACTACGATAACTGGCTTCATACAATAACGCTGAACCCAAGGCCAAATGAACCCGGTATCAGCTCAGTGTGATGTGCCAACCTTGCTGCAAAATTTTCACTGCCAATTTATTTATTTATTTATTTTATTTTATTTATATACCGCCCTTCTCCCAAAGGACTCAGGGCGGTGAACAGCCATAATAAAAACAATTTACAAAATAGAATTTAAAAGCAGATTAAAATAATTAAATCATAGGCTGAATTTAAAACTCTCATTTTAAAACCAATTTTAAAACTCCCAACCAAAAACCAAATTAAAATCATTTATCCCATCAGAGCGGCTTGCTGGAATAACAGGGACTTCACTGCCAAGATAGTGATTCTAGAACAGCAGGCTTAGTTAAGTCTGAAACAAAAATCTGAATTCAGGCCTGGAACATCTCTGATCTTATTTTTATTCATTTGGAATCTTATTTTGCCTCTTAATTCTTTCAGAATGACCTGCCTAGGACGGGAAACATCTGTAGAATCCAGTGAAAATACCTGGAGAACTAACTGCACGCCTTCCAACTCCTTCTGACTGCGTTGCTCGGTCAAATCCAGCTGTTGCTTCAGAGTCTGGAGTTCCCTCTCTTTCTGTTCAACTTCCCATTTGAGGTCTTCCAGCTGCAAGGACCAACAGACAAGTCAAAATCACGGCAAGCTTCCGACAGACTGGAGAGCTCAATAGCACAAGAGTGCGGGCTTCCATTCAGTGCAAAGCACAGATGATTTCAAAGGGGGCTTTCCTTCGCAGTCAATCACCCATGACGGAATTCTGTTCAAGAATTTGAATCATCCATCTACCGATCCTGGCTCAAAACCAATGAAGACCCTTTCTCTCCAAGAAGTAATCTCAAGGTGTGGTGGAATGCAGTCTGGATTCCCAGCAGGGAGGGGCTGCATTCCAGAGGACCAAGAGACAACAAAGTTTAGATAGTGTGAGGACCAGCTTCCCTCCCCACCCCCCCGCCTTCCAAGAAAGTACGAACGCTTGAGAACTTTGTATTTCAAAAGGAACTGTTTACTGAAAGGGATGAAAGCAAATCAAAACTCAAAGCAGGCTCTGGGGTCCCTCAGGGCATGCAGTTCAGGATAAAGGAAATTAGGAACCCCCTCCCCACCTTCCGATGTGGATTCCGACCCATCCGCCGGTGTGAATATGAATTGCACCAGCCTCTCTGAGAAACAGATACGAAGAGCTTCTTAGGATCATCTTACAATCCATTCGTCCCCCCCTTCCCCTTTCATTTCCCAAGGTGTGAAGATTCTCCAGGCATTCCTGGCGCCAGGCAACGGTTATAAATCAGGGTAAAGTTTATACAAAGAGGATCAGGCAAGAAATTAGATACTTAGGACACATAGGAAAAGAACTAAATGTGACAACTCCAAATCCTCCCCCCCCCTCCTTCTTCCGCAAAGAACGGCAGATACACGGATCTGACAGATAGTTTGGTTAGGAGAAAGAGAATCAAGATAGCTTCTTCCTAGAAGTTCTCAGAGTATGTCTTTAATGATGTAACTAGCTTGCTTGAGTTTGGCAAGATTCCATCTACAGGCGAGGAACAATAAAGGACACTGCTCAGAAGTAACTTTGCATGTCGTTCTTGGTTTTTGGAGTGCCTGACAACCTTTGGGAGTGCCAACTGAGCCAGGAGGCATTTTCTGGCAGCCAGATCTACAATTTTATTACATATTATATAGGGCAGGGCAAATAGATCCCTATATTCAGATTCCAAATACTGACAGGCTATAATAGGACAATGAAAACAAAATGCTTAACAATGCTTTTGTCTTTTCCCCATCTGTTAAAAATCCAAACTTAAAGGTAAAGATAAAGGTTCACCTCGCACATATGTGCTAGTCGTTCCTGACTCTAGAGGGCGGTGCTCATCTCTGCTTCAAAGCCGAAGAGCCAGCGCTGTCCGAAGATGTCTCCGTGGTCATGTGGCCGGCATAACTCAATGCCAAAGGCACACAGAACGCCGTTCCCTTCCCACCAAAGGTGGCCCCTATTTTTCTACTTGCATTTTTTACGTGCTTTCGAACTGCTAGGTTGGCAGAAGCTGGGACAAGTCACTGGAGCTCATCCCATTACGTGGCACTAGGGATTCGAACCGCTGAACTGCCGACCTTTCGATCGACAAGCTCAGCGTCTTTAGCCACTGAGCCACCACGTTCCTGTGTAAACTTGTAAACTTTACACTTAAAGGGAAACATTAAATAATTATGGATTGTCCTTCTTCTGTTGTTTTTTTTCCAGCTCTGATATGCCTTTTCAGAATGCACTGAACATTAATGAAGGAGAATATCTGTAGCTCAGGGTTGACATGAGGGGTCCTTGGTGCTCTCTGAGCTTCCTTGTTTTCTTGCAGATGTTTCGTCACCCCAAACAGGTAACATCATCAGTGCATTGATGACGTTACCTAGTTTGGGAAATGAAACGTCTACAAGAAAACAAGGAAGCTCAGAGAGCACCAAGGACCCCACACCGAACATTTCCAATGAAGTTGCAACATAGATTCTTCACTAATTCAGATCTTTCCCCCCTTCCACCCAACTTCCTTTTCACTGGTGATTGTTTTCTTCTACTGTGTTCCCTCAGTGCTTTCCTACTGCATGCATAAAGCCCAAACACCCATCAAGGAGGAAAGGAAAGGCCAAGACCGAGATTTCACCTCTTGGTTTTCCACAGGTTGCTTGTCCAGTTGATCATCCAGCTGCTTCTGCAGAAGCTGAAGCTGGGACCGAGCATCTACAAGCTCTCGCTGGATCTGAGAGACTTCCTCGGAGTGCTTTCCATCTTCTGCCCTAGAACAGACAAAGAGACTCAAATCACCTTGAGAACATCGATGTTCTCAGAAACTACCGGCCAACAGCATTAACGAATATGGGCTATAGATAGTCCTCAATTGAGCCCAAAATTTATGTTGCTAGGTGAATCTTCTCAAGTCACAGTTAGCATCTGCTAGAAGTTATATAAGGGTCAATGGCACTCAAAGGAGGGGTTGAGGGGTCTGATTGGGTCTGGTAATAACTACCAGACACAATCAGTCATAAACAAACATATTTTATTAGAACAGCTGAGAATTACTTAATTCTCAGCTTAGCCCTAATTAATTTCAAAACAAATCCTTCATAAACAGTCCTTCGTCCTTATCACCAACCTTTGTCTCCTTTGGCACCCTGCCAAAGGCTTTTCTTGGCAAAAGTTCAGAAGCAAGAGACGCCGACAAGAAACAAATGTAGCAACGCTGCTTTCCTACAAAGATCCCAAGAGTGGTTGCTGCTCTTTTAAGCCTTCTGGGAGGGGCCAATCATCTCCTGGCCTTACTCCCGAGTTGTCCTTTTTGCTTTAGCTGCTCTTGCCTTCTGGCAGCTCTGCGCATGCGCGCACTGGGAACAGGCTCCTCCTGTTCCTCTGCCTCTCTGCTATCAACCTCTGGAGGTTCCAGAGTCTGCGCATCGCTCCCAGATGGCCCTGGCCCCATCTCTGCCTCTGACGCAGAGCCCTAGTCCGGACCTTCCCCTGACTCCAAGACTGGCCCATTGTCCTCCCCAGCCTCTTGACTGTCTGACTCCGCTGCCAGTTCCACAGGCTGCTGGCGGACCACAACAGTTGGACCTAGTTCGCTTGTGGCTACGTAGGGATTCCAGGCTGATACCTCTTTTAACTCCTCCTCCCACAGGTTCTACCAGTCCTTCTGTAAGTTGCCTCTCTAGCTCATTGTCCCAGGTACACAAGGTTCCCTCCCCTCATTTGCACAGTTCACACACAACTAAGGCAGCCAAATGCACACTGCCTTAGAAACATCAGGATTTCCTTTTGGTTTAAACACTCACTGCAACTTGTCGACTTCAGCCTGGAGAGCCTCGATCAGGACTTCTTTGGCTTGCAGCTCTCGCTTGACCTCGCCAAGTTCCAGGGCAGCAGCTTTATAATGCCGACGGTTGTGTGCCGACTCTGCTTTTGTCGTCGTAACCTGCCACAGCACATTGCATCATTACCACACTGGCAAAATGTAGCCCTTTCCCAACCTCGGTGCCCTACAGATGGGGTCAGGTGTCAGCTCCCCACACTAGAAGGTTAGGTAGGAATTCTGGGAGTTGAAGTCCAACCCATTTGTAGGACAGTCTATGCTGCTTAGGAAACGGTCAGATAAGAGGCAGCGTAGCCCACAGCTGCATAATGGGTGGGGCAAGAGATTCAGAACCCTATTTTCCCAGGCTGTAAAGGAGACGGTGGGAGAATTGCACTTTCAAACTTGCAAGATTCTGTCAAGGTTGCTTTACAATAAAGTAGAGTTAGTTTATCAGGTTGTCCTCATTTCACCTACCTTAGAAAGGATGGAAGGCTGAGTCAACCTTGAGCCTTGGCGAGATTCGAACCCTGCAGTAATTGCAGGCAGCTGGTCTTAATAACCAGCTTAATAACAGGGTGCCTTAGACCACTGTACTACCAAGGCTCTTGCTGTATACTAGAAACAAATGGTTGTCTCTGACAACCAGCCACTTCCAAACCCTTCCTATTTATTTCCCAGCCAGGGAAAGGCTGGCTAGCGTCTGCCTTTCCATGAGAGCTGGCTTATTGCTTTCCTTTGCTCTCCTCTCCACAAATACGCACATCTGGGATGGGCCCCGAAGACAGCTGCCTCTCCACCTAGGGGAGGATGGAAGCCCCCGACTCTGCCTCTGTCTCCCGTGCTGTTTCCTTACCAGAGCCTTCCAAAGACTCTGAAGCTGGCCCAGGCTCCCCCTCAAACTCCTCCTCCTCATCTGACTCTGCTTCTGGCTCTGCTGGCAGCCGATGGGCCACAACAACCTGCAGAACACCGCATTTCCAAGTCTCACATCTTCTCAATGTTCACAGTAATTCTGGGCAAAGTCACTCATTTATACCGTAAACCATCTTGACCTCCTGCCCAGAGGTGACCAAGCACCCAAGAAGTCCTTAACCGAGCTCTCTGAACGCTTTCAGCGAGGACGTGTACCTGTTCCTTAAGACTGAGAACGTTGGCTTTTTCTTTCTCCAAAGCCATTTGCAAAGTCTGAATCAACTGCTTCATCTTTTGATCTTCTTCTTCTTTGCTCCTTAGAACCGCCTGGACCTGGAAGATGGGGAAGATCACAAAGCAGAGAATGCACCTGTCAGATCTGGAAGCCATCTTTTACGTTTGGGCCTTCAGGCCTGCCGCATTTTCTACTGTGGGAAAATGGGAGGGGGCGATTGCATAGAGTATGGGTGATATGTAGTCAAAATAACATTCTTTTCTCAGAGAGTCAAGGCCAAGGTGCCCTGCAGCTGCAATGAGGTGATGGGGAGGTATCTCCAGTGTTGGATGGTGCCTGATTGGACCATGTGATGGACATGTGGGTGCTGGGCAGGGACTTGAACTTTCCTTTGGGTGGGGAAAACATGGAAGCTCTCAAATTCGGGTTTTCCCAGATCTGCCAATATGACATCTCTAATAAAATGGAACTTTGAGGAAACTCAAGCCTCGGAGTCTTCTTTCGTTGGGGGTGTTACTTGGAACCCTGACAGCACCGTTTATTTCTGCACTCAGTTATTATTTAATTCGTCCACAGGACAAGACCTGCCTTGGCGCCAGAGTTGGGGTTTAAAGCAGGGGTGTCAAACTCAATTTCATTGAGGACTGCATCAGGGTTGTGTTTGACGTTGGGGGGGCGTGGCCAGGGGAGGCATGGCCAGCTTGACGTCACTCATGTTGGGGGCACCTATGGTGGCCCAAGCACTCTGCCAGCGAAAACAGGCTTCTGACCTGATTTTGGCTGCGACGGCTCCTGCAACTCTCTGCGAGCGAAAACAGAGCTCCATTTTTGCTGGCAGAAGCACCACAGGGCGGCCTGTGGGCCAGATCTAACCATTCCGCGGGTGAATCGAGACCCCTGGCCTTGACTTTGACACCCCTGGTCTAAAGGAGTGTGTCCGAATCCTGGGTTAAGAGGTAAGGACTCCAATTCGTGGTTGAATGGGGAATTCTGAGAGTTGAAGCCCACTCATCGTAACCTTGTCAAGGTTGAGAAACACTGGTCTAAAACATCTGAAAACCATCCACTCGGAAAGCTGCAGGAAGAGGTCAGATGGAGTCATGATTACAGTAGGGGCCAAAATTGTGGAAACCTTTTGGGAAAAGTGTATTTTTGAGGTTTGATGGCTAATAACACCACTTTTTCTTTTTTTTGAGTTTCAAGATAATCCTATTCCTTTTTTTCATAAAGGAGGAGGAGGAGAAAGAGGAGGAGGAAGAGGTGTTTTCATAACAATGGAGAAAGAGGAGGAGGAGAAATAGAAGAAGGAGAAAGAGGAGGAGGAGGAGAAGTTTTCATAATAATGGAAAAAGACAAGAGAAGTGCTTTTTTTATGGAGGAGGAGGAGGAAGAGAAAGGAGGAGGAGGAGGAAGAGGAGGAAGAAGAAGGAGGAGGAAGAGGAGGAGATAGAGAAGGAGGAGGAAGAGGAGGAGGAGGAGGAGAAAGAGAAGAAGGAAGAAGAAGAGAAGGAGAAAGAGAAGGAGGAGGAGGAAGAGAAGGAGGAGGAAGAGAAAGAGGAGGAGGAGAAGGAGGAGGAGGAAGAGAAGGAGAAAGAGAAGGAGTAGGAGGAGAAGGAAGAAGAGAAGGAGAAAGAGAAGGAGGAGGAGGAAGAAGAGGAGAAGGAGGAGGGGGAAGAGAAGGAGAAAGAGAAGGAGGAGGAAGAGGAGAAAGAGAAGAAGGAGGAGAAGGAGGAAGAGAAGGAGAAGGAGGAAGAAGAGGAGAAGGAGGAAGAAGAAGGAGAAGTCTACCTGGAGATTCAATTGCACCAAATCCGCCTCTCTCTTGGCCAGAGCCGCTTCAAGGATGCGGTTGTGCTCTCGCAGAGCCGCGTTGGACTGGCCAAGGCCGGTGAGTTTTCCCCGCTCGTGTTCTAGTTCAAGCGAAAGCTTCTTGTTGGCCTCTTCCAGGCGCTTGATCTTCCTCCGGAACCCTCTTGCTTCTTGAAGCTGCGTGGACACACAAACAATTATTTTTTTCTTATTAAAGACACTGCATTGCATCCTCAATTTAAAATAAAAAAAGATACTGACGATTTGGATGGCTAGAGACAACACTTAGTTTTGAAGACGAGAGGGATAAAGTAGGTGAATGATTCCCAGGGACCCATTTCTTTCTTTCCTTAGGCTCTGGGAAATACTTGCGTTTTAAAATTTAATAGGGCAACGACTTGCATATACACAAACTCAACTCTCTTCTAGCACTGATGATGTTACCTAGTTGGGTCATGAAACGTCTGCGAAAAAAAAAACAACCAATCTCAGAGAGCAACAAGGACCCCACAGTCCTCCTCCTCCTCTTCCCTAAACACCACTCCCTTCTAACACTGATGGTGTCACACAGTATGGTGGTGAAACGTTTGCAAGAAAACAACCCAGCTCAGAGAGCAACAAGGACTCCACAGTTTTCAACCTAAGTCAGCTAAGAGTTGATTGATTGCCCCTAACGGCTAGCTCCGCCATTTTCAGGAATTGGGGGGGCGGGGTGGTGGTGGTAAAGGATTCGAGTTGAACATGGCCAGTGGAAAATGCCAAATGTGCTGACTGTCAACTTGCAAAGCTTTCAAGTTGCCATGAGCAGGAGGGAGGCAGAACCGAAGTGAATTCCATACATTCTTCCTGACCGCAATCAGAAGGAGGGTGTTAGGTTTCACAGCCAGCCAAAGTGGTTAATTGGAGAATGTGATTTATGACATGGCCAGAGAGGCGGGGAGAGACAGGGTCATAGGGAAACGTAAATCTACATGGGATTATTCTAACTGCATCCCAGTATTGCCGGAATGGTGCTCCCAATAAATGAATATATTTCCTTTGAAGTTTGGATCGTGGCTCATGAATTAATTAGGGCATCTTTCGGAAACTTGACACTGACATTCACTCCTTACAGTCCTTCCTTATCAAGAATCAAGAATCGCTTCAACGGTTTTAAGCAACCCTTTGGCCATATCCAACTAACCAACCCACACGAGATCGAGGAGTCAAACCAGTTGCACTATGCTTGTTAATAATAACAACTACTACTACTATTGCTGCTACTACTACTACATTGTCATTGTACATATATACACAGTATACCCATACAATGAAATTCACTACTACAACTACTACTACATTGTCATTATACGTGTATACACAGTATACCCATACAATGAAATTTGCTACAACTACTACTACATTGTCATTGTACGTGTATACACAGTATACCCATACAATGAAATTCACTTAACGCCCAAAGACCAGGTCCAACACACATAACAACCCCCAAACACACTCCCACCCACCACAATCCCCCACCCCTAAACCACCCAAACATCCACACAACAGACGGCGGAGCAACTCAATAAGCCAGGGGTGTCAAACTCAAGGCCCGGGGGCCGGATCCAGCCTGCAATGTGGTTGGATCCGGCCCACGGAACCGTCCTGGTCTACCCAATACGAAGAGGAAACATGCCACAGTTTGGGGAGTGGCATCAAACTAGCCATGCTCACCCAGTCGGCCACCGTCCAGCCCCCCTGAGGTCAACCACAGCCAGCGGTGGGTTTCACATTATGTTACTACCGGTTCACCACCCGCGCGCTCACTTCATGCACACATGTGCCTGGTTTGCATGTGTGCTTGCCTTCCACAAATGTGGCCGGCCTTCAGCGCATGTGCCTTGCTCGCATGTGCGCCTTCCGCGCGTGCGCCCAGCCTCAAAAACGTGCCTAAATAGGATGGCATAGAGCCAGGGTGAGTGGGCGGGCCCACCTGTGATTTCCACTACCGGTTCGGGCGAACCGGTGCGAACCGGCTGAATACCACCCACAGCCCTGACGCGACCCTCGGTGAAATCGAATTTGGCACCCCTGCAATAAGCCATTTAGCCATTACCTCATCTTCAAGCTCAAGGACCTTCTCTCGGTATTCTTCCAGTTCTTGGCTGGTGAGCGAGATGACTTCTTGAAGCTCCTTCTCGAGAACCGTCTTACTGTGGGTGAGAGACTGCAATTCCGCCTCCAGCGTCCGGATCTTTTCCTGAAGGCCAGAGGCACATTCTGGGTTAGTGTCCCCGCTCGAACAAGGGTGCCACGGTTTTAGAAGATCAAGGAAATGAGGTTGCTTACCAGGCTAGCGTGGTTATTTTCGCTCTCGGAAAACTGGGCCTTGAGTTCATTCAGCTCAGCTTCGGACGACTCCTTGGCAGCAAGGGCCTCCTGAAGGCGCCGGCTGAGGACGCCAACGGCGTTCTCATACGCTTTGTGCTTGGCCTTCATCTCCTTCTGGGCCGTGCTCAGATCGGAACCCAGCCTCTTCATTTTCTGCTTCTGTTCGGTAATGGCCCTACAAAGGGAACCCAACAGCAAAGGGCAGTCGGTAAAGGAGCACGATGGCTCGCAATTGTGGTTATTGTGGTCGCTTAACAATGGTTGAGACGCTGGTGAACGAGCAGCAAGCTCGCGTTCGAGACCCGAGTGGTGTCGTGGGATGGGGCGAGCTCCCGTCCTTTCACTCCAGCTCCTGCCAGGAACATGAAAGGAGCCCAACTCGGGATCCCCCCCCTGGTGATGTCATCAGATAATCCTTTCAACCTGGAAGCGCCTCAGTGCTAATTACAGATTAACAGAGTTGGAAGGGACCTTGTAGCTCATCTAGTCCAACCCCCCGCCCAGGCAGGAGACCCTACACCATTTCTGACAAATGGCAGTCCAATCTCTTCTTGAAAGCCTCCAGTGATGAAGCTCCCACAACTTCCGAAGGCAACTTCTGTTCCATGGGTTGATCGTTCTCAGTGTCAGAAAATTCCTCCTTATTTCTAGGTTGAATCTCTCCTTGATCAGTTTCCATCCATTATTCCTTGTCTGGCCTTCGGGTGCCTTGGAGAATAGCTTGAACTCCTCCTCTCTGTGGCAGCCCCTGAGATATTTGAAGACTGCTATCCTGTCTCCCCTGGTCCTTCTCTTCACTAGACTAGCCATGCCCAGTTCCTGCAACCGTTCATCGTATGTTTTAGCCTCCAGTCCCCTCATCATCCTGGTTGCTCTTCTCTGCACCCTTTCTAGAGTCTCAACCTCTTTTTTATAGTGTGGTGACCATAACTGGATGCAGGATTCCAAGTGTGGCCTTACAAAGGCTTTATAGAGTGGTATTAGTACCTCACGTGATCTTGATTTTATCCCTCTGTTAATGCAATTTAGGACTGCATTGGCTTTTTTGGCTGCTGCCGCATATTGCTGGCTCACATTTAGCTGGTTGTCCACTAAGATTCCGAATGCGATGTGAGCAGTTAGTAATACAGGTAGTCTTTGACATACAACCGTTCGTTTAGTGACGGTGGCAAGGTTGTAAAGCACGATGTCACAATAACACGCCAACTAGTGAGGGCGTGTGCAATGTACAATTCTTAGGACAGAATCAACAGCGTTACCTAACATGCCTCACTTCGTCCTTCAAGTTTTGCAATGGTCAAAAGGCTAAACAGGCTACCTAAGAACGGATGTAGGTAATGTGTTAAGATTCAGGTAAACCAACGCAAGCTATACTCACAGCTTTGTTTCTTGTTGCATTTCGTCCACTTGTCGTTTTAAGTCTTCGTTTACTTTGACAAGAGCCGACATCTGTTCTTGGTCAAACCTCAAAGACTGGGAAATTTGGAAAAAAGCACGAAAGAAAAATTGAAACCATACAAACAATTAATGCAGTGAGCTTACCTATTTAGGAACAAGGCTGGCTTAGAGAAACAACAGGTGGTCCCTGAGTTACGACCACAACTGAGCCCAAAATTTACGTCACTAAGGGAAAACATTTTGTTAAGCAAGTTTGCCCCATTGTATCTATCTCAGCATCTATCTCAGCATCTACTTCTGTTCTACTATTGCAGCACCATTGAGAGTGTCCTGACATAAGGCATTCTTGCATGGTATGGGAGCAGCTCTGTAGCGGACAAAAAAGCTCTACAGATAATCATTAAAACTGCCCAGAATATCATTGTACTCCAGCTACCAGCCCTGGACGACATCTTCGAATCTCGCTGTTTGAGAAAGTTGCATAACATTCTCAGAGACTCTTCCCATCCTGCTTACAATCTTTTTGGACTCTTGCCTTCTAGCAGAAGATATAGAACCATTAAAACTTGGACCACATGTCTTCTGAATAGTTTTTATCCCAGAGCTGTAATTGCACTCAACAATGAACTAAAGGGCTACCATCGGTGAGCTGTTGGACAGCATTACTTGGTCTGTTGTGTGGATGTTTGGGTGGTTTAGGGGTGGAGAATTGTGGTGGGTGGGAGTGTGTTTGGGGATCGTTATGGGTGTTGGGCCTGGTCTTTGGGTGTTCAGTGAATTTCGTTGTATGGGTATACTGTGTATACACATACAACGACAATAAAGTTATTTTATTATTGTATGACTTTTCTTGCCACCGTTGTTAAGCGAATCGTTGCATTTGTTTAGTCACATGGTTGTTAAGGGAATCTGGCTTCCCCATTGACTTTGCTTGTCAGAAGCTCATCCAACGGCATCACGTGACACCCGGGACACTGTGACCGTCATAAATACGAATCAGTTGCTAAGCGTCCGAATTTTGATCATGTGACTATGTGGGTGCTGCAACAGTCATAAGTGTGGAAAACGGTCCCAAGTCACTTTTTTCAGCGTCGTTGTAACTTGGAACGGTGACTAAATGAAATGTTATAAGTCGAGGACTTGCCTGTACTGTGAATTATGTATAGTTTAGTTTACTTTATTGATTAGCCCTTGGGTCATGTCAAAGTGCAGAGTTCCAGACACAAATTATTACTAAAATCTGATTAAAAACAATTTAAAATGGCATTGGAATAAAATACAATTCAAAATGAAATTGAAATAAAATGCAGTTTAAAGTGAAATCGGAATAAAAACACAATAAATTAATATAGAGATAAATAAAATATGATAAAATTAAATTGTATTTCGGTGTCACCCCTACAATCTACCCCTAATTATGAAAAAAAAAGAACGATTTTTTTTAAAAAAAGGAGGGAAAAACCACAGAAACGTCTCGTTTTTTTTCTATTGATTTCTGAAATTTAGCTTTCCTTCCCACCTGTAGCTCCATCTCCATGTCGTTTCGTTCTTTCTGGGCCAGCTGGAGTTGGCTCTCCAGTTCCTCCATCTGCTGCTGAATCTGCGTCAGATCCTTCGCCAGCTTGGAGTTCTCCAGCTCCGTGGATTTCTTCTCACCCTGAAGCTGAAGGAATTGTCGCCTTAGCTCTTTGATTTCGGCATCCAGCTTCTTCTTTGTGGACTTCAGTTCGCTGATTAGCTGGTCTTTGGAAAGCGCGTCTCGGCGGTAGGCTTCAACCATCACCTGCGGGGCAAGAAACAAACAGAACCGTTTGATGGAAAATATTACCGGATTATCAAACTCTTGTTCCGCAGCAAAACTGGCAGTTGGGATCCCAGGGGGAAAAAATAATACAACTGCTTTAAAATGGTGTAACTATGTGCGAAATTTGCAAGTCCAAAACACTTTTGGGAGATCCAATAAGAAGAATATGAATCTTGAATATGAGCCAGCAATGTGCGGCAACAGCCAAGCAAGCTAATTCAATCCTGGGTTGTATAAACAGAGACACAGAATCGAGATCACGTGAAGCAGAAGTGCCGCTTTACAAAACTCTAGTAAGGCCACACATGGAATAGTGCAACCAATTTTGGTCACCACACTATAAAAAAGATGTGGAGACTTTGGAAAAAGTGCAGAGAAGAGAAACTCAGACGATCAAAGGCCTGGAGGCTAAAACATATGAAGAGCGGTTGCAGGAACTGGGAATGTCTAGTTTAATGAAAAGAAGAACTAGGGGAGACATGATTAATTTGACCGTGACAATTAAGATGCAAGCATGGATGAAACATTTCATATTTTCCAGTTTTTCCAAGAGTGAGAAAATTTAGGAAAAAAACACGCATACTGTTGTGGCTCCGACCCCCGAGCCTATCTCATCGGAGGAAGAAGGCTCCGAACATGAAGGAGAGGAGCCGGCCAGGCCTCCCGCTCCAGGCCCCTCCTCTCTGGCAATGCCTCAGGTGTCTGCCGAGGGAGAGGAGATTGGCCAGGAGCCAGGTGTCTCCGATGACAGCGATGACGGTGATACGTCGTTCCTGGATCCACGCCAACGAAGGCGAGATAAACGTTTGCAGCAGATGAGGAGGCGTGCCAGGGATTAAGCTGAGTCACTGGACCACACCCCACAGACTTTATAAGAGAGTGTGGTGGCCATTTAGACTCTGTGACGGACAAAGCTAACTTCTGGCTAGTCACTTTGTACAACGCCTAAATCTGCTGAAGGTTTCTGTTTGAGCTGGACTGTTTTTGAAAACTGTGTGTATTTGTTGGTGATTATCTGGTGGAGGAATACTCCCTCTTCTTGAAGTAAAGCACTTGGCAGACGGTTATCGTATTGCTGCCAAGTTCCTGATAACGAACCTTGTGTGTGCCAAGTAATTCTTTAACCCCCAGCTGGCTGTTTGTGTTTGTGGGGACGGGGACAGAACACATACGGACCTTCTGTTGAAGATACTGTTCCTTCACTTTCTGGGTTTGCTTCTTCAGATTTGCACTTTCCTGTTGCAGGTTTTCCACCTACCAGAACAAAAAAGAGGAAACGTTGGATAAGAACGAAAGGAGAAAAATCTCCTGCAGAGTCATGAAAACAGACTCAGTCTAGGAGACCCAACATTTAAATTTCCATCGTTTTAGGCAATACGGGTAATCCTCGACTTGTTCATTTAGTGACTGCTCACGGTTACAATGGCACTGAAATAAGTGACTTATGACCATCGCCAACTCAGGAAGCTCAAACTGCTGATCCAGTTCTACAGAGGAATTATTGAGTCTGTCATCTGCATCTCTATAACTGTCTGGTTTAGCTCTGCAACCCAACAAGACAGACCCAGACTTCAGAAGATAATTAGAACTGAAGAAAAAAACAATGCCCACCAACCTGCCTTCCATGGAGGACCTGTCTACTGCATGAGTCAAAAAGAGGGCTGTGAAAATATCTACAGACCCCTCGCATCCTGGACATAAACTGTTTCAACTCCTACACTCAAAACGACGCTATAGAGCACTGCACACCAGAACAACTAGACACAAGGACAGTTTTTTTCCTAACGCCATCACTCTGCTAAACAAATAATTCCCTCAACACTGTCACTAAGTTGTCACAATAGTTGTCACAACAACTATTCACTAAGTCTGCATTACTATTACTGTTAGTCTTCTCATTGTTCCTATCACCCATCTCCTCTCACTTATGACTGCATGACTGTAACTTTGTTGCTTGTATCCTTACGATTTATATTCTGTTTCCTAGTATGATTTGATTGCTTATTTGTACCCTACGGCTATCATTAAGTGTTGTACCTTATGATTCTTGACGAATGTATCTTGTCTTTTTATGTACACTGAGAGCATATGCACCAAAGACAAATTCCTTGTGTCTCCAATCACACTTGGCCAATAAAGATTCTATTCTATTCTATTCTATTCTATTCTATTCTATTCTATTCTATTCTATTCTATTCTATTCTATTCTATTCTATTCTATTCTATTCTATTCTATTCTACCCTACCCTACCCTACCCTACCCTACCCTACCCTACCCTACCCTACCCTGACAACTGTTGAAGTATCCCCACGGTCATGTGATCAAAATTCAGACGCTTGGCAACTGGCTCATCTTTATGACGGTTGCAGTGTCCCGGGGTCATGTGATCCCCTTTTGCGACCTTCTGACCAGCAATAGGGAAGCCAGATTCGCTTAACAACCATGTTACTAACGTAACAACTGCAGTGATTCACTTAAGAACGGTGTAAAATGGGGCAAAACTGACTTAAGAACTGTCTTCGCTTGGCCACATAAATTTTGGGCTCAATTGTGGGTCGTAAGTCGAGGATTACCTGTAATAGCTAAGAGCACCAAAGAAAAAAGGGATGGTTAAATGGAGAAATTTATACCTGACTTGATTTGATGGCTACGTCTTGCTTGAGCTGCTCCAAAACATCTGAGGCCGCCTCGGTGTGGCCTCCCAAATGCTGGATGGACTCTTCGAGTCCTTCTTGTCCTGCCTTTGCCACCTGCAGGGCAACCTCTAAGACGATCTTCTCGTTCTGCAAATAGCGGATGGAGTCGTCCTTCGAGGCGGCCTCTCCTTGCAGTTCAGCCAACCTGGCCTCCAGTTCGTCATAGCGCACCTGAAGCTCACCCACAGTTTGGTCTCGGGTCTGTAACGTCTCTTGGGCGGAGGTCAATTGTCTCATGAGATCCAGCTGTTCCTGCTGCAGGGTCTCCACCTGGACGTCTCGCTGTTGAAGCGTTAGTTTGACCTGGGCCAAGGACACAAAGAAGTTCACCATCACCATGATCTCCTCTCAAGGTAAAAACAGGCATCCTTCTTCTCCGGGGAATTTGTACTGCAAACCAGGGCATACAAAACCTTTGCTAGACCGATTCTCGAATACAGCTCATCTGCCTGGAATCCACACTGTATATCGGACATTAATATGATTGAGCGAGTCCAGAGGTATTTCACGAGAAGAGTCCTCCACTCCTCTGCTCGCAACAGAATACCTTATTTATTTATTTATTTATTACATGTATTTATATGCCGCCATTCTCCCGAAGGACTCAGGGCGGCGAACACAAGTTAAGAAACAAGTACAATAAAATCATAATTTAATCCAAATAATTAATTAGTAGTAAATAATAAAGCCCGGAATCAGTCTCAGCCTATTTGTTTGAAAAGCCAAGTCTTCAAGTCCCGACGGAAGGAGCGGAGATCAGGAGCTGTCCGGAGCTCGGTAGGTAATTCATTCCAGAGGGTGGGAGCACCCACAGAGAATGCCCTACCCCTGGGCACAGCAAGGTGACACTGGCTCGCCGTCGGAACCCTGAGGAGAGCGGCCCTATGTGAGCGAACAGGACGGTGAGAGGCAGGCAGGCAGAAGGTCCTGCAAATATCCCGGACCTAAGTCATGAAGGGCCTTATAGGTGAGGACTAGCACCTTGAAACGGACCCGGAGAACCACTGGTAACCAGTGCAGCTCATGCAGGAGGGGTGTTATATGGGAGTAACGAGTAACTTATGCCACCAGGCTTGAAATTTTGGACTTGGACAACTTAGAACTATGCCGCCTTCGGACTGACCTAAGCGTAGTACACAAAATTATCTGCTACAACGTCCTGTCTCTGAACTGAGTTGCCTCTTAAGTCCTCTGGAACACAGCCCCTCCCTCCTGGGAATCCAGACTACATTCCATCACAGGAATCAACCTCAACCTTTACATGAGAGTCACACATCTTTGGTTGTAATGCAACGCACAAAACTTTTGTACCTTTTCTAGTTCCTGTTCCAATGATGCTGCCGAATCAGCCATCTTCTGAAGCTGTTCTTTCTCGTCCTCAAACTCCTCCAGTTTCCTCTGCAAGTCGTCTTCTATCATACTCTTAGCCTCCTGGATCTGCAGAAAGGCTGCTTCCTGGTCTAACATGTCAGCCTGTGCAGAAGCATCAGAAGTTGTTAAAAACGGTGGTAACAGGTGCCAAGGCGATGCTAAGAAATAAGAACCGCATGAGTGAGAAAGAAGATACAGAGATGCACGTTCCTGAGAAGTTTTGGAGTAAGATATTGTGGTCCGCCAACAGCCCACGGAGCTGGCAGCGGAGCCGGACAGTGAGGAGGCTGGGGAGGACCAGGCCAGTCCTGGAGGCTGGGGAAGGCCCGGACGAGGGCTCTGCGTCGGAGGCAGAGATGGGGCCAGGGCCATCTGGGAGCGATGCGCGGACTCCAGAGCCTCCAGAGTCAGACAGCAGAGAGGCAGAGGAACAGGAGGAGCCTGTTCCCAGTGCGTGCATGCACAGAGTTGCCAGAAGGCAAGAGCAGCTAAAGCAAAAAGGACAACTCGGGAGTAAGGCCAGGAGATTATTGGCCCCTCCCAGAAGGCTTAAAAGAGCAGCAACCGCTCTTGGGATCTTTGTAGGAAAGCAGCGTTGCTACATTTGTTTCTTGTCGGCATCTCTTGCTTCTGAACTTTTGCCAAGAAAAGCCTTTGGCAGGGTGCCAAAGGAGACAGAGGTTGGTGATAAGGCCAAAGGACTGTTTATGAAGGATTTGTTTTGAAATTAATTTGGGCTAAAATGAGAATGAAGTAATTCTCAGCTGTTGTAATAAAATACGTTTGTTTAGGACTGATTGTGTCTGGTAATAACTACTTAGGCCTAGGTCACAACGTAAGATTCATATTTTAATACCCAAAATTCTTAAACCGAAGATCAAGATGAAACCAGAAAGCTTTCTTTTGGGGTTAGTGGAAAAAGACTTGGGGGGGGGAATTTGGAACTTCGATCTTATATATGTTGATGGCAGCAAGACTACCATATGCACAAAAATGGAAGGGCATTTCAAGATGAATGGCTTACAGAAGTTGATGGAGTTGGCAGCGATGGCTAAATTGACCATTTGGATCAAAGGAAAGAACATAAGTAACTTTTGATTCTACTTGGAAACCACTTCTGGACTTTGTGCCTGAGGTGGAAAAGAATGAAACTTCGATTTTGGGTTTTACTGATTAAAATTGTTGTTATAGAAATGGCTACCATAGTTTATATTCTTATGGAAAAGTAAAAAGCTGAGGTCCATTGTTAAAGCTTTATTCTATTGCAACAGAGGGAGTTGGAAGTCAATGCCTTTTCTCACCCCCCCTCGCTTTTCTTTCCCCTTCCCCTTCCCGCTGTGTCCTCCTATTTGTTTTTATATTTTTGTATTTCATTCTAGAATCTAACAAAATGTTTAGAGGCTGGGATATTCCTGAGAACCGATTCCTTATCCGTTTATGCGGTATGGTGAAATGCAATTTTTTTTTTGCTACCGGTTCTGTGGGCGTGGCTTGGTGGTGGGGGTCATGTGACTGGGTGGGCGTGGCCTTTAAAAATACTTTTTAAAGCATTTTTTACTACCTATTCGCCCGAACCGGTAGTAAAAAAATGCTTTAAAAAAAAAAGGTTCCGACGATCACAGCTGTGCCACACGATCGTTGGAACCTTTTTTTTTACTTTTTAAAAGCATTTTTTACTACCTATTCGCCCGAACTGGTAGTTTTTATCACTACTGGCTCTGTATTTATGACCAAAAAAATGTCGACTGGCGGCCCCTAGGGGGAGAGCCTTCTCTGTGGGGGCACCTACGATCTGGAACGAGCTCCCCCCGGAGATACGGAGGATCCCGGATCTGTGCACCTTCCGTTGCGCGCTTAAAACTTTTTTATTTCATCAAGCTGGCCTGGCCTAAATCTTCTCCCCTTTTTAAATGCAAATTTTAATCTGTTTTTAAATTATGGGGTATTTTAAATTTGTTCAGCCAAATTATTTAATTCGTTTTTATTCTATTTTAAATTTTTGTATTTATGTGTTTTATCTTCTGGCTGTTCACCGCCCTGAGTCCTTCGGGAGTAGGGCGGTATAGAAATTTAAATAAATAAATAAATAAATAAATTTATGCAGATTTACAAGGATTGTCAATCAAACAGGCCTCGCTCAGAAAACCTGTGCTGTGTAGAGAAACCTCTGTCGTCTTTACCTCGATGTTTTGCAACTGTGCGGCGATGCGTTCCTTCTCTTTGATCGATCGATGCTGCGTCTCTGTTAATTGATGGGACAGGGTTACGTTCTCTAATTTCAGATGTTCCAGCAGGCCGACTTGAGTCATCTGTCCAGCCTTGGGGAAAAAGGGAGAGAAAGGACTGTGTTTAGAGACATCTGAAGAAATCAATTCCCAGCTATTAAGGGTTATACTTGGTGGCCTTCTTTTCTTTACGTTAAAAGGCGATATGGCTTGTAACTGTGCCTCAGATGCCTTTTACGAAGAGACTCAAAGCAGCCATTTATGGCTGATTGGGGTTGCTCTCATGCGTTTTTATATCGTCGTGAGTGTGCCCGGAGTTAGCTCTCTAAGTGAGATGCCATTGTGAGATGGGTGGATGGCCGTATAAACCAAATAAAGGAACGAACAAGGAGGAATAAGAATAGCCTTCATTGTGGCGGCTATGGAAGACTCTACAGACAGATTAACAGAGTTGGAAGGGACCTTGTAGGTCATCTAGTCCAACCCCCCACCCAAGTAAGAGACCATGCACCATTTCTGACCGATGGCAGCCCAGTCTCTTCTTGAAAGTCTCAAGTGGTGAAGCTCCCACAACGTCCGAAGGCAACTTTTGTTCCATGGGTTGATTGTTCTCAGTGTCAGAAAATTCCTCCTTATTTCCAGGTTGAATCTCTCCTTGTTCAGTTTCCATCCATTATTCCTTGTCTGGCCTTCGGGTGCTTTGGAGAATAGCTTGACCCCCTTCCTCCTCTCTGTGGCAGCCCCTCAAATATTGGAAGATGCTATCATGTCTCCCCTGGTCCTACTCTTCACTAGACCAGCCATGCCCAGTTCCTGCAACCGTTCATTGTATGTTTGAGCTTCCAGTCCCCTCATCATCCTGGTTGCTCTTCTCTGCACTCTTTCTAGAGTCTCACTGGTCTACAACTGGTTTGCTTAGAGTCAAACGTGTCAGGACCCAAACCAAGAATGACATGCGGTGGGTGATTCTTCCAAGTTGAGTTCTTCTATTGTTTCGCACCTATAGACGGACTCTTGCCAGGCTGAACTCTTATGACTCTACAATATAGTCTGAGAACTATTAGGGAGAGGCTGTCTTCACCCTCTTTCTCCCACACATAATATCCAGGTTGAATCCATCCTCTCCCTCCACCTCCTCACTGCCATCACATCTAGAGAAACCTGCAGAAAATTGTTTCCCATTGAAAGCAATGATTGTCACACACACACACCGTTTGAAACCACAATCAGCCAATCTCTTTTTGGATCTATTGAATTAACACAGTAATACCCAGGGATGGGATTCGACCGGTTCGGGAGAACTGGTAACTCTGACAATCAGCTGGGAGCAAACCGGTTCACTCCAACGATCAAGTCAGTCCGCCCACCTTACTTACCTTTATCTTCTCAGCTGATTGGCATGGCAGAGCGGATTGCCGTGCCTCAGCTGTTTTACTCCCAAGTGATAATACAGAAGGTTAGTAATTGTAAAACTGCGCATGCGTGCGCAGCGAATCACACAATCGCCAAACTGGTTGTTAAACCGGCAGCATCCCACTGGTAATACCGCACATAAGGAAATGAGGTCTGGGTACTGAATGAGAGCAGGGAGAGAAGCAAGCTGTGCTTACCTTTACGTTGGCCATATCGCTCTGCAGACGAATCCTCGCTTGTTGAGCCACAGTCAGCTGTTGTTGGTACCAGTGCCGAACTTTCTGCAGGGATGCGATCTCTGCCTGCGATGACTTCAGCTTACCGGTCAAGGACGCGCGGTCCAGCTCGACCTGCTGGAGTTGGCTTTGTAACGAGGAGAGCTGCTGCCGGAGATCATGAACTAAAAAGCCAGGATGAAAAATGTAAAACAAAGGAAGGGAAGAGTTATGAAACTCCATCTGTAGCTATCGACAGCAACGGCCTGATTTAGTTTATTGTCACTTGCACCTCGTACAACAAAATTAAATGCCATCTTCAGTGTACATCACACCTAAGAAAACTATAAAAAGATAAAACAAAAACACACATCCTTCACATTCTATACAATTGAATTGAAAACCCCTGACATTGCATTAATATTGCACTAGACAGTAGAATTCAATATAGTTACTGCTGTGGGATAGAAGCTGTTTTTCAGCCTATTTGTCCTTGTTTTTATTGCCCTGTACCGGCTGCCAGATGGTAATAGTTCAAAAAAAGAAAGGGTGCCCAGGATGAGATGGATCTTTAAGAATGTTTTGAGCTTTCTTAAGGCAGCGGGAGCTATAAAAGCTCTTCCAAAGAGGAGAGGGGGCAACTAATGATCCTCTGGGCAATGACGTTGACCCTCTGGAGCGCTGTCCTATCTGCCACTGTGCAATTGGCAAACTATACACAGGTGCAGTCAGTTAAAATACTCTCTATGGTGCAGCGGTAGGAGGTCACCAGCAGTTTTTCATTCAGTTGTTGTTTCCTGAGAAGTCTCAGGTAGTATAATCTCTGCTGGGCCCTTTTGATCAGTGTTGCAATGTGAGCCCCCCCAGGTCAGATCCTCTTTTATGATGATACCCAGAAACTTAAAACTGGCCACTTGTTCCACTCGGTCTCCATTGATAACCAAGGGCTGGATATCTGATCTATTCCTTTTATAATCCACTATAAACTCCTAGTGGTCTTACTGTTGTTAAGGACCAAGTTATTGCCCCCCCCCCCAAAACACCCCCCCCCCCCCCCCCCCCCCGGGCACCCCCCCCCCCCCCCCCCCCCCCCCGGAGATGAGTCCCACCACTTATTCCTTCTTTTGAAAAGTCCAGGGTAGGTAATTGAAAAGCAAATAAAATAGGCCAAACAAGGGAGTATATTTTTCAAAACCACAGCCAGGGAAAGTCTAAAATAAACCATATGACGTCTGATGGAATGGAACAGGTCATCAAAGCACAAAGAAGCTCCTGAATGGACTTCTCCTAGAGTATAATTCCACAGTCATGAAACGACCTCCACAGGAAGTGTCTATGGAGAAACTCAATCGTTCTCGTCTCCATGGTTGTCCCAAAGGAGCTTTCTCCAAAAGGCAACTGGATGTTCTTGTTTGTTTTTCCTCTGTTTTTCTTTTTTTTTAGGATCCCATTTTTCTAACAACTTTTTGCTCAACACTTTATCTCGCTCTGACTTCCCTTTTTTCTTCTTTTTATATGTGTTCCATTTCATCTTCTGAATTCCTCTCCAGATAAGAGACCACTTTGAGTTTATCTGTATCCTCAAATGTTGTTGTTGTTAGTTGCGAAGTTGTGTCCGACCCATCGCGACCCCATGGACAACGTTCCTCCAGGCCTTCCTGTCCTCTACCATCCTCTGGAGTCCATTTAAGCTCACGCCGACTGCTTCAGTGACTCCATCCTGCCACCTCGTTCTCTGCGGTCCCCTTCTTCTTTTGCCCTCAATCTTTCCCAGCATTAGGCTCTTCTCCAGGGAGTCCTTCCTTCTCATTAGGTGACCATTTGAGTTTCCTCTTCAGGATCTGGCCTTCTAAAGAGCAGTCAGGGTTGATCTCCTCTAGGACTGACCGGTTGGATCGCCTTGCAGTCCAAGGGACTCGCAGGAGTCTTCTCAAAGGCCTCCATTCTTTGGCACTCAGCCTTCCTTATGGTCCAACTTTCACAGCCATCCATTGCAACTGGGAAAACCAGAGCCTGGATTATGCGCACTTTTTTTGGCAGGGTGATGTCTCTGCTTTTTAGTATGCTGTCTAACTTTGCCACAGCTTTCCTCCCCAGGAGCAAGCGTCTTTTAATTTCTTCTGTATCCTCCTCAGATACAGTGGCCTTTTGGAGAAAGTATCTTTGGGACCTCCACAGGAAGTCTGTCAGCTCTGAAGCTGAGGCCATCTCGGAGGCTTCAGCGTTGCCACAATGGTGTTGAGGGATAGGGAGCAGGGAATAGAGATAGCTGGGGTTTTGTAGCCAAAACAAAATAGTTTCCCCTGAGAACCAAGGACATTCCCCCAGCTGGCTGAAAAGAGGAGGAGTGAAGTTTCCAAGCAACCGGACAGCACTTGATTGGACCATGTGACTGATTCTTTGGGAAAGGGGGAATAACTTTTACGTTTAATTAGGTGAAAACCGCAGGAACTTTTAGAGTCGGTTTTCACCAGTCTGTGCTAATATGATATGTCCAATAAACCTGTTCTTCAAGGAACCTGCTTGCCTCGGAGTTCTGCTTACTATGGGCGTATTACTTGGAACCCTGACAAAGTCATCATCTTACCACCTACCAAAGACATGATAATTAAGAAAGGATTTCTCTCTCTTCAATACAGACTCATGAAGAAGGTGGTTTGCGGTCAGGTTACAATCAATCTATTTGGGGCTTTGTAGGATTCTCACGCAAGAGCAGATGGACTGAAGACACTCTGCTTGTGTGCTACTCACCCATGCTATCCTTGCCGAGGACATTCTTCTGCAAGTCCTCCACCTTCCCCATCAGTCTCTGGTACTGTTCTTCTGCCAACTGCAGGTCATTATGGGAAGCAACCAAGCCAGCGTTCTTGGCCTCCAAGGTGGTTTGTAGCTCAGCCATGGCACGTTCCAGGTCCCAGCAGGACTGCTTCAAGGTAGCCACCTCTGAATTCAGGGAGTCCTGCTTCTGCTGGCTGGTCTGTGAATGCTCCATGTGGGTTTGGAGTTTCATCTGGACTGCAGCCAGCTGGGCTTGCAATTCTGCTTTTTCTTTGAGGGCCTACACAAAGATAAATCTGGTGTCACATTTTCTATCAAAGCAAGGCAGAGTGACAGAGGTGTCATCATCGAAACCGGTTGAGGTGGGCCTTCAAAACCTTCTATAACACCTTCCATGTTTTGGACACAAGACCAAATATCTTGTCCATGGCACCTCTTCAGAAGGAATTTTTACAGTAGATGGATAGTAGATGTGGATCCCCAAACCACCATCAAGATCACAAACCACCCTGTATTATTTTCACATTCACTCTATAGGAAGGCTAAACCCCCTGGGAATGCTTTCATTGGGATTCCTGCACCTGGAAGCAAAGGGAACCCTGGGGCTTAAATGGCCTCTTCCCAGTCTAAGATTCTACCATCTCAAGAGGTTTTGAGATCTGCAGGTAAGACTAGGTCTATCAACAATGACCTGAAATGCCACCCTCCTTACCCGATATATTACATAACTTATCCTTAAACCTATAGGACCATTGATATGCTTCTCTTAATTCTGGAGAATGAATTTTTAAATAGAAGATCCTTTTGTACCTCGTTGGCTTCTAATGACAGTGCCTCCAATTGTCCTTCAAGCCTCATCTTCTCTTTGAGGACTTGGAGCAGCTCATCGTGGGTTCCTGCGACTGAACTTTCCATGGATATGCTGGGGTGAGACAAAACAGATGCACACTTTGTGAAGCTGCGCCAATTACAAAAAAAAAAATAAGATGCTCTTTAGCGGATCAAACAAATGCAAGGCAAGAATCCATGACATCTATGGAGATTCTCCGTCATCCAGATCATGGTTGTTGAAAAGGTGCTTTTTCAAAAGGCAACTGGACTTAGCTTGTCCGGGATACAAAGAAAGTTCCTTCCTTCCTTCAGTTCTGAACTGAAGAAGCTTCTTGGATGAGAAGAACGGAAATGAACTGAAGAAGCTTCTTGGGTGAGAAGAATAGAACTGAAGAAGCTTTTTGGATGAGAAGAACTGAACTGAAGAAGATCCTGGATGAGAAGAACTGAACAGAAGAAGAAGCTTCTTGGATGAGAAGAACTGAATTGAACTGAAGAAGCTTTGGATGAGAAGAACAGAACTGAAGAAGATTCTGGATGAGAAAAACGGAACTAAAGAAGCTTCTTGGATGAGAAGAACTGAACTGAAGAAGCTTCTTGGATGAGAAGAACTGATCTGAAGAAGCTTCTTGGATGAGAAGAACTGAACTGAAGAAGCTTCTTGGATTGAAGAACGGAACTGAACTGAGAAGCTTCTTGGATGAGAAGAACTGAACTGAAGAAGATTTTTGAATGAGAAAAACGGAACTAAAGAAGATTTTGGATGAGAAGAACTGAACTGAAGAAGCTTCTTGGATGAGAAGAACGGAACTGAACTGAAGAAGCTTCTTGGGTGAGAAGAATAGAACTGAAGAAGCTTTTTGGATGAGAAGAACTGAACTGAAGAAGATCCTTGGATGAGAAGAACTGAACAGAACTGAAGAAGCTTCTTGGATGAAAAGAACTGACTGAACTGAAGAAGCTTCTTGGATGAGAAGAACTGAATTGAACTGAAGAAGCTTCTTGGATGAGAAGAACGGAACTGAACTGAGAAGCTTCTTGGGTGAGAAGAATAGAACTGAAGAAGCTTTTGGATGAGAAGAACTGAACTGAAGAAGATCCTTGGATGAGAAGAACTGAACAGAACTGAAGAAGCTTCTTGGATGAAAAGAACTGAACTGAAGAAGAAGCTTCTTGGATGAGAAGAACTGAACTGAACTGAAGAAGATTTTGAATGAGAAAACGGAACTAAAGAAGATTCTTGGATGAAGAAAAGAACTGAAGAAGCTTCTTGGATGAGAAGAACGGAACTGAACTGAAGAAGCTTCTTGGGTGAGAAGAATAGAATGAAGAAGCTTTTTGGATGAGAAGAACTGAACTGAAGAAGATCCTTGGATGAGAAGAAATGAACAGAACTGAAGAAGCTTCTTGGATGAAAAGAACTGAACTGAACTGAAGAAGCTTCTTGGATAAGAAGAACTGAATTGAACTGAAGAAGCTTCTTGGATGAGAAGAACAGAACTGAAGAAGATTTTTGAATGAGAAAAACGGAACTAAAGAAGATTCTTGGATGAGAAGAAATGAACTGAAGAAGCTTCTTGGATGAGAAGAACTGAACTGAAGAAGCTTCTTGGATGAGAAGAACGGAACTGAACTGAAGAAGCTTCTTCGATGAGAAGAACTGAACTGAAGAAGCTCCTTGGATGAGAAGAATGGAACTGAAGAAGATTCTTGGATGAGAAGGGGAACATCTTCAAGGGAAAATGTCTTCTCATCCAAGAAGCTCCTTCAGAACTGAAAGCAGGAAGGAACTTTCTTTGTTTCCAGGAGAAACAAACCAAGTCCAGTTGCCTTTTGAAAAAAGCACCTTTGGGACAAAAGTGTCCAAGCTGGAACCTTCAGAGTTGGAGAAGATACCAAAACAGCTTTACCTGCTAGAAATACTGTCCCGCCGGCTTCTGGCTTCCCCGTTGACTTCCTGTTCCTGTTCCTGAGCCCGTTGCTCTGTTGCGGCAGCCTGCAGAACCTCCCTGATGGAAGGGAACTGTCCAACAGCATCTAACGGGACCTCTTGTCCGTTGATGGTGAAGGCCATACCCGGCTTGCTTTTGGGGCTGGAGGAAGTGAGGCCTCTTCCTGACACGCTGCTGTAGGTCGAGCTGTCGCTTTCGTTGCCATCCAGCCTCATTCCCGCTTCGCTGCCATCCATTTCTGACACGCTGTCTCCCGCCAAGGACAAAGTTTCCAGCCGGTCATCTGAATCGGGGGTCAGGCTGATGGAAGACACAACCGAGGTCAGGCTGTTTGAGTTCTGTTTCAGAGACCCACCCGAGGAATCGGACACCGGGACTGTCCCACTGGCACTTCCGTCTGGGTTTTCCGTTCGATAATCTGCCAGCGACCGGATCCGGCTTGTTCTGGAAGATCTGGAATTTTTTTTCTCTTTCAAGGAAGCTGGGAGGCCCAAACTCCCCACTTTCGGTCCTCGCGGGACACTGGTTCGCAAAAAGGAGTATTCTTTGGTCATGGTCACGGGGCTGGCCCTCGGTAAGATCTCCGGATTCCACATCAGCTCGGGATCCAGGGTGCTGGAGGGGCGGCTTTTAGCTGTAAACAGCTGGAGTAAAAGAGAAGAAGGCAAGAAAGGAAGACCAAGAAGGGGAAAAAATGAAATAACAATAACAACAACAGCAGCCATCAAAACTACACGATTATGGATGAAACATGTAACAGTGATACCCGTTGTCATCAGGGCACTTGGCACCATGTCCAAGAATTTTACAAAATACATCAACAAATTGCAGCTTCCTGTAATAACACCAGCGGAACTGCAAAAAAACTGCGCTACTCGGAACATCGTACATCTAAAGAAGGTACTTGGTTGATACCTAGGACGCTGGCAGCAACCCAGATCAACCATCAGCGCCAGTCAATGATATTTGCGATACATTTTTAAATGTTCAGTTGACTGAGTTTCATGTTTAATAAAAAAAAAGAGATATACTACTGTAAGGAAATACTAGAATTAGTAGAAACTTGTTGTTTCCTGCAACATATATATATACATATATATATTAAGAATTGTCCTAAAGATGCGAGTTCCAGGTATAGTTATAGAAGAGGCGATAGACATCACGATCTCCGGAACGTTTAAAAGTTTAAAATTTTTTATTTTAAAACTTGTGCTAAGCTTTCATCAGCCTCTACCGACTTCGTCAGAGTATAAAATCCCCATTGAGGAGCTGCTTGCTTTTATGTGATGCTGATCAATTTGGTCATTGCGCTTGGAGCCTGTTACACGCACAATGACCAAATTGATCAGCATTACATAAAAGCAAGCAACTCCTCAATGGGGATTTTATACTCTGATGAAGTTGGTAGAGGCCGACGAAAGCTTAGCACAAGTTTTAAAATAAAAAATTTTAAACTTTTAAGCGTTCCGGAGATCGTGATGTCTATCGCCTCTTCTACACCTACACACACACACACACACACACACACACACATTATGATATATGATGTCTTTGTATATCTGCATGCTATAAATATTTGCTTCCTGTGACACTGACATATATATTATGCCCTTTGTAATTATAACACAAACATGCCACATTGACTAACTTCCTGGACTGTTATTGGGGTCTGTTGTGAAGTATCTGACATTTGTCAAACTATCAGAGCCTTATCTCTCCCTCTCCTGCCTAAGAACTATCTCCTCTTTGATCTTTTGAGTTGCCTCCACTCCAGGGGGCTAAATAGCCAAGTGTGAACACAAAGATGATGATCAGGAAGAGATAACGCTAATGATGCTCATTAAGAGGCTCTACCCTGTTTGGGGGGGGGGGTACACAAGCCAAATTCCAGGGAATACACAAATCAAAGATGCCAGAATTGGAGGTTTATGACTTTCCTAAACAATATAAAAGGGGTTCACATTCCCTCTCTTGTTTGTGGTTGTTACCTGCATGTATCTTGTATGTGTTTGGAACAGCTAACCATTTAAGCTTGAATCAAGATTAAATGCTATTTTATTCAAGCCTCTGTTTAAGTTTCTTGTTTGGCATTTATGAGCTTAAACATATTATTGGACCTTACACTACTAATAATAATGCTAATAATGCTTATTATTATTATTAATTAAATTTATATACCGCCCTCCTCCCGAAGGACTCAGGGCGGTGAACAGCCAAGAGATAAAATACACATAATACAAACGTTAAAAAACCATTTTTTTTATTTATTTTTTAAAATTTGATTTATATGCCACCCTTCTCCAGAGACTCAGGGTGGCTTACAATGCGTTAAGCAATAGCCTTCATACTTTTGTATATTTATACAAAGTCAGCTTATTGCCCCCACAAACTGGGTCCTCAATTTACCTACCTTAGAAAGGATGGAAGGCTGAGTCAACCTTGAGCCTGGTGAGATTTGAACTTACAGTAATTGCAGACAGCTGGTGTTAATCACAATGCTATCAGTCTGCTGAGCCACCAGGCCCCACGAACTTAATGTAATTTAAAATACATTAAACACTTTGGCCCACGAACTAATTTAAAACACCCCAATTTATAAAACAAATTTAAAACAATTTAAAAGGGAGGTTAGGCCAGACCAGCCTGCTCGAATAAGAATGTTTGGAGGGCACGGCGGAAAGTGCGCAAATCCGGGATCCTCCGTATCCCCCGGGGGGAGCTCGTTCCAGATGGCAGGTGCCCCCTCAGAGAAGGCTATAATGATAATAATATTTTAAGAAGATACTTGGTTGATACCTAGGATGCTGGCAGCAACCCGTATCAACCATCAGCACCAGTCAATAATATTTGTGGTAACATTTTTAAATGTTTAAATATTATTTAACAACAATAACAACAACAATAGTAATAGTAATAATAATAAATTTAATAATAATAATAATAATAATAATAATAATAATAATAATAATAATAATAAAAAATTAAGTTTTTACCAGTCCCAGACTGTGAATTGAATTGAAGATTAAATCTTAAAGAATAATAACAACGGTAACAACCTTACTTGGAATTGCCTATATATTCAGATACTTGCAATCCCAAAACAACTTGAGTACCCTTGGCATTGACAACATCACCACTGGTCAACTACAGCACTTGAATACCAGCGGCATTGACATAATCCCCATCAGTCAATTGCCAATGGCAGCTTTCCTCGCAACAGCTGACATCCTGCAACAATTCCTTTAACACCATCAAACATCCCCTGTGTTTATCTGAGATCCTTAGGAAGGATTCAATCAGTGGATAAAAATGCCACAAAAACATCTGGCTGACCACGCGATGAATAACAAACCCCGCCTGTGAATCTTTTTGCTAGGCGCTTACTCTCTCCTGATGCCTCTTGACGCGATACTGCTTGAGCTGCTCTTCCAGGCGCTTCCGGGCCTGGAGCCGGATCAGTTCTTCCTTCTCCAGCGGGAGAGGAGCATCGGCTGAGCCTGCAGGAAGGAGGAACAAGTTAAATCGTTCAGGGCCAATGAATTATAAACAAGGAAGCAGGACAGATGTGAAGCTCTCTTCGCAAAGTCGCCAGAAATTTAGACACAAAGGTTAAAAAAGGAAGTTAAAAATTTCTCAAGTGTTGGTTTCGAGGGAATTTGATTTTTGCTGCGTCTGAAGCAAGGCATTTCAAGAGAAGAGAGCCAGGAGGTCCCTGTTCAGTATTACAGAGATCGACAACCACACGCTTTCCAAATGTTTTGGATCCTAACTTAATTAGGACGAGAATGTTATTGTCACGGCCTGTTAGCCTGCTTGTGCTTCGCAAACCTGTTAGCCTAAAGTATTTGCAACGGGAGGAATAAATTGGAATGCAGGAGGAAGACGGTGTGTGTGTGTGTGTGTGTGTGTGTGTGTGTGTGTGTGTGTGTGTTTGGAATCCACATTATGTCGGGCAAGAAGGCATCTTCTTTCCCAAAACAAAATAAGTACAGCTAATTGGACACCGGCTGATTGCAGGAGAGGGAGTGGCCAGGGGAAAGGGAAAAGTTAACTGTAAAGATTTCACGCCAGTTCGCCAGATTCTGCTTCTCTTTTGTCTGTAGCCATTTATTGCTCTAAAGGTAAAGGTTCCCCTCGCACATATGTGCTAGTCGTTCCCGACTCTAGGGGGCGGTGCTCATCTCCGTTTCAAAGCCGAAGAGCCAGCGCTGTCCGAAGACGTCTCCATGGTCATGTGGCCGGCATGACTCAACGCCAAAGGCGCACGGAACGCTGTTATCTTCCCACCAGAGGTGGTCCCTATTTTTCTACTTGCATTTTTTTTTACCTGCTTTCAAACTGCTAGGTTGGCAGAAGCTGGGACAAGTCACGGGAGCTCACCCCGTTACGCGGCACTAGGGATTCGAACCGCTGAACTGCCGACCTTTCAATCGACAAGCTCGGTGTCTTAGCCACCACGTCCCTTTTTCCTTCAGAATAGGATCTAGCAAATCCACCCATCCCAAATGAAGCTTTGCACCACCATCTAATCTGCATGAAGACAACCAGATTCCCCCCCTCCCCGGAATTTCTTAAGCCTCCGAGAGTCACAGGGAAATGACGGTAAATGACACACTTGATGTGTCACCGGAGAATTGTGATTCAATTTTTCCTCTTTGTTTGGGTGTTAAATCGAAATAGGATTGTCACTTAGAAGTAAAACGTGGTCTGGTGTGCAAGAGGAGTGCAAATGCAGCCCGGTTGCCCAGGACACAAAATCTGGTCATGTGACCACTCTGTGTGTGTGTCTGTGTGTGAGAATTACAAATCCAGATCCTTAGTAACCCCCAAGTAGGTTCCTTGAAACTTCAATGGCCGCTCAGCGATAAGTCACAAGTCAAGGACCATCTGTCTCGACAATTAAGAAACGACTACATATAGGTAGTCCTTGACTTACAACAGTTTGTTTAGTGACCCTTCAAAGTTACAGCACCAAGAAAAGCAATTTAGGACTATTTTTCACACGACGGTTGTCGCATCCCCGTGGTCATGTGATCAAAATTCCGACGCTTGGCCACTGACTCGTATTTATGACGGTTGCGTTGTCCCAATGTGTGTGTGTGTGTGTGTGTGTGTGTGTGTGTGTGTGTGTGTGTGTGATGATCCCCTTTTGTGACCTTCTAACAAGCAAAGTCAGTGGGAAAGAAAAGGTTCGCTTAACTGGATTAGTAGCCGAACGGTGGCATTGATTCATTTAACAACGGCGGCAAAGAAAGGTCATAAAATGGGGGCAAAGCTCACTTCAGAATTTTGTCTCCCTTTAGCCACAGGAATTTGGGGCTCAGGAGCAGTTGTTAAAAGTCAATCACCTGTATTTCGGCTCTTGTTGAAAAGCGCGACGTTTTGTCTGGTTAATGTTTAGCATGCGCGAGAACGTAGAGTTTGCGAGCCACATCAATTAGAGCAGGGGTGACAAACTCAATTTCACTGAGAGCTACATCGGGGCTGTGGTCAGAGGTGGTATTCAGCCGGTTCGCACCGGTTCAAACGAACCGGTAAGCGCACGGCAAACGGGTGGTAAAGGTAAGTGAAACCCTCCCCGGCTGTGGTTGACCTTGGGGGGAGGGGGGGATGAGTGGGCGTGGCCAACTGGGTGGGCATGGCCAACTGGGTGGGTGTGGCCATCTTGACGCCACTCTCCAAACTTCTGGCATGTTTCTTCTTTGCATTGGGTAGACCGGGCCGAAGCCACGCGGGCCCAATGTTTCGTCTTCGCGATGGGTAAACCAGGTCGAAGCGAGGCAGGACGGCAGTTTACGGATTCAGCCCGCCGGCCTTGAGTTTGAGAGGCCTGATTTAAGAGGCAAAATACCTTGTTTCTAAGAGAGTGCAACCTCGATTGCAAACCCACCAGGTCGTTTAAAAAAAAAAAAAAGAAATCAAGCCGATTTGTTAAAGGCAAAGTCAGAGGCGCCCAGGGGTTAAAAATCAGCTCATGCTTCAAAGATTCAGCATTCAGGAGAGATTCTGCAGAGGCAGAGAAATGGAAATAAGGAGGTTTGGGGTGAGGAGGGGGGAAAGCTTCTTTGAGGGCGGAGCGAGAAAGAAACAGGTGGGCTCCACGGTGAAGAGATGCTTACACAATTCAGTTTCTTGCAAAGGGAGGCTTAGTTTGAGAGACTGCAGGGTGTCCTTCCTAAGTGCTAAGCTCTCATCACTACCGCCCCGAGACGCCTTTAGGTGCTCATGGAAACCAGGCGCACCTGAAGCGGGTTCTTTCCCCAGGGAGCTTTCAGTGGGGCCCAAAGGCACGGGCTGTTCGGGGTCGTAAGACGTCGGTCCGTTCGCGCAAGGACCTCGGCTGCTCTTGAGGGCTACAGTGTCCCCTTCGGATGGCGCTCCACCGTTATTTACACTAAGCACTGGAAAAAAAAGAACAGGGAGTTGGGAAGAGGTTAACAACGGATGCCATGTTCTTACCTGTTCATATGCTCAAGCAGTCACCCAAGAACATCCAATATACTCTGTTCTAAATCGCTTTAAACACCACTGCAGATGAAAGCAAGCGTAACGAATAAAAACCTTATAGTCATAGCAATAGCACTTAAGATTTATACACCGCTTCACAGTGCTTTATGGCCCTCTCTAAGCAGTTTACAGAGTCAGCCTCTTGCCCCCCAACAATCTGGGTCCTCATTTTACCCACCTCGGAAGGATGGAAGGCTGAGACAACCTTGAACAGATCAGGATTGAACTGCTGGCAGCTAGAAGAGTTAGCCTGTAATAGTGCATTCTAACCACTGTGGAAGGAAGGAAGGAAGGAAGGAAGGAAGGAAGGAAGGAAGGAAGGAAGGAAGGAAGGTAGGTGGGTGGAACGGAAGGAAGGAAGGAAGGAAGGGAGGGAGGAAGGAAGAAAAGAAGGAAGGAAGGAAGGAGGGAGGGAGGGTGGAAGGGAAGGGAAGGGAGGAAGGAAGGGCAATAGCAATAGCACTTATATGCCGCTTTACAGTGCTTTTACCGCCCTCTCTAAGTGGTTTACAGATTTAGCCTCTTGCCCCGAACAATCTGGGTCCTCAATTTACCGACCTCGGAAGGATGGAAGGTGAGTCATTCTTGAGCCGGTCAGGATTGAACTCCTGGCAGTGGGCAGAATTAGCCTGCAGCACTGCATTTTAACCACTGTACCACCACGGCTCTTAGAATAAATATTATCAAGTCTGGAACCTTCCTGATGTGATTTTGTTTATGCATCAACCATATGCCTAGCACATATCCCTCCCTTCGCTGGGTGCGACAGAAATATACTTCCCCCTCCTTCCTGGTGTTTCTAAAACCTCATGAGGCAGAGGGAATAGAGTTCTCTTAATTCAGATCCATGTACTTTGGTATCATCCATCTTAATGGACAACAAGTTAGAAAAATCTCTCAGGCAGATGTGCTCCCTGCCTCCCTTATTGCTCTTTTAATTACAGAGGAGTTTGATGAAAAACAGATATTCTGATGGCACCCTTTGTCCTCGCTGATCGTTCATCCTTCAGGCTGAATGGGAGTGAGTCAGCTCTTTATTTATTTGTTTGTTTATTTGTTTGTTTGTTTGTTCGATTTATATGCCGCCCTTCTCCGGAGACTCAGGGTGGCTTACAATGCGTTAAGCAATAGCCTTCATACTTTTGTATATACCTGCTTAGTAGGGCTTTTGGGCCCCCCTAAGCGGTATTCTTTTTTATACAAAGTCACCTTATTGCCCCCACAATCCGGGTCCTCATTTTACCTACCTCGGAAGGATGGAAGGCTGAGTCAACCTTGAGCCTGGTGAGAGTCGAACTTGCAGTAATTTCAGGCAGCTGGTGCTATTTAACAGCACTTTAGTCTGCTGCGCCACCAAGGCTCTTTGGAGCCAGAGTGATCATTTATGGCTCTCAATTTTAAAATGCCAAAATTTAAGCTATCTCCAGGAGTTGTGGGTGCTCCAACACTGGAAGTTTTTAAGAAGAAACTGGAAAGCCATTTGTCTGAAATGGGAGAGGGTCTCCTGCTTGACCAGGGGGCTGGACTAGAAGACCTCCAAGATCCCTTCCAACTCGGTTATTCTGTTATACTCCTTATTACTTTGAATTATTTTAAGATGCAACTCTAAGAGGGAGACTTTCCTGACTAAAGGAATTATTTACAGAGGAATTATTGAGTCTGTCATCTGCACCTCTATTACTGTCTGGTTCAGTTCTGCAACCCAACAAGAGAGACAGAGACTTCAGAGGATAATTAGAACGGCAGAAAAAAACATGGCTACCAACCTGCCTTCCACTGAGGACCTGTATACTGCAGGAGTCAAAAAGAGGGCTGTGAAAACATCTACAGACCCCTCGCATCCTGGACATCAACTGTTTCAACTCCTACCCTCAAAACGACGCTATAGGGCACTGCACATCAGAACAACTAGACACAAGGACAGTTTTTTCCTCCCGAACGCCATCATTCTGCTCAACAACTAATTCCCTCAACACTGTCAAACTATTCACTAAATCTGCATTACTATTAATCTTCTTATTGTTCCCATCACCCATCTCTTCCCACTTATGACTGTATCACTGTAACTTTATTGCTTGTATCCTTACGATTTATATTGACTGTTTCCTAGTATGATTCGATTGCTTATTTGTTCCCTATGACTATCATTAAGTGTTGTATCTTATGATTCTTGACGAATGTATCTTTTCTTTTATGTACACTGAGAGCATATGCACCAAAGACAAATTCATTGTGTGTCCAATCAAACTTGGTCAATAAAGATTCGATTCGATTTGATTCAATTCGATTCTTCTATTCTATTCTATTCTATTCTATTCTATTCTATTCTATTCTATTCTATTCTATTCTATTCTATTCTATTCTATTCTTCTTCTTTCCGAGGATGGAAGAGGAAACAGGTGGGTGGAAAAAGCAAAGTGGAAGAAAATCTTAGAACTATGTCTGGAGTTTAGACATAGTTCTAAGACTTTCTTCCACTTCTTCTTTGCAACAGGCAAAGGACAATGGTAGATATCTTCTCCACAGCATTAGCCATGAAAGATATGGAGTGGCACTGTGGCCTAGAGATGGAGCTCTCGCCTCACTATCACGAGGCTGTGAGTTTGATCCTAGGTAGAGGCAGATATTTCTCTCTCTGGACACACTGAGAATATATCTGCTGAACAAAACTCCCCATTGGCGACAGGAAGGGCATCCGGCCAGTAAACCCTCAGCTCCGTTCAGTTGCCCAGACTCCACCCTGCAAGGGATTATGGGGTCGTTAAATGAAGATGATGGTGATGATTAGCCGTGAAAGATACACTGAGGGCTGATGAAGCCTCTGGGATGAGAGGTGACACAGTGGTTAGAATGCAGTACTGCAGCTACTTCAGCTGACTGCTAGTTCAGCAGATCAGCAGATCAAATCTCACCGGCTCAAGGTTGACTCAGCCTTCCATCCTTCCGAGGTGGGTAAAATGAGGACCCAGATTGTTAGGGGGCAATATGCTAATGCTAATGCAATATGCTATTATGCAATATGCTAACTTTGTAAACCGCTTAGAGAGGGCTGTAAAGCACTATGAAGCGGTATAGAAGTCTAAAAAAAAAGAAAAAAAGAGAAGCGAAACATCTTCAAAGAAAAAACCAGAAAGTCCAGTTGCCTCTTGAAAAAAAAAAAAAAGACACCTCTGGGACATACCACTGACTTCGTTTAGCCACAAGGAGAAAAATTCAGGAACAGATTACCACCTTCCTTACCCTGATTAGCACCTTCCTTACTAATGACAACCTTACTCTGTCAAAGATCTTCCTAACCTTCCACCATTACAATCCAACAACAGTTAACAAAAATGCTCATTAAAAAAATAAATAAATGCGTATGTAAAGAAAATGCTTACCGTTAAGATCCTCTCTTTCCATTGTCCGCTTCGATTTGACCTCCGGGCGGTCTGGTTGCTGTTCAGAACTGACCGGGGCACCATTGCTGGCTTCCTGAATAACCACCGAAGAGTCCATGGCTACTGGGAGTTATTAAAGTCCAAGGGGAAATATTCCCTCCAGTGGAACTTCCCAAGCGACCTATCGAGTCCAGTTTTTCTCCATCGATACCGCCGGGAGCCCAAAAAACATCCTGCACATTGTCGTTAGGGCTTCTGCACCAATTTATTCGCAGATCGAGCGATTTGGTTTCGTTATCAGCCCGCTTGATGATGGACAAACTGAAGAATTTCTGGAGTAGCTGCAAGAGAAAGAAAACAATGGTTTTGGAGTGACGTCACACGCCGAGATAAACAGACACATAGGATGACACTCCTTTTTTAAAAATAGTTCCTTGTGGTTTGTTTTTTTGTTTTTTTTTAAATCTGCCAGATATAATTCTGAGCTCACCCGAGTGCCAATCCTTATATAAGTCACGTTGGCACCGTCTTAACGATGGGGTGGGTGGGAGCCTTTTTCGGGCTCCTTCAGGCTGGATGGGAAAACTAAGGAGATTGTGGGGTGGAGGAAATTCACGAACGAAATATTTCAGGATGTGTACGGAAATCTCTCAGCAACACATGGAATTCATCCAAAGCTTTCTTGAAGTGGCTGCCTGCCTGTGAATAGGGCTGGATCGAGGCCCTTTTGATTGCTCCTTGCAGGGAGTGAAAACGAAACTATTTTCATTTCCAGTTGCTTTTTTTTATTTTCATCGTGGCAACTGCCAGCCAGACTGTTTTATCCCACCAAGCACCGGGCAGTTTGATTTATAGGACTACGCATGTGTTTTAGGAGGCCAAGGATTTGGCAGAGATTAAAATACCTCTTATTGCAGGATGAGTGTCTTATGCTAACCGAGGACGGAGCGGGAAAAAGGGGGCCTATGGGCCTGTTTTAAAGGTTGCTTCGTTCTGCGCGAAGAAAGCAAGGAGATAAAAGATCACAGGGAGTCCTCGAGCTACAACTGTTCATTTAGCGACCAGTTCATTTAACGACGGCACTGAAAAAAAGCGAGTTGGGACTGTTTTTCACACTTGCGACCGACTGCAGACGAGTGTAAATGCAGCCTGGCCAGGCACACAAAATCTGGTCATGTGATCACTGTGTGTGTGTGTGTGTGTGTGTGTGTGTGTGTGTGAGAGAGAGAGAGAGAGAGAGAGAGAGAGAGAGAGAGGGAGGGAGGGAGAGAGGGAGGGAGGGAGGGAGAGAGAGAGAGAGAGAGAGAGAGAGAGAGAGAGAGAGAGAGAGAGAACTACAAATCCAGGTCCTTGGTAATCCCCAAGTTGGTCCCTTGGAACTTCAAATGGCCACTAAGCGACAAGTCCTAAGTCAAGGACGGTCTGTCTCGACAATTAAGAAACGACCACATATAGGTAGTCCTTGATTTACAACAGTTCGTTTTAGTGACCATTCTAAGTTACAATGGCACTGAGAAAAGCGACTTATAACCGTTTTTCACACTTACGGCCGTTGCTGCATCCCCATGATCATCCGATCAAAATTAGGGTGCTGGGCGAAATATGTATGACTCATATTTATGACGGTTGCAGTGTCCTGGGGGGGGAGGGGTCACGCGATCTGCTTTTGCGACCTTCTGACAAGCAAAGTCAGTGGAGGAGCCACTTAACAACCAGGTTACTCACTTAACAAACATGTCAAGAAATGGGGTAAAAGGGGGCAGACCTCACTTAACGAATGTCTTGCTTAGCGACAGAAATTTGGGGCTCAGCTGAGGTCTTAGGTCGAGGACTACCTGTATAGAAGAATGCAACCAAAGAAGGACTAAGACCCTCAGAATCAACTCTCATTACAATGCTAGAGTCAAAATCATGCAAGGAGGCTATCCGGTTTCAGGTAACAGAATCTGCTGACCCCGTCACAAGGGTAAATTATAGATTTTGCTTACTCAAAATGCAGAAAGCAACTTGCAAAGGCTGTCTTTTATGGACCATAAGGAAGGCTGAGAGCCAAAGAATGGAGGCCTTTGAACTCTGGTGCTGGAGAAGACTCCTGTGAGTCCCTTGGACTGCAAGGCGATCCAACCAGTCAGTCCTAGAGGAGACCAACCCTGCCTGCTCTTTAGAAGGCCAGATCCTGAAGAGGAAACTCAAATACTTTGGTCACCTAATGAGAAGGAAGGACTCACTGGAGAAGAGCCTAATGCTGGGAAAGATGGAGGGCAAAAGAAGAAGGGGACGGCAGAGAACGAGATGGCCGGATGGAGGCACTGAAGCAGCCAGCGTGACATTAAATGGACTTCAGGGGATGGGTAGAGGACAGGAAGGCCTGGAGGAACGTTGTCTGTGGGGTCACGATGCGTCGGACACAACTTCGCAACTAACAACAACGATAGATAGATAGATAGATAGATAGATAGATAGATAGATAGATAGATAGATAGATAAGGCGATCTAACTGGTCAGTCCTAGAGGAGATCAACCCTGACCACTCTTTAGAAGGCCAGATCCTGAAGAGGAAACTCAAATCCTTTGGCCACCTAATGAGAAGGAAGGACTCCCTGGAGAAGAGCCTAATGCTGGGAACGATGGAGGGCAAAAGAAGAAGGGGACGGCGGAGAACGAGATGGCCGGATGGAGGCACTGAAGAAGCAGCCGGCGTGACATTAAATGGACTTCAGAGGATGGTAGAGGACAGGAAGGCCTGGAGGAACGTTGTCCGTGGGGTCGTGATGGGTCGGACACAACTTCACAACTAACAACAACAAAGAGGAGAAGACTTTTGTGGGACCACATTGAAGATCTCAAGAAGTTCCATGTTTACTTGCCAACCTATGAGATACCTCCTAGAAATGTGTTTAGCAAGACATTAAAAGTCCCCTCCTTCATGGCATTTAGAAAACAATGTTAGATCTTCAAGATTTCAACCCTTGATGTCCATCTTGGAAGAGTTGACTTCTCTTGACTGGTGGGCTTTAGCCTAATACAACTTGCTGGGATGGAGGAGGGGAAGGGACAGTGCATCCAAGCCCATGTTTCCTTGGGAAAGGAGCAGAGTTAAAGTCATTAGCACACCTTAACCTCCCCTTTTGGGGTCAGATTGCCAACCTCTGTTCACAACGCCAAGACAAATACAAATAGGCAGCCATGAATGCTTCACAACAGTGACTGTTAACCTCACTAGGTGTGTTCAATCCACCCATCCATTAAAACAACCACCAGTTTCAGAGTCCTGGACCACACACCACACCCACGCAGGACTATCTAGTCCATGAATGAACTTCATCGATTTACACAGACGTGCATCAAACCTTACACTTACCTGGTCTGTACAGTCCATAAAGCAATTTTATACATATACACACCAATGCACCCCCCATCAAACCTTAAATCTTCCCAAGTCTATATAATCCATAAACTAACTTTACATTAAGTGTTTTTCTGTCAAAGCACCTGATCTGCCCCAATATGGGAGGGAGCATATTGCTTCCCTCTACAGTATATACTGGTACATACACACCATACATCACACACCTACCCAGCTCTATATAGTCCATAAATCAACTTCATAGATGCATACACAGAGAAAGAGAGAGACAAATACACATACACACTATGACTCATTAAGTGTTGTACTTTATGATTCTTGATGAACGTATCTTTTCTTTTATGTACGCCGAGAGCGTATGCACCAAAGACAAATTCCTTGTGTGTCCAATCACACTTGGCCAATAAAAAATTCTATTCTATTCTATTCTATTCTATTCTATTCTATTCTATTCTATTCTATTCTATTATGATTCTTAATGAATGTATCTTTTCTTTTATGTACTTCGAGAGTGTATGCACCAAAGACAAATTCCTTGTGTGTCCAATCACACTTGGTCAATAGAGAATTCAATTCAATTCAATTCAATTCAATTCAATTCAATTCAATTCAATTCAATTCAATTCAATTCAATTCAATTCTATTCTATTCTATTCTATTCTATTCTATTCTATTCTATTCTATTCTATTCTATTCCTATCCTATCCTATCCTATCCTATCCTATCCTATCCTATCCTATCCATCTTCTACTCTATTCATCTTCTATTCTGTTCTTCTTTCCTTCTATCTTCTCCTCCTCCCCTCGTCTCCCCTCTACTCTACTACTCTACCCTATTCTACTCGTTCTGTTCTGTTCTATTCTATTCCACCACATCAAACCTTTAAACCTTCCAGGTCTATAGAGCCCATAAACCAACTTCATACCCATACACACAGGTACTACACAAACACACACACACACACCTACTCTCCACCTCATCCCTACCCAGCTCTATAGAGCCCACAGAGCCCATTTCATACAACGCAAACCCGCAGGCACACAACCCCCCCCACACACACAACCCGGCCCCACAAGGGAAGGACCCAGATTCTCTCTCTCTCTCTCTCTCTCTCACACACACACACACACACAGACGTGTGTATGGCAAGACACATGTGCATGCCACCTGAAACACCCCCATGCCCAGAGATTCCCCCCCCATCTCCCCCAGACAGGGAGGCATGTTTCGAAGTGTGTGTGTGTGTGTGTTTGCACAAGGGTGTGACTTTTATATACACACAGACACACATCAAACCTTTAAACCTTCCCAGGTCTATAGAACCCATAAACCCACTTCATACCCATATACACAGGTACTACACAAACACACACACACACACTCACCCCTCCTCTCCACCTCACCCTTACCCAGCTCTATAGAGCCCCCCAGAGCCCATTTCATACAACGCAACCCACAGGCACACACACACACAACCCGACCCCCACAAGGGAAGGACCCAGATTCTCTCTCTCTCTCACACACACACAGAGACGCGTGTATTGCAAGACACGTGTGCATGCCACCCCCACGCCCAGAGAACCCCCCCTTCAGTCTCCCCCAGACAGGGAGGCGTGTTTCGAAGTGTGTGTGTGTTTGCACAAGGGTGTGACTTTTACACACACACACACACACACACAGAGACAGAGGGGGGAGGGGTTTGAGCCCCCCTCCCAGCCCTGCAGGCCCGAAACCCCCCTCCCCTCCCCCCCATTCCCAGGTCTGGCTCGGCCCTTCGCCCCGCTGACCTGCCCGGCTCGGCTCGGCCCCAGGCGCCCTTCCTTCTCCCGAGACGTGGCGCGGGCGGCAGGCGGGGCGACGCCGCCCCTTCCTTCTCCTCCTTCTCCGCCCACCGGACGCTTCCGCAGCCGCACCGCCCTGCCCGGATTTCGGGGGAGGGAAGCGGGCGTCGGAACAAATGGAGACCGGAACGGAAGGAGTGGGACGCTTTCCGCCCCCCACACCAGCGGACGGATTTTGGCGACGGAACTTCCGGGAAGGAGGGGGGTGAGCGAGAGAGAGAGAAAGAGAGGAGCGCGGGGGATGACGCGTCCTCGCCCCGCCTTCTGAGTTTGCCCCGCCTCCTCCTCCGGGAAGGTTTAGCTTGTTCTTTTCCCCAATGGCGCGCCCTCTGCTGGTTGGGAGGGGGGGTGTCTCTCGGCTGCCGCACAGGAAAGGTTGCAACTTGCAAAGCTGATTTGGGGTTTTGCTGCCCCGGTTGTCTCCCCCCCCCCGCCACTCCTCCCACAGCATATCTGGGGGCGCCGGGTTGGGGAAGCTGCTTTCAGGACAGAGCGATGGAGCAGCCCTCTTGGACGTCGTAATATACACAAGTATACGCACACACATGCACATACACACACGTATATACATTAATATATATATATATATGTGTGTTTTCTTTTCTTTAGTCTCCTTTTTTAGTCTCCCAATAGGCAGCAGGGTACTTGCTGGCTGCCTGAAAAAAGCCTAGAAACTAGTGGATTGTGATTTCACTGAACTAGGGCTGCATAAACATCTTGGTTTACGTAGGAAGAACCTGGATAAAGAGAAATTTTATATATATATATGTTTTCTCAGGTTTTCGCGGGTGTTTGTATGTAGGTCTTTGGTTATTCTGGTCTTCTCCCACGTAAAATTGGAAGTGTCTTGGCGACGTTTCGACAAAGTCTCATTCGTCATCTTCAGGCTGGTGTTCTCGGCTTCGTGCTTCCAGGAGCAAGCACGAAGGAAGCACGCTCCTGGAAGCATGAAGCCGAGAACACCAGCCTGAAGATGACGAATGAGACTTCGTCGAAACGTCACCAAGACACTTCCAATTTTACGTGGGAGAAGACCCGAATAACCAAAGACCTATATATATATATATATATATATATATATACACACACACACACACACACACAGAGAGATATACACACAAAATATACACATGAATACATATAGTTTATACATATGCACATACGTAAATACACATATACACTTACACATATATAAATGCAAATACATACATACACACATATATACACCAAAATATAATGGATAACCCACATATACTGCTCAAAAAAAATAAAGGGAACAGAAGCAGAAGACATCCGAGATCTGAATGAATGAAATAGCCTTATAAATACTTTGTTCTTTACATACAGTAGTTTATACACTGCTCAGACTACTAAAGGGAACACAAAACTACTGTATGTAACGAACAAAGTATTTAATAAGGCTATTTCATTCAATCAGATCTCGGAGGTCTTCTGCTTGTGTTCCCTTTATTTTTTTGAGCAGTGTATATATGCATATACAGAAACATATCGATAGATCGATGATAGATAGATAATAGATAGATAGATAGATAGATAAAGTAGATGACAGATAGATGATAGATATAGATAGATGATAGATAGATGATATAGATGATAGATAGATGATAGATGATAGATAGATGATAGATATAGATGATAGATAGATGATAAATAGATGATAGATATAGATGATTGATAGATGATATAGATGATAGATGATAGATATAGATAAATGATATAGATGATAGATAGATAATGATAGATAGATAGATGATAGATAGATGATAGATGATAGATGATATAGATGATAGATGATATAGATGATAGATATAGATGATAGACAGAAATACACATATGTATGTGTATGCACAGATATACAGAAATATACAGAAGCATATGTACAGTTTATACACGTATACACACACACATATATGTACAAACATATGCACAGATAAGCGCACAAACAATTTATACGCAGACACATATATAAAGACCCACAAACACACGTTCCTTTTTTCAAAACAAATTTTAAAAAATCCACCCAAATCTGTTGATACAGAACATGGTCCACCAGAGGACACTGTTCTTTACCTTTGAAATGGGTTGTGAGATTTGTCTGGCCATAAAGTTAGTTTTAGGAAAGCGTCCAAGGACTTTTGAGGAATGCATTAAAGAAAAGGTGGAGGGGGGGAATAAAGCCAAAAACACTCAAAGGAAAAAGCAAGGATTTTGAAGGTATCCAGAATGTACCTCTTCTGAGCCTTAAAACTGCCTTTTTTTCTTTCTTAACCCTCAACTTCGAGAAGTTGGGGCAAATGAAGGTGTAGAAGGCATTAAGGCAGTGTTTCTCAACCTTGGTAGCTTGAAGATGGGTGGACTTCAACTCCCAGAATCCCCCAGCCAGCAGCTTGGCTGTCTCAGGAATTCTGGGAATTGAAGTCCACAGGTTGTAAAAGGGCCACAGTTGCCCACCCCTGAGCTAGTTGGTTCCTGGGTGCTTTGCCTATTGTAGGAGTCTAGACAATTCTAGGAGTTACCGAGATAACCACCAGATGTTTTTTACTCCATCCTTGCTTCAAGGTTAAGCCGGTTGGAACAGTCGGAGACAAACATCTGCAAATGCTTCTACTTCCCCTTGCAGGAATTTGAAGAAAGTCCTCGAATATGTAAGCATCTGTGGACACACATTTTTGAGATTCGGGGGCAGAGGATGAATCTGTCCCACAAAATGGAGGAGGACTAAAAGCTACGGTACTTTAACATTGGTTGGGGGAACAATTCATCAGCGGAACGACTTGCCTCCAGAGGTTGAGGGTGTCCTAAAAACCTGGAGGTTTTTAAGAAGAGATTGGACAATCATTTGTCTGAAAGGGCACTGGTGGCAAACCTTTTACTCACCGAGTGCCAAACAGGTATGTCCTTCGCATGTGCCATCCGTGCTAATGTGCGGCTCCTCCCCCATGTGCTCCACACACAACTGCACCCTCTGTACACGCGCACAGGTTTTGCGTGCGCCCCCCACCGTGCATTGTGCATGCAGTTGAACAATCTGTGTATGTGCTTGCGCACAGTGCACGCCACTACTCTGGCACGCATGCTCAAATGCGCACGCATGCCCGGGAGAGCTCAGAAGACCAGTTGGGTGCCCTGGTATTCGGGCACCGGAGGCCCGAATACCAGCTGGGGCATGCGTGCACGTGCACAGCTACAGGTGAGTTTTTGGTTTTTTTTAATTTGATTTATATGCCGCCCTTCTCCGGAGACTCAGGGCGGCTTACAATGCGTTAAGCAATTACCTTCATACTTTTGTATATTTTATACAAAGTCAGCTTATTGCCCCCACAAACTGGGTCCTCATTTTACCTACCTTAGAAAGGATGGAAGGCTGAGTCAACCTTGAGCCTGGTAAGATTCGAACCTGCAGAAATTGCAGGCAGCTGTGTTAATGACAGGGTGCACTAAACCACTGTACTATCAAGGCTCTTTTAACACTGATCAGCTGTAGGGCGGCCCTTTGAAGCCCCGCGGCAAGAGTTTAAACAGCTTTTTCCTTCTAGCCCATCAGCTGGGACTCGGGAGGCAGCAAATAGATTGGGGGTGGGGCCAAATAAAAGATAAGAATAACACGGGGGGGCAGAACCGGTTCGGTGACGTCATATCGTCACCGCTACTAGCTTGGAGGAACCGGGCAGAACCGGGAGGAACCCACCACTGTTCTCAAGCCTCCTCTTGGTGCGTACTGTGCATGTGTATGTAGCACGCATTTGGAGCGAAGTGCACATGGATGCACGCAACGCACACTTGGCACACAGTGCACATGCCCGACCAGCGAGCCGGTAACAAACCGGTTCAGATTTCACCACTGGTTTGAGGGTTCCTATTTATCAAACGCGGGCATCCCACCCCCCCGACGTCTGCCAAATTCCTCCCTAAGCAGAGCCTTCCTTTTTCTTTGAATCCCTTAAAAACCGCAACAAAACTGGAAGAATTTGCAAAAAAAAAAAAAGAGGGAAACTCTGGGTTTGGGGGCTGCTTAAGCCGAGCTACAAAGAACACAAATTGGATCCGTGGAAGCTGTCCAAACGCCTCACCTTTGGCCCAGCAAACTGGTTTTTTTTTTTTGTTTTGTTTTCAAGGAATTCCAGAAAGCGTCCTGCAATTAACGTTTTCAGAAGAGATCGGACGACCGTGTTTGTCTGAAAACAGTTTCCTGCTTGAGCAGGGGGTTGGACTAGATGACCTCCAAGGTCTTTTCCAAACGTCTGTTATTCTTCTAAAAGGCCTGGGAATGTTTTTGAGATCCAAAGAAGACCAAGTTTTGCTTTTTGTTTTTTGAAAAAAACATCCTCTCTCTCTCTCTCTTAATTGTTCTGGGCTCGCCAGGATATTCCAATCCAATTATGAGCTTGTCACCCGAAAAAATGTCAAATGCTTTCTTCCGAAACTTTGCTTTTGGGGGATTAAAGCATTTAAAGCGTGGAGTGGTCCCTTCTCGTGATGGGTCCTTTCAAAATGCCAGCTCAAGCCTCCCGTTTCTTTTTTCCTCTCCTGCACGCAAGTTGCGCAAATGTTGACCCAAAGAGAAGGTCACCACCAGGAAGGATTCAGGAAGTCATCTATGAATCTGGGTTCAAGAGTCTGGGAAAAGGTCTGTGTTTCCTAAAAGCCACAACTGAGCAACAGGGCTGTGTAGGAGAGGCCAATGTTTTCTGCCCACTAAGATTTTAAGCAGCTTGTTAGGGACAACAGGACCCCACGCTCACCAGCACCGATGATGTAGTTGGGCAATGAAATCTCTGCAAGGAAACAACCAAGCTCAGGGAGCACCAAGGACCTCACAGTTTTCTCCTTCCTCCTCCTCCTCCTCCTCCTCCTCCTCCTCCTCCTCCTCCTCCTCCCACTCCCTTCTAGCATTGATCATATTACCTAGTTGGGTCATGAAACATCTGCAAAGAAACAACCAAGCTCAGGGAGCACCAAGGACCTCACAGTTTTCTCCTCCTCCTCCTCCTCCTCCCACTCCCTTCTAGCATTGATGATATTACCTAGTTGGGTCATGAAACGTCTGCAAAGAAACAACCAAGCTCAGAGAGCACCAAGGACCCCACAGTTTTCTCCTCCTCCTCCTCCTCCTCTTCCTCCTCCTCCCACTCCCTTCTAGCATTGATGATATTACCTAGTTGAGTCATGAAACATCTGCAAAGAAACAACCAAGCTCAGGAGCACCAAGGACCTCACAGTTTTCTCCTCCTCCTCCTCCTCCTCCTCCTCCTCCTCCTCCCACTCCCTTCTAGCATTGATGATGTTACCTAGTTGGGTCATGAAACTCTGCAAAGAAACAACCAAGCTCAGAGAGCACCAAGGACCCCACAGTCCTCCCCCTCCCTCTCTTCCTCTCCTCCTGTTCTGCCCCAGCTCTGGATTCCCAAGGATTGTGACCCACACCAACCGTCCTTATCAAAGTTATAACGTACCAAGAATAAACAAAGTCCGGCAAAGGTTGGCAACCAGCCCAGAAAACAAGATACGATAAGACACTCACTCTCCAAAATGCTCTGTAATAATTACATGTTGTTTCCAGCAAGAAATTACTAACTGCGGTGCAACTTAAATAGGCTAAGGGAGTGGCCAATTATCCTCAAGTCTTACTCTCAAGGAGACCTCCTCCTCCTGAGTAGCCACTCTTGCCTTTTGGTAGCTCTGCGTGCTCGAGCATTGAGGAGAGGCTCCTCCACTTCGCTCTCTCCACTTGAAGGAGCCTCTGGAGGTTCTGAAGGCCCTGGCTGAGTCTCTGCCTCTGGCACCACATCCTCTTCAGCCTCCTCGCTGTCCGACGTGAACACTGTCTGCGCAGGCTGTTGGCACAACCCCACACCAGCCTCCTCGTCGGGATAAGCCACGATCCGCACAGGCCGCTAGCAGGCTACAACACCTCCTCTTCGCAAATCCCACTCCCTTCTAGCACTGATGATGTTACCTAGTTGGGTCATTAAACGTCTCCAAGGAAACAAGCAAGCTCAGAGAGCACTAAGGACCTCACAATTCAACTCCAAGTGACAGGCCTTTTCTTCTGTTTTTTTTTTTTAATTTGATTTATATGCTGCCCTTCTCCGGAGACTCAGGGTGGCTTACAATGTGCTCAGCAATAGCCTTCATACTTTTGTATATTTATACAAAGTCAGCTTATTGCCCCCACAAACTGCGTCCTCAATTTACCTACCTTAGAAAGGATGGAAGGCTGAGTCAACCTTGAGCCTGGGGAGATTCGAACTTGCAGTAATTGCAGGCAGCAGATGTAAGTGGATGTTAATTAGTCTGCTGAGCCACCAGAGCTCTGTTGGGATAAGGTTCAATCATTCTCTTGGACTTGAACTCGCTTCAACCCCCAAGGAGTCAACAGGTTAAGAGATGGGGTGGGGTGGGGAGTCACCATCAACCCCAACGGATAAATCCCCCTGTTTGAGTTGACCCCTCCCTCCACTGTAACCCAGCAATGAGCATCTCCTCAGCCTGCGGCGAGTCAAAACAGAAGGCATCTCATTCGCGGTAAGAACCGTAAGATGGAAAGAAATAAAAAAATGAGAACCTAACCCTTGGAGATGTCTCTTTCCAGAGTTGGTGGCATCCGAGAAAGAGATTTTGAGTTGGTCCCATCAGCACAAGATGGGTGGCATTTCTATTCCCAAAGTGGTTATCATTTCTAAGAGCTCATTTATACCTGCATATTTACATAGGGACGCAGTGGCTCAGTGGCTAAGATGCTGAGCTTGTCGATCGAAAGGTTCGGCAGTTCGAATCCCGAGTGCCGCGTAATGGCGTGAGCTCCCGTGACTTGTCCCAGCTTCTGCCAACCTAGCTGTTCGAAAGCAGGTAAAAAATGCAAGTAGAAAAATAGGGACCACCTTTGGTGGGAAGGGAACAGCGTTCTGTGTGCCTTTGGCGTTGAGTCCTGCCGGCCACATGACCACGGAGACGTCTTCGGACAGCGCTGGCTCTTCGGCTTTGAAACGGAGATGAGCACCTGCCCCCTAGAGTCGGGAACGACTAGCACAGATGTGCGAGGGGAACCTTTACCTTTATTAACATAATTTCCACACAAAGCTGAGCTTTGTCTTCTGTTTTTCTAGCCATGCCTCCACACAGCCTTCTCGTTTCTTCCCTTCCCTTCGCACCCCATTTCCTGTTTCTGAAATTTGTGGTGGACGTTGGAATGAGAAACATCAAGGGCGACAAAAAATATTGATGTGCGGAAAACAAATAAGACAACGGCTCGTTCTTCAATAGATGGGATAGAATTCTTTCTCTGTCTTCAGCTCTTAGGTCGATGATGGCTAAGGGACCTGAGGGAGAAGCCCCCAATTTCTGGTTTATTTTGTGCTGTTTAAAATTTCAGACATAAAGGGACACCTTTAAAAACTTTCTGCCTTTCCTCTCTCTTGTTCATCTTAAAATGGCCCAGCTGTACATACACCTCGGTGGTGCAGCGGACTAAACTGCTGTTAAAGTAGCACTTAGCTGCCAGCTGCCTGCAATTAGTGCGAGTTCAAATCTCACCAGGCTCACGGTTGACTCAGCCTTCCATCCTTTCGAGGTAGGTAAATTGAGGAGCCGGATTGTGGGGGCAATAAGCCAGCTTTGTATAGAACACCGCCGCTTAGGGGGGCCCGAAAGCCCTAATAAGCAGGTATATACATAAAAGTATGCAGGCTATTGCTATAATGCATTGTAAGCCGCCCTGAGTCTACGGAGAAGGGTGGCATATAAATTGGACTAATAAATAAAATAGTATAATTGGAAGAAGAAAGAAAAGAAAAGAAGAAAGGAATTGAGAGGAAAAGGAAGGAAGGGGAAAAAGAGAAAGGGGGAAGGGAAGGGGGGAAATGGAAAAAAAGGAAGGATGAAAGGGAAGAAGGAAGGGATACAGAAAGAAAAGGGGAAGGGAGAGAGAGAAAAGGACAGAGAAGAAAAGAAAGGAGGGAGGAAGGAAGGAAGGAAGGAAAAAAAGGAAGGAAGGGAAGGAAAGGAGAGAGGAAAAGAAAGGAAGAGAGAAAAGAAAGGAAAGGAGGGAGGGAGGTAGGAAAATGGAGGAAGGAAGGAAGCAAAGAAAAAAAGAAGGAAGGAAAGGAAAAGAAAGGAGAGAAAGGAAAAGAAAGGAAGAGAGAAAGGAAAGGAGGGAGGTAGGAAAATGGAGGAAGGAAGGAAGCAAAGGAAGGAAAGGAAAGGAAAAGAGAAAGGAAGGAAAGGAAAGGAAAGGAGGAAGGGAGGAAAATGAAGGAGGAAGGAAGGAAGCAAAGAAAAAAAGGAAGGAAGGAAAGGAAAGGAAAGGAGAGAGAGGAAAGGAAAGGGAAAAGTTGAATGAAAGGGCTAGAGAGGGAGAGAAGGAAGTAAAAAAGAAACAGTAGAAGAAAACGGGAAGAAAAATAAAGGAAAAAAAGGAGGAGGAGGAGGAGGAGGAGAAAGGGGCCACGGGGGGGGGGCTTCTCCCTTCTTTCATGTGTAAAAGGGACCCCGAGAAAGCCGAAGGGGGACCCCCAACCAGCGCAGGGGGACAAGCGCAACGGCGCCTCCTTTCCCTCCCCCGTTAGCCGAAGCCGCGCCCGCGCCCCTCGCCTCCAACAAGGCAGGCTGGAGGAGATCTGGAAGCCCACCCACCCCTCCCGTCGCAGGTGATCCGCCCGCCCCGGGGAGGCGGCCAGGGAGGCGACTGGACGGCCGCGCGGGAGAAGCGGAGAACCGGGCAGGCGGGCGGGCAGCGTCGGGGGAGGACGGAGAGGGGAGCCGGGCGGGGGCACCCACCCACCCACCCACCCCGCCAGCCAGCCCGAGCGGATAGCGGCTTCGCCCAGCAGGCAGCGTCCCAACCGGAGAAGCCAGGATGGGCCGTCCCGCCTGCTTGCTTCTGCTGACAGCGGCTGCCCTGTGCTGGTCCTGGGGGGCCCAAGGCCAGGTAAGCCCCCGGGGGGTGGGGGGGCAGAGGTTTTTGCCAAGGGGGGATTTCTCTCTCTCTCTGTGTCTCTTTCTCTCTGTCTCTCTCTCTCTCTGTGTCTCTATCTCTGTCTCTTTCTCTCTCTCTTTCTCCGTCTTTCTCTCCCTGTCTATCTCCCCCCCTCTCTGTGTCTGTCTTTCTCTCTCTGTCCCTTTCTCTCTGTCTGTCTCTCTCTCTCTTTCTCCCTGTCTCTCTCTGTCTATCTCCTCTCTCTGTCTGTCTGTCTCTCTCTGTGTCTGTCTCTCTTTTTCTCTGTCTCTCTCTCTCTCTGTGTGTGTCTCTATCTCTGTCTCTCTCTTTCTCCCTCCCTCTCTCTCTTTCTCCCTGTCTATCTCCCCCTCTGTGTGTGTGTCTCTCTCTCTCTCTTTCTCCTTCTCTCTGTCTCTGTCTGTCTGTATGTCTTTCTCTCTCTCTCTCTGTCTTTCTCTCTCTCTCTCTCTCTTTCTCCCTCCCTGTCTCTCTCTCCCTCTCTCTCTGTCTGTGTCTCTGTCTCTCTCTCTCCCCCCCTCCACTTTCGGTCTCTCGCTTCTCTTCCTCTGCCCTCCTCTTCTCCTCTTCCTCTAATGCTGCTTTTCACTCCTTTGCAAAAACCCTCCGACGCCGGGGACTCCCCTGTTACCCCCCACACCTAAAACCCAAACTTTGCCGCCCCCAGCCCCCAACCTTGCATGGAAAGAGCCTCTCCCGAATCCACCGCGAAAGCCGGGCACCTCTCCAAAACAGCCGGGCTCGCTGCGTAATTGCGCTTCGCCTTGCCGAGACTTTGGCCGAGCGGGCCGGGAGGGAAGGAGGGGGGAATGTGTTTGGGGGAGGCGGGGAGGGGGGGAATTTATCCGGACATGTCGGGGTGGCTTGGCTCTCTCTCTCTCTCTCCCCCCTCCCCATCTTCCTCCGTTTCCCGGTGGAAAGTTGCGTGCGGAAGAGAGGGGGAGAGGCAGAGCCGGAGGAGAGGAGGGGGCGCTTTGGATTTCCAAACAGGGTCCATGTGGGTTTCATTGAAAAGGAAAATTAGGGTGGGGAGGGGGGGAGAAACGGGTGTGGTGGGTGGGAAGAGCCATTCGGGGTTGTTTACGATCCTTTGAGCTGGGAGGGAAGGAAAGAGGCGGACAGGGCTGTCTTTGATTTCAAAATCCTCCCCAAAGGAAGCCAGGCAGATTTGGGGAGGGGGGGCCGAGGGCTGCCGTGGGGGGTTGGGGGGTTGGAGCGCGCTTTCCCGCTTGGACGTTGCTGGGAAGCCTTCGCTGTACCGTTCAGTCCCCTTGGCCGTGAAATTGTGAGCCACTGGACTAGCCAGCCACCTTGAAAATGAAGTGATGAAAAGAGAAAGAGGAAGCAGAGATGGTTTAGAATTTAGAATCACAGAGGTGGAAGGGACCTTGGAGGTCTTCTAGTCCAACCCCCTGCTTAGACAGGAAACCTTACACCACTTCGGACAAATGGTTGTCCAACATCATCTTCAAAATTTCCAGTCTTGGAGCATCCACAACTTCTGGAGGCAAGTTGTTCCACTGGTTAATTGTTCTCACTGTCAGGAAATTTCTCCTTAGTTCTAGGTTGCTTCTCTCCTTGATGAGTTTCCACCCAGTTGCTTCTTGTCCTGCCTTCAGGTGCTTTGGAGAAGAGCTTGACTCCCTCTTTTTTGGGGCAGGGAGGGATTGAAGCAATTAATTTAGCCCCCTGGAATGGCCAAGAGTTGTCAGCTTCCTAGCTTCAGTTCTTGAAAATCCAAAATCAGTGGTAGTTCTGAATTTAAATCTCCACCGAGGCATTGAAGTTAGAATCGATTTGGCCCCACAATGTAACCTAACCGTTTCTAATTTGCGAATCGATGTCCTACTGATGGAAAAAAAAACAACCTATCTAGCATCTTAACAGAACAGAATAACAGAGTTGGAAGGGGCCTTAGAGGTCTTGTAGTCCAACCCTCTGCAGGAGGACCCTCCCTATTCCATTCCAGACAAGTGACTGTCCAGTTTCTTCTTGAAAGTCTCCAATGATAAGGCATATAATGAGACAGGAAGGCGAAAATAGGGTCAGGTGTAGCCTATTGAGCTTGGAAATAATAAGAACTGGTGGGATACCATAATAGACAAAATAATAAATAATGATTAAAATAATTTGAGGAGGAGGAGGAGGAGGAGAAAGAGGAGGAGGAGAAAGAGGAGGAAGAGGAAGGAGGAGGAGGAGAAGAAGGAGAAGGAGGAGGAGGAGGAAGGAGGAGGAGGAGAAGAAGGAGAAAGAGGAGGAGGAGGAGAAACAGGAGAAGGAGGAAGGAGGAGGAGGAGAAGGAGAAGGAGAAAGAGGAGAAGGAGGAAGGGGAAGGGGAAGGGGAAGAAGGAGGAGAAAAAGAAGGAGAAAGAGGAGGAGGAGGAGAAGAAGGAGAAGGAGAAAGAGGAGGAGGAGGAGGAGAAGAAGGAGAAGGAGAAAGAGGAGGAGGAAGAGGAGAAGGAGAGAGAAGAGGAGGAGGAGGAAGGAGAAGGAAGAGAAGGAGAAGAAGGAGAAGAAGGAGAAGGAGGAGAAGGAGGAGAAGAAGGAGAAAGAGGAGGAGGAGGAGGAGTCTAAAGTGCTGTGGAACTTTAGAATTCAGACAAACAAGCCCCTGCCACACACAACACCGCAACAGTTGTTGATAAGAAATACAAAAATACTGAATAGTGGATGTGGCATTAGGTGGAGACAGCAGAATAGAAGAGAAAGAACTGGAGAGGGAAAAAAAATCACAAAATACAAAGACGTGCAATAGAAGGAGAACTACTATTTGAACTACTTTGCCAAAGAAAGCAAAGACAGCACTCATAAGTGACAGACACCCTGGGATGCAGTCCCATCCCAAAACATCTGGAGCAACCCCTGAACACCCTCAGCATTGACACAATCCCCATCCGTCAATTGCAGAGAAGGCAGCTTGGCTTGGAACGGCTGACATCCTGAATCAAAACCTTGAGCAGCACCTTTCCATCCAGATCCTCTGGAAAGGCTCAACGGGGTGGACAACCACACCAACCCCAGTCGAAACATCTGGCTGGCTGTGTGGCCAACCCTAATAACAAAGCATTGTGGACCAAGATGGATTCCCTGCCCCACCCCCAACCCATCCACCCAGCCTGGCTCCTAAGCTCAGTCAAGTATTTGGTTCGGAGTGGGGGAAAAAAATCCTTCCATTCGGAAACTATGTCCCTCAATTAGCAAAGAATGCAGTTTGATTAATAAAGTCTCTGACATTTCAGCGATTAAATCTGGCAGCCAGGCTGGGATCACAGCTTGCTGTATGAGCTCCCTTGCCAGATCAACCCAGCAAAATAATAGAAGCCAAATCTATGCAAATAAATAATGCCAAGTGGTTAAAAAAAAAACGGGGCCCTTTTGGCTTAGAATAGAGGTAGGGGTCGTTGGTAGCCAACAAAGACGGCCACAATGAGGAAACAATTAGGGGGGAGGGAAAGAGGGAGGTTGGGTCAACCATGACCAAGAATGACCACCGTACAGGAAAAAAAAATTGCCCTTTTGATCATGCCTTCAGCCAGGCGTTGACGTCCAGGTTCCATTTAGCAGAGTGGATCTCCAGTTCCTCAGTGTCCTACTTTTGTCTCCATAAAGTCTCTCGGTTCTTCTCAATTTGGGGACAGATTAACAGAGTTGGAAGGGAGCTTGCATTTCATCTAGTCCAGGCACGGGTCACCAACCTTTCGGACCTCAGGGACCACTAAATTCATAATTTTAAATCCCACGGACCACTAATATGATCTGTCTAATGACCAGCTGGGTGGGGGTGGCTAGGTGGTCATGGGACTCGGTGGGCATGGTCAACTCAATGTCACTCATATTGAGGGGCGCCTCGCCGGCTTCTACTCGCCCCTCCCCTGCCAGCCACTCCTCGCTACCCCACCCGGGCTCCTTAGGGCCCCAACAGGAAGCAGTTGTTGGAGCTAAGCAGCCACCATGAGAAAGAGTTGGCAAAACAGCTCAGTTCAAATTGGATCTAACCGAGAAGGAGGCTCAGCAGAAGCACCACACTGAGGACTAGGAGCATAGGCTTTCCAAGCAGAGGGAAGACCTGCGGGAGTGCAAGGCCAGGTACCGGCACCTGGAGGCTCAGCAGGCTGAGATGGTCAGCCACTTCCAGGCCATGATGCAGTCCCACTGGAACGAGGTCCTCCGGCTCTTCTCCACCAGCGGCGCTTCCCTCCAGCCTTCGCCCAAAGCCCCACACCAGGCGGCTGAAGCAGACCCCAAGTCGGAATTTATGCCCCCCTCCGACCCACACAAAAAGACCCCGAAGGGGGAGACTCTCTGCAGCAACACAAACGTTCATTGCATGTATCCGTCCCAGGGGCCGTAGTTTGAGGACCCCTGATTTAGTGCAATATAAAAAATGCAAAATAATTTTTCTGCGGACCACCAAAATTTTCTCGCGGACCACCAGTAGTCCATGGACCACCAGTTCGTGACCGCTGATCTAGTCCAACTTTCCCACTCAAGCAGAAGACCCTACACCATTTCTGACAAATGACAGTCCAATCTTTTCTTGAAAGCCTCCAGTGATGAAGCTCCCACAACTTCCGAAGGCAACTTCTGTTCCATCGGTTGAGTATTCTCCCTGTCAGAAAGTCCCTTCTCATTTCTGACTTCCAGATGTAGAGACTTCGAACCCCACATTTGTCAGTAAAGGCTCCGTGATATGGAGACATGGAGCTGAACGGATGATCTTTTTTGAGTTCCTCTTTTTGGGAAATCCAAGATCGAACCAGAGTTTTGGTACTCTGCCGTAAGAGCAGGTGGGTCTACTTGTAGAGCTGCAACTAAAACAAGTGTCAGGAACTCAACGTTCATCAAAACTACTGTAATCTTCATCAAAACAATGTATAATCAAAAACTCTGGAATTTGGTGGTCCGTAACTTTCTGAAAGGGACGTGGTGGTTCAGTGGCTGAGACGCTGAGCTTGTCGGCCGAAAGGTCGGCA